ATTCTCTGTGGAAGAAGTACAGTATATGGCCTGAAGTCATCTGCCCAGATCCTCCTTGTCATGTTCTTAGCTGTAGGGCCGAGCTATGGTGTGTTCTTCCTACCAAGTGGATCTTGAAACAAGTGTGTATGAGCACCTATTACACTAAAATATTGTGGAAAAAAACCTTGACAGTAAGAAATATATATATGTATGTATATATATTCCTTAAAAGGGGTCTGTCCAAGCTGAGCACAAGGGTGTAGACTTGTAATCCCAGCAATCACCCAGGACATATAGGCTGATCATCCTTGATCATCCTCCAGTACATATCATGTCATCTTGGGCTATTTGAGATTCCATCAAGAAAAGAAAGAAGGAATGGGGGAAAGGTAAGAGGGACGGAGGGAGGATGAAAGGGACCAAGGAGGGTCAAGGGATGGAGGGGAGGGAAAGGGAAGGACATGGTGAAGGTTTTCCCTGAGCAACAATCTCTAGTTCCACCCTTAAGCTACCACTTCCCAAGTGGAGTGAATTTAGCTCTTTAATTTAATGACCCAAAGTCATTAAATAAGGAATAGGAAATAAGAATCAGGCAAATTTCACCAGCACATCCCCCCCCTTTTTTTCAAGAAGGCAGCAGGAACACTCCATTATGATGTTCCAGGTAAGAGCAATAGCCCTCGTGGGTGGAGGGCGGCAGTGATTCCTCCACAGTCCCACTGGAGTTCAGTGGGAAAAGATACAGACAGGATGACGTGGGTGATTCTGGGCCCTGTGTTAACCGGCCCACTGCTACCGTTCAAGACCCCTTCCAAGAGTAGGGAAGCTGTGTGATCTCAGTATGCCTTGTATTTTTCTCCACTTGTTTTTTTAAGAACGGGGAATAAGAGGAAGTTCATTCATGGTTGTGTGTGTGTGTGTGTGTGTGTGTGTGTGTGACTTAAAGTGACAAAATAAACTTCAGAGAATTTTACTGCTCTTGCAATAGCTTTTCACACGAGCAGTGAACAGACCCCATATTCTGTGATACCTTCTGAGATTATTTCCCCCAGAAACCTCACTGACTGTGAACAGCTATAATAACTTTCAGCATCCAGCATTTGACTCACACCCTTTGTGACATGTAAGCTCAGTTCAGTAAACATTTTGACCTGCCGGCTCCATTCCCAGTCCTGGTAGGCTTGGACAAGCCGACAGAATGATGTTCTAAAAGCTGTGTTTGTATTCTGGACATTTCAAATTAATATTCCTTATGGAAAATCATGTTCAGCCTCTAAGGTCAGCAGTGCTGATGGGAAAAACAGCATCGGTGCTGCTTGTTTAAACTGGAGCTAGACACCGCTCTCACACTTGAGTAGGGCGGTGCGTCATCCAAAGGTCTGGATTCTTATTCTAGTTTAGCCGTTTCCACTTCTCCCACAGTGGCTAGGATGGAGAGTGAGGTGTTGAGCTGTAACCATTATAATCTCATTACTTAAATGAGTGAGTATCAAAAATGAATAAAAGAATAAATAAGAAATATATGCAAAAATAATCTAGTTCCTTTCGTTCTTTCCAGAACCTAATGTAAGCATACTAAACAAGCAATAGCGAGTGATCGATGACAGAACTGCCAGGGCTTGTGCTTTTCTGGTCCCACAGGTGAACCACATAGTTTGAAAACTCTCAAGGCTCTAAAATGGTCTTGTGTTTTAGAATAGGGCTCCAAATGCCTCTCATGTTGTAGGAGAGTCTAAGGACCTCTGATTGGACATGACCCTTGGCAACATCTAAGGAACCCACAGGTTTCTTTTTTTCTGCCAAGTGATGGACCCAGGAAATGTTAGGTGCAAATATTCATCGGGAAAATCTGAAAGGAAGGGAAGCGGGAATGCCCCAAGGCCACTGTGACTTGTGATTTCAGATCTCTTGGCAAGATAAAGCTTTATCATAGGAGGAACACCTGATAATGATTACCGAACGGCTGAGGGTAATCACTGGGAAACCATGGAAAGTAGGAAAAGTGCCAGGATGCTGAAGAATGGAAAATGTTGCTCGGGTTTCCAGCACACAGAGAAGATGGATTTATTGAATTATGGATCAGAGTGCTTGACGAAAGAAAAGAAGAAGAAAACCCTAAGTTGTTTCTTAAAAGAGTGTTTGAACGCAGGAGAATGAATGATGTGATGACCAGTTAGAACAGCTTCACTGCAGACATACTGCAGATGCTACCACTTCCTGTTCGTTACTATTTGCTTCATGTTTAATACCACAGCCATACTGATACGCAAGGCAGAAGTAGTGTACATCCTTCTTCATCAGCTAACTAGCAAGTGTTTCATGCTAATCTCCTCTGCTAGGTGGGGAGGCAATTAGCTGAGTGTTAGATGTTTCAGTTTGCTTTGTGTTGCCGAGATAAAACGCCAATGAAAAGCAACTTGGGAATAAAGGGTTGTATTTAATCTTATACCTTTGCAGTGTGTCATACAGAGAACTACAGCAAGAACCTGGAGGCAAGAACTCACATGGAGAACACATAAGAACGCTTCTCACAGACTTTCTCTGTGTGTATGGCACATGGGCACCATCAGTGTAAACATCTGTTTCCTTCTTTCTGTCTGTCTTCCTTCCTTCTTTGCTTATCTTCCTGCCTTTTTCAAATTAGTGCTTTCAAGATTTCATATAATGTGTTTTAGTCATAGTCAGATATCCACCCCTTCCTCAGCTCTTCTCAGATACAAATGTCCCTTCCCTATCCACCCAACTCTGTGTCCTCTTTTAAAAAGTTAGGTGTAATTTCTGTGACCCATATATCCTTGGATGTGTGGCATCCATTGGAGTGGTTGCTGTACTAGAAGCTACACTCTTAAAGAAAACTACATCTACCTTTCTCTTAGAGCCACTGTGTCCATAGCTATGTCAAATGTCAAATGTCCCACTCCTCGGCTTTGAGTGGGATTTCACCCCCACCTCCCTTCTCTATCCATGATAGGATGTGGTGTGGCGTGAGCTCACTCAGATCATGTCACATCTTCAGCGAGTCCCCTGCTGTGTGTTAGCAGACACTGTTTCTTTGTAGCCAGCCACTGTCTTTGGCTCTCATTGACTTCTGCAATAATCCCTGGACCTTGGGTGGGGGGGGGTATGATATTTAGGACCAAGCACTCTGAAGTCTATTAGTCTCTGCATCTTAATCCATTAATGGTCATCTACAGCAAATGGAAGCTTCTCTGATAAGGGGTGAGATATGCACTGATCTATGGGGTATAATGATAAGATATTAGAACTCAGCTCAATACTATGCCTGTCTAGCAGAATAATGGAAGTAGGTTCTCTCCCTGAGGCCTATGACCTGTTCAGCCACAGGTTCTTGGCTCCATAATGGTGCCCGGCATGGGGTTCATCTTGTAGAGTGGACCTTAAGTCCGATCAAAGAAAAATGGGAAGGTTGTAGACATACCATTCGAACCACAAACACAGTAGTGGGTGTATTTTCCCAGATCAGAATTAACTGAAGCTTACAGAGTTCACAGCTGGGAAATACTGGTGAGTATTCTTCTTCTCCAATCACACGCGTAGTTCTTCAAGCACTATGAAAGATAGCCAGGAAGAAGCAATCTCCCAGAACAGTACCAACTTGATTTCTCCATGTTTTATTACTCAAAAAATGTAGTGTCATCAGCAACAGGGCTTTACCATCAACTTCGGCGGGGGGGGGGGGATAACCAATGGCACTGACAGTAGTGTGTAATCTTTGGGGTCCACGGAACCTCACTGACCAACAACCCTTAAAGAGATAATCCATTCCTGGCACAGCCTGTTATCTGTTAATCTGTGGTATCTCTAATATTCAACAAGTCTGGTCATCAGGGAAATGCAAATTAAACTACTTTGAGGTTTAATTTCATCTCAACAGAATGGCTAAGAAAAACTCGATGAGTTTCTAGGGTAGGTTGGGACATTTTAAGTTCTACAAACACTTACAGGGCCAGTTGTTTCTTGGAATACATTTTCCCCCTGACAATTGCCTGCCTCTGCCTCCAAAGTGCTGGGATTAAAGGCATGTCCCATAATGCTCCAGGCCTTAAAAGTCTTTTTAATCAAGAACTTGCCTACCTGCTGTCTCTCAGGGAAAGTGAGACTGCCCCCAGCTCCTCGGAGCTCAGTGGATGCGATGATCACCTTTGGTAGGTTACACAGCTGGTTTGACAGCTCCGAAGAATGTCCTAGTAGTGGTTCTTCAGTTCCCCTTACAGAGCAAACAGTTCCCTGTGAGTGAGCCAAGGGTGATGCCTTTTCATTCAGCAGCGTCTGTACTGGGAATTCTTCTTTAGGGTCTTTCCATTCACAAGGGCAAAGCATAAATACTTCTTTTGAGGCGTAAGATACAAGGTGACCACTTCAGCACTTGTGACGAACTTATTTAGAACGCATGTCACTTTTAATTTTAATTAGTGATTACAGTGCATCTGTTTTCACTAACTAATATTTCTAACAGCTGGAGCTCCTGAGGGTCTCCTGCTGTGGATTGTGCCTCTCCTGATATAATTTCCCAGTGGGCCAAAGCATCTTTGCATATTGAGCGCTAATATGTCCAGATGTATTCATAGGACTATATGGGGATCTAAGATAAAAGTATCATCCTTTAGGAGACCAGAGAGATGGCCCAGCATTTGTTACTCTTGCAGAGGACCTGGGTTTGGTTTCCAGCACCCACATGGTAGCTCACAACCCATCCCAAACTCCAGTTTTAGGGAATACAATGCCCTCTTCTGAACTCCATAAGCATCATGAACACGTGTGGCACACATACATGTATGCAAGCAAATGTCATACACATATACACATTTTTTTAAGTTTTTAAGCATCTTCCTGTAAGCAAGGTTTGTCTTTGGTTGTGTCTCGCCAGTCTGGGACCGCTTAGTGTAGACGTAGGTTAGCGGTTCTCAACTTGAGATTCCATCCCCAGTCATCTGTTCTCAAGCCAGGGCGGTCCTTGCAGGGTTCTTCTGATGTATCTGACAATGATGGTACAGTCTCAGCTTATTTCCGAGAAAATCTCCTCCTCAGCTCCCACCTCAGGGAGACAGGGAGTCTTAAGTTTTGTCCATTCAGTAATGGCACTGTAAAAAAAAAAAATCTATTTCAATTGTGCTGTGTTCACAAAATCCTTCTTCCAGGTTTTGCTTTCCCTTCAGGTTTGAGAGTCTGTATACTCTTAACCTCTTGTGGCTTTTAGAATGGATTTTCCAAAACTAATTTGAGATTTTCTGTTCTTTCAGGACAAGTGGTCCAAATAATCCAGTTTGTAGCTGTTGGAAACTGGAAATCCTAATGCTGTAGTTTGCTTGTAGCTTGTGGTTGCCCGCCTACTGGGGCGTGGCCTCTGATACTATCTACGAGGATGCAGAACCTGCATCCGCCCCGTTTTTCTTCCTTCCTTTTCTCTGGCTGCTCGCTTGGATTGTTGGATTGCGGGATTTGATCTCTGTCCACCGTTCAGGCAGAGAATTCTGATTTGTGAGTTTACTCCTAAATAAATAACTATCTGTTTCTCAATTCTGAGCTAGTGTGGGATTTCTTTCAAGCATCCGTTCATCACTAGGTCCCCTCATCATCCTAATCCAAGTCTTCAAACACTGAGGCACCAGGAAAAAAAAAAAAAAACCAGTTCTGCAGAATGGCTTCATAGTGTTGTTATGGAAATGCAGAATTGAGAAACTTTCCAGTAGTAAATACTGTCACTTACTGAGATTCTAGAGAAAACAGAAAATGAATGTGAAGACACCTAGGAACATCTTGTCTATGTGTTTATTTGTGACTTAATAAAACTGAGACTCTGAGATAACAAGCCCAAATATTGGACCCAAGGTGACTGAACCATACATATCAATGCATATACTATTCTGTCCATGAACCCATGAACTTCTCAGACTCTTGGAGAATTAAGGGTTATAGCTCTAAAATGTTTATAACGCAAATGACACTTGTGCTCCTGAATTTGTTTGGCTGTTGCTATGAGAAACATGAACGCCCAGTCACCAATTCTGCAAACCTAATGAGAAACAATGAAAAACATTTGCTGTTTGACACTTTATAGATAAGGCACAACGCTCACCAGATGTTTGGCTCCTTGGAGACATGGCCAGAGACAGCCAAGTTTAAAAAGCCCCTACACAAAGTCGGGTCTTCATTTCAGTCGCATGGCGGGATACATGGGGCCATTGAATAATTCCTTACTGCCACGGCAATTTGAAACCTGTAAAACCTGATCTATCGAAACTGAGACACCAGATTTAAATTAGAGCATGAATAAAGAGAAATGTGTTGGGAAATGAAAGTTGGCTGTTGAATGAATGAGCTTCATTGTGTAACTTTGCTGGCTAAACCAAAAGGCTTCCCTGACTACTTTTTCTAAACACAATGCTAAAACGGTGCAAACAATACATGAGGCAGGTCTAAGGAAAATACCTGTAAACTTGAACTTCTCAGATTAGTTACCCAAAAACCTCAATGAGCCAATGTGGATCTGATTAATTATGTCTATGATACAGACATATTGAATATTATTTTGTATTTGTGTGAGATCCCCAACATACTGTCTGCTGGGCAAACACCTACCTGGAGACAAAGTGATCACTCACAGTATTGGTTTCTGTCACCCATGAGATGGTCTAAGAGCTTTGTTTGTTTGCCTTGTGTTTTCCTCTGGGCTTTGGCTCTGCTCTGTCTTCTGCATTTCTGCTGTGCAGACTGGGTGTAGTGAGCGGGACAGGATCGCCATTACAAGATGGCGCCGACATCCTGTCTTGTTGGAAATAAACAACTCCATATTTGGCTCTGCCTTTGGGAGCTGCGTGTCCCCCACTTCCCACATGCATGGTGGATAAGGGTCCTTGGGCCTATCCCGATGCAGTCTGGTGTCAGCTGATGGTGGCAGCCAATTACAGGGCGACCCGTGTGCCAATTCCCTATATAAGCAGCTGCTTTAGTGCTCTTGGGCCTCTCTCTTGTTTCCTGTCCCTCTCGTCTCCTGCCCCTCGTTTCCTGCCCCTCGCTTCCTGCCCCTCGTTTCCTGCCCCTTCGCTTCCTGCTCCCCTCAACCAAGAGCACTCCAGTAAAGCGTGATCTGAGAAGAATCCTCGTGTGGTGGTTGTTCTTTCTCGCTGGTCGAGAAGTTCGCCGCAACTGGGGTTTAAATTCTAGCTTGTTAGTGAGCAGAAACAAGTTAGCAGCTTCTACTGCACTTGCCACAAAGATTCACAGAGCCTATGCTTTTCATCTGCAAATTACACCGTTGTAATGATTCCTTAATCCAATATTTAAGACCAGAGATGTTGATTATACTGCACTTAGTGGAAATCAAGTATGGCATATGATCAAAATATATTGTATTAAAATACTTAAAAGATATACATAAAATAGTATGAGGCCATTAATATGGGTTTCTAAATAAGTTGAAAAGTACAAATTTCCTTTACATTTTACCCCCAAAAATCCGTATAATGGCGTAAGAAGTCAAGCCAGACCAAGAGAATGTTCATTCTGAGTTCCATTTGCTGACTGAATTCTCCACTGCTTATTTTTGTCTCTCAAGATGCCTAGTATTGAGTTACAAAATGCACCAAGGCCTTCCCAGAAGGCTGCTAAAAGACATGTGGAATATCTTATCCCGAAATGTGGTTTTAATTTTCTGGCACCGGCTTAAAGAAAGCACAGTTGTTTGACAAACCCACCCCGGTTCTTTCTTCCAGCACGTCATGGCATCGTGCTATAGAGATAAAATTGAATTTGTTACCATCCACAATAAAGAGAGTGGCAAAGAAAGCTTTTGTTTGTTTGGGGTAGAATCATAAGCAAAATGTAATTATTTAAAGATTTTCAATGTTATGACTTGTAAATATAGTCAAATACATTTAGAATCATTTCCAGTTATTATGTAAAAAAGAAATAAAAATAATTATTGCTCTGAATCATTTGCATTTATATCATTTGTTCATAAAACCAACCCAGATTTTTCCATAAACGATACAATAATAACCACCAGATGAGGCAAGGAAGAAAAAACTTCCAACATTTTTGCTTACTTAGGGTATTAAAATTGCCTTTATATAATTTTTGTTCAACTAACATTTTAATAAAAGATTTTTAAAATTTATTTATTTTTAATTTTATTTTACATTCCAAGCAAAGTTTTCTCCTCCACTCCTGCTTGCCTCTCCCCCTCTCCCCAGCCTACCTCCCATCCACTCCTCCCAATGGGTGAGGGCTCTGATGGAGAGTCAGTAAAGTCTGGAATATTAAATTGGGGCAGGGCCAAGCCCCTTCCCCGTACATTAAGGCTGAGCATGGCAACCCACCATAGGGAATGGACTCCAACAAGCTAGATCATACACCAGGGATAGAGCCTGGCCCTTCTGCCAGGGGTAATAAAAGTTTTAAGACATTCTAAATCAAGGTATCTTGGGCTTTTTTCACACATTTCACTCATTTCGTTGTAACACAACAGAAAATTCTAGCTAATTTTAGAAGATATTAAGGAATCCTTCTTTCTTTCTTTTTTCCTTTAATTCTAAAATGGTATATCTTAATAAACTAAATCAAGCTGGCAGTTGTATGAAGTAAGCAATAATTTGATCTTTTCTAGAAGATACATTGGAGAAAGTGAGTTGTGTATGCAAGAATTTAAAGCTGCATAATAAGAAATGATGTTCTCAGTTTCTTCGTTTCATGCCTGTTTAAAAACAGTCATAACTTGGGCCATAATTTCTGCTTCTTTTCTTTACGGTGCTCCCCTTGATTGTGTAATTTTTACTGACAACAAACTATCCCCAAAATTTAAGTAGCTTGAACCAGCAACATGCATGATCTCTCAGTCCCGGTTTAATTTTTGTATGCTATGTTTACACTCATGGTATTTGACATGTATGATAGAATGGTGACTATAGTAGAAGAAATTAATATAGATATCATGCCACATGTGACATGTTTTTAAGAAAACAGTCTAGTTCTTTAAAAAGAACCTCATACAATACAATGCTAACTAGAGTTTTCATGCTGCGTACTAGATCTTTAGAAGTGTTTTCCTTAATATAAAATATTTTATATTGTTTTGTTTCTATCTCCCTTCTCCACCCCATGAGGGATCATTATTTTATTTTCTGAATTCCATCTTTTATATATAGGAAGGAGTGTCGACCAAACGTCAATCAACTCAACACCAGGAATGAGTTGCTACAAAAGACAGCATAGACATTATCAACCATTTCAATGCACAAACCACAGTCCAATGCAGAGAGACAGAAGAATCCTGGCCAACGCAGCCCATATCACCCTCAAGAAAACTGGGTCTGCAAAATTAAAACTGAAAAGCTTCTTCTAGCTATGATTGCTGCAAGATCTTTCTAATCCCATGAGAAATAGGCATCTCATTCATCTGTTTTCTCCTTACTGTTCTACCCCACCTTAACTACCTTTTTCAAAAAAAATCACAAAAATCCAAGCAACACCGATTCATGTCATTCTTCTAACTGTTGCCAGCTGGATGTCAGTGATCACCTTGACGTAGAAGCTTCTTTATTAATGAAAGAAAAATAGAGGAAGCACAGGTGAACCTCTATATGAATGAACAATCATGTCATGACTGAGATTAATTAACACATTTCTTCCTTGTTTGCTTTTTATAATAAACAGCCTGAGTTTTGGGATTGCCACTGGTATGTCTCCATTAGAGGGCAGACTCCATCTGAGCCTAGCTTTTCTGTATGCGTGTCTACTGTTCCTTCATTCCCTGTTGCCCCTATTAGGTAGTTAATCCTAAACCATGAAGGTCATTCCCATGGAAATGACTTTTCTGAGAAACGTTACTTGTCGCTTGCCATTCAATGTTTCCACCAAGCCTGTAACCAAGATATATGTACATTTTATAATCATAATGTGTTTTGTAATAATTATAATTATGTACTCATCTTGCTTATATGCTGAGCCCTCCACCTATCTCAGGTAGCACCGATATATTTTAAAAACTGTCATGATTTATGACCTTCTTTGTTCTGCTCCTATGAAAACTTCATGAAACTGCTGCCACGGTGTGTGTTGGCTTGAATGAAAATGACTTCCGTGGGCTCCTTGGGAATGGCACTGTTAGGAGGTGTGACCTTGTTGGACCAGGTGTGGTCTTGTTGGAAGAAGTGCTCCACTGAAGGGGGGGGGAGGGGCAGGCTTTGAGGCTCGGGAAGCTCAAGTCATGCTACTGCCTGTTGATTCAGATGTACAACTCAGTTCCTTCTCCAGCATCACGCCTGCCTGTGTGCTGCCATGCCTCCCAATGGGCTAAAGCCCTGAACTGTCTGCCAGCCCCAATTAGACTTTCCTTCCTAAGAGTGGCCGTGCTCATGGTGTCTCTTCACAGGAAGACAAACCCTAAGACATGTTGGAACATGGAATTGGGGTAACCTGAATCTGTGTTCCTGGGCCATGTTCACTAACATGTGACCCCAGAATAAAGGAATTCTTAACAACTTTGAGTTAAGAACTGTGTTTGTACAGTGCACTATTGGTTTCCACCATTCAGCTTTGAGTTAAGAACTGTATGTTTGTAGAGTGCAGCTATGGATTTCTGCCATTCTAATCCCTATTATCTGTATCTGGTAGAAAAGGTTGATGTATGTGAATTCTTTCAACTCCAGATTTTTTCAAATCTTTCAGCTTCTGAGCCCAGAATTTCTTTGATTAACTCTACTTGATTTTGAAAATCCCAGTGGTTAGGATTTGCAGTAATAATATACATAAACCTGGGTAAGCTAAAAATATGACAAGTGAAATGTCAAATGTCACATGCTTGGGAACTTGAGTGTTAGGAAGTTTAAGGACATAAATACCTACTTTAAATAGTTAATTAGTCCTCCTCTTCTATTCTTGCTTTGTGTAATGTTCCCCTAACATTCATCAACTTAATTGGAAATGAGTAGCTTTTATTTGTACTTAGAGAGAACAGTCTCAGTGACTTCATCCTTCCCAAGTCATACTGTTGAAACACATGTTTTTAAAAATGGAACTCACTCCCCCATACTTTTGTAATTTAGGATCTGCCTTGTTTTTCTGATGCAAAATGATTTATTCTTCAAGAGCAATAGAATTGCATTGGATTCTCTTATAGCAGCCAGAAATAAATCTTTCTGACTAAATATGGAATGCTGAGATTATTCTTTGGAACTGTTTTTTTATTGAATCTTTCACATGAAGCTTTGTTCTTTCATCATTTGTCCATACATATATGCAGCTTAACTATGTTCAGAGAATTAAAATAACAATGAAGAAAAAAAGAAAACTGTATGTTAGGGATTCACTATATATATTTCAAAATTCTCTAAAGATCTAAGATGACCACCCCCCAAAATCCCTTCATTTATTCTATTTTTTTATTCTGCTATGCTTTCTAAAATAAAGAACATAATGTGTAATTTATAAGAAAATAAAACATTCAGCCGGGCGGTGGTGGCACACGCCTTTAATCCCAGCACTCGGGAGGCAGAGGCAGGCGGATCTCTGTGAGTTCGAGACCAGCCTGGTCTACAAGAGCCAGTTCCAGGACAGGCTCCAAAACCACAGAGAAACCCTGTCTCGAAAAACCAAAAAATAAAAAAATAAAAAATAAAACATTCATGAAGTTTTGATGTTTACTTTTCCCCACCATTAGAAACACTGAGATTTAATAACTCATATTTTGCTATCAGTGAAGAACGCTAATGAATGAAATAAATTATGGTACTAAAGCAGACATAGAAGTTGAGATTAAAAAGAGTAGACAGGAGAATCTTGAAGAAAATAACGAGTATTAGCTTAATAGTTTTTAATGCTTTATCTAATAAGGGTGTGATTCTCCACTCTTAAAATAATGTCTCTAAAATAATATACATTTCCTACTTAAAAATTCAGATTTGTTATAGTTTGTTCTTTATTGCTGTGATAAACACCATGACCAAAGCAGCTTGTGGTGGGGGGGGGGGGGGAAGGGGTTCACTTCATCTTATAGGTTATAATCAATCGTGGGAGGAAGCCAAGTTAGGAACTCAGGTTAAGAGCTTGAAGCAGCAACCATGAAGGAACGCCGCTTACTGACTTCGTTTTTGTGACTTGTGCTCAACCAACTTTCTCACACAACCCAGAACTACATAATCAGGAGTAGTAACACCTGTAGTGGGATGGGCCTTCCCATAGCAATTAAAAAAATCAAGAAAAAGCTCTACAGACATACCTAGAGGCCAGTAGGATTTAGGGAGCTCTTCAGTTGAGATTCCTAGGTTAATATGCATTTTGTCAAGCTGACAGATGAAGCTAACTATGACAATATCCCATAATATCACCATGGTGTGGAATCATCACATGTATGGTGACCTAACCACATGTTCTATACTCTCCAAACCATGATTATGGTTTCAAATTCTTTCACTTCTCTTTCGCAGTAGCTGATTTCAGAAACCAACTGATTGCTGTCCTTCTAAATTCAACTCTAGGGTAGTTAGTGAGACAAATAGAGTTCTCTCTATGTGCTTACATGGCTAGCTTGTTCTTAGAAAATGCTCCTGAGGGCTTGGGATGCAGCTCAGTGGACAGAGTGCGTGCCTAGCTTGCACCAAGTTTGGGATTCCATCCCTGGCATTGCATTCAACACACAACTCGGTGTGGTGATACATACCTATAAATTTAATATTTGAGATGCAAAAGTTCATGGTCATCCTCAACATCGAAGTGAGTCTGAAGTCAGCATAAACCACATAAGACAGCATCCAAAAAATAGGAAAGGAAAGGGATGGAAAAGAAAGAAAAGGAAAAAAAAAAAAGAAAAGAACGATAAGGCTCATAAAAATCCCAACCACACAATCATCTTCACATGTACAAGATTCACTTCACCTTGGGACAATTTCCAACACATTATCTGAAAGAAACTGAAGGAGTGAGGGTCAGACCCAGGATAGAGCCAGGGAGATTTTTCTTTGTGGGCAAGGCATTTTATGCAAGTTGGACAGGTTCCTGGCCAACACTGTATCTGTGCTTGTCTTTTTGAGACACTCTGCTCCTTGCTATCACCACACAAGACATGCAGCAAGTTACTGTAAGGTATTAAGTTGTGGATCTTCTTCCCAAAGATACGGAAAATATTGATAAGGATTCTTGGATCACTAGTATGCCTATTTTAAATTTTGTTTAAATTTTATTGCTTTTGTTGTTTGCTCTAGAGATTTTTGGAATGTGCTTTACTTTAACTTCTGATGAAACAATGCTTGCCTGTTAGTCATCTGTGAGTCAGTTTATTGCTGAACTGTAGTTAGGGTGTTGTTGGCCCTCGGTACTTCCAATAAGAATTGGGATAAAGGAAAGGTGGATAGGGGAGCACGGAACCACAATTCTTAGTTAAGGGAGCCACTTTAGGGTGGGCAAGAGACTTGACCCTAGAGGGGCTCCCTAGTGCCCAAGATGAGGTTCCCAGTTAGTTCCTTGGGCAGCTGAGGATTGGGAACCTGAAATGACCCTATCCTAGAGCAATACTGACGAATATCTTGCATATCATCATAGAATCTTCATCTGGTGATGGATAGAGATAGAGACAGAGACCCACACAGGAGCACTGGACTGAGCTCCCAAGGTCCCAAGGAGGAGCAGAAGGAGGGAGAACATGAGCAAAGAATTCGGGACCACGAGGCGTGCATCCACCCACTGAGACAGTGGAGCTGATCTACGGGGAGCTCACCAAGGCCAGCTGGACTGTGACCGAAAAAGCATGGGATAAAACCGGACTCTCTGAACATGGCGAACAATGAGGGCTGATGAGACACCAAGGACAATGGCAGGGTTTTTTTTTTTTTAAATATTTATTTATTATGTATACAATATTCTGTCTGTGTGTATGCCTGAAGGCCAGAAGAGGGCACCAGACCTCATTACAGATAGTTGTGAGCCAGCATGTGGTTGCTGGGAATTGAACTCAGGACCTCTGGAAGAGCAGGCAATGCTCTTAACCTCTGAGCCATCTCTCCAGCCCCTGGCAGGGGGTTTTGATCCTACTTAATGTGCTGGCTTTGTGGGAGCCTAGCCAGTTTGGATGTTCACCTTCCTAGATATGGACGGAGGGGGGAGGACCTAGGACTTAACACAGGGCAGGGAACCCGGACTGCTCTGTGGACTGGAGAGGGAGGGGGAGAGGAGTGGGGGGAGGGGGAGAAGGGTGGGAGGAGGGGGAGAAGGGTAGGAGGAGGGGGAGAAGGGTGGGAGGAGGGGAAGGGAAATGGGAGGCTGGGAGGAGGTGGAAACTTGTTTTTTGTTTATGTTTTTTTTTCTTCTTTTCGCAATATAAAAAAAAGAACACAGCTTCCACTTGCATTCCCCATTAATTTAATAATTTTTAAAATGTGGAAACAGAAAGAGAAAAATACAAAGTCCATAAAAGTATTGTAGGTCTGAAAACAGAACAACACAAATTTCCCCATTTTCAAGGTACCAGTTACAACACAAAAACACAGTTGTCATTTGTACTGTGTTAGTAACAGGAAATCCTAATGTGGATGGGCATGCAGTCACTTGCAAGTGGGCTAAAGAATCGCCACAAAACAATTCCTAATATCTGAAATTCTTTTAAGGATAAAAATAAGTCACAACAAGATGGCCTGGATGTTTACTGACAGCAATATGTAAGGTTAGCATACATCCTGCTTGCTAGAAACCATTTGTGGCGGTCCACAGAATTGGAGCCTTATTTCTATCGGAAATGTCTATTTCCTTATGCATTTGACTCTGCTGTGCCTTGTAGATAATGTAAAGAACTGTACTCTGGCACCAGAATTTCCCAGCCACTATTAGTAATTCAACAATAAAATACTTTAATGATAAGTAATGGCCACTTTTCTCTCTAACAATGATTTGTACTTGCCCGCCCATCTCTTCCACTCAGCATGTTATTTAAGAAAGTGTGCTTGTAGGCTAAGGAACACAAGGGTTAAGGAGGAATGTTAAATGACTTTGACAACAGCCGTCTCAATATAAAGTGACTTTAAAAAAAATGTAGGAATTCAACATTAATATGTGCACTGCTATATAATGTGGAGGTATTTGTCATTGTGGGAAGCTGAGCATCTCACACATAGGCAATGTCAATTAGAGAAGTAATCTGCAGGCTAACGAGCGCTGCTCTGCCAGTGGCATGAGTGTATCCTTTAAATTGTTTGGGGTCACAGACGTGTTGAAGAGTGCATTTGAAAAAATATTCAATAAACTTAAATACCATATAAATCATTTAAAAACATTCTAAAAAGAATTTCACCAAAATACAATGAAACAATAATATAATTAAGATCCAGAGTGGTAGTTTTGATTGTATTTTGACTATTGTGTAATAATGCCATGAATGTAGTATTGTTTCCCAACACAGTGTTATACACACACACACACACACACACACACACACACATACCACGTGCACTTTTTTTTCTCACTTTAGCTTTAAAAACTATTTATTTTGTATATTTAGGTATTTTTGCCTCCATATGTATCCGTGTACCATGTGTACGCCTGGTGCCCAAGGAGCTCAGGAGAGGCTGAGCCCCTGAATTGGAGTTATGGATGGTTCTGAGCTCCCATGTGGGTGCTGGAAACTGAACCTGGGTCCTCTGGAAGAAGAAGGTGATCTTCACTGCTGAGCCACTGATTCTGCCCCCCTTCCTTCATCTACAATTGTTATAATTATATTGGCATTAATGGACTCCCTGGAGAAAATATTATAGAACACTTTTTAGTATACAAACTTACTAAGCTTAAATCTGGCATCTCAGTATTTCTTCTTGCAGTGTGACAGATTATTTTCCTGGAGAAACATCACACACACAAACATACACATCTATTCAGCCTAGGATAGACCAAAGTAACAGGTACGCCATGACTCATAAACAACCACATCATCAAAAAAGTTCACCCCAATAGGAGTGATAACTCATGAAAACTGCATTCCTGGAGCTCTCTGCACAGCTCCCAGACAGCTTGAGAGTGTGAGAAGTTTCTCTGCAGCTCAGATGGCTACAATGCTCTCCTTTAACAGCTGTTTATTGTTTTTATAAAGTTCAAGAGGTATCTTTGATATTCTTTGGAATTCCTCACAAGTGTGCCAAGAAGTTTGCCTTTTAGTTAACTCCAGATCTAGTCAATTTGACAGTCAAGATTTACTATTATACCATGCTTGAGAATCATGATGCCCTCAGAACATGTCCATTAGTGATGGCCATTGATACAGTACCTTTAAGAAATTCCACATGTTATGCTTATAATAGCTAAATTGGGGCATTCAGAGCAACAAGCTCTCCTCCTGATGTCTTTTTTTTTAAATTTATTTATTTATTAAGGATTTCTGCCTCCTCCCTGCCACCGCCTCCCATTTCCCTCCCTCTCCCCCGATCAAGTCCCCCTCCCTCATCTGCTCAAAGAGCAATCAGGGTTCCCTGACCTGTGGGAAGCCCAAGGACCGCCCACCTCCATCCAGGTCTCCTAAGGTGAGCATCCAAACAGCCTAGGCTCCCCCAAAGCCAGTACATGCAGTAGGATCAAAAGCCCACTGCGATTGTTCTTGAGTTCTCAGTATTCCTCATTGTCCGCTATGTTCAGCTAGTCCGGATTTATCCCATGCTTTTTCAGACCCAGGCCAGCTGGCCTTGGTGAGTTCCCTATAGAACATCCCCATTGTCTCAGTGTGTGGGTGCACCTTTCGTGGTCCTGAGTTCCTTGCTCGTGCTCCCTCTCCTTCTGCTCCTGATTTGGACTTTGAGATTTCTGTCCGGTGCTCCAATGTGGGTCTCTGTCTTTGTCTCCTTTCATCGCCTGATGAAGGTTATATATATATATATATATATATATATATATATATATATATAGAGAGAGAGAGAGAGAGAGAGAGAGAGAGAGAGAGAGAACTCAAGAAACTAGACCGTAAAAGGCTAATCAACCCAATTATAAAATGGGGCACTGAGCTGAACAGAGAATTCTCAACAGAAGAACTTCAAATGACCAAAAGACACTTAAGGTCATGCTCAACTTCCTTAGAGATCAGGGAAATGCAAATCAAGACAACTTTAAGATACCATCGTACACCTGTCAGAATGGCTAAAATAAAAAACACCAATGATAGCCTTTGCTGGAGAGGTTGTGGAGAAAGGGGTACACTCACCCATTGCTGGTGGGAATGCAAACTTGTGCAACCACTCTGGAAAGCAGTGTGGCGGTTTCTCCTCCTGATATCTTATTTCTAAACTCTGGATCACTACTGCCACTGGGTCAATATGTGTTATTTCTGCCTTGGTTCTCTGCCCACATCTGTATCTGCATATGGTTCTTTCTCATTTGTTCTAGCTACAGAATGTGATCAAGCAATCTATGTTTTTAACAAGTCTAAATCCTGAACAACTCTTTATGAAAGACTATTTAATGGGAGGAAGAGACCCAGGAAGAGGTGGGGAGAGTTGTAGAAAGATGTATATGTTTTTTAAAATGTACAAAGGATTAAACATGTCACAATAAAACCCACTGTTTTGTATGCTAACTAAAAAGAAAATTATATCTATAGAAAATTATAAAAAGAAAAAATTTTACCTAATATATTGGTTCATCATCTTGAGGTTAGTTTACAAGAATTTCCTGCTGGATCATTTTTTATACTGATATGCTCATAAGGAAACCACATCCTGATTTCAAATTATCTCTCCATCGTCCCCATCTCTATGACACTATGAAAATACTAACAGGTAGGAGATTTGTGCTGGTCCATTTTCCATCAGCTTCACACAGCTTGAGTCATCTGCAAAGAGGGAACCTCAACCGAGAAATTATCTCTACCAGATTGGCCTGTGCACACATCTGTTGGGCTTCTTGTTCATTATTAGTAATTGCTGTGGGCAGTCGCAGCTACTGAGGGCAGCGGTAGCCCTGAGGTGTGTAAGAACACAAGCTGAGCAAGCCATGCTAAGCAAGCCAGAATGCAGCGTTGCTCCATGGTCTCTCCTTCAGTTCCTTCCTCCAGGTTCCTGCCTTCAGTTCCTGCCCTGGCTTCCCTCAATGATAGACTGTGACATCCAAGTATACGATGTAATAAACTATTTCTTCCCCAAGTTGGTTTATTTAGTGTTTTATTACAACAGAAAAGCCTAAGTAGAGCACCAGCAATACTATTAGCTAACAAATAAGTGCCCAGAAGCCTGCAGGTTGGCGTAGGTTGCTTTTACTTCAGTGGTGTCAAAGCAGGGCTTATATCAGTTATTCTTTCTGCCTCCATTTTCAAGTGTATATCTTGATTATTCCTTCTGATTAGCATGAAAAATTACAGAACTTAGAAGTAGTGGTGAGTGTGCCTAAATTAAAAGACATATAAGAATCTGGGCTCTGTTGCTCTGTTTTCATGATTGTTGAGTCTTTAGATCCATACACTGTGATGATTATCAAGCTTTGGTTTTTAGTTTATTTTTCTTTTTTTGGCTTTTTGTTTGTTTGTTTTGTAATTTTTAACTGCTTAGGCTTGGTATAAAATACTTTAATTTAGGTACTTAACTATAATAGTGGTATAATTGGCACATTAAATACCATAAAAGGTTGTGAATAATGTCAGTGGTGTAGAGATGACAGCAACATAAACTCTGTGGGTAGATTTACAAGGGGAAGAAGACAGAGCCATTGTGTGAACAACATTAGCTGGGTGTTTACCAGTACAGCTTCTACCGTGACTTAATTATGTCCTTTTCAGGGTGGATAACTGAAAGAAAAGTATTGAGTGAACTATAGTAAAAAGCAGTAAAGTTGACAAACAATCCTGACATATAGGTGAAAGACCATAGTCCAGGAATTTATGTCAACCCCAGGTCCCTATGTGCAGCCCCAAGACATTGGCCAATCAGACACTTATAACTTCACCCCCTTCCTAGACAATTGCACTTCACATATTTCACACAACCATTAAATAAAACTGCATTGAAAAGGGAGAACTTATTTTCTAATGATACTAAAATATAAATTGTGTTATGTGAACAAGAAGCCTGGTGATGCTATTAACCTATAGACTCTTAATTTCGTGGTAGAAATATAAACACGCAGGTGGAGGCCAGAAGATAGAAGGCTTAACAGCATGGCCTTCCAATTGTGAAAGTAATTCAGTATTGTGTTCGGGCATCTGTAATAGGGAGGAGGCCGCTAGTTTGTTCCTGGCCGCTTAGCCCCGAAATAATCACAGGGAAACTGTATTATTTAAATCAGTGCTTGGCCCATTAGCTCTAGCTTCTTATTGGCTAACTCTTACATCTTAATTTAACCTATCTCTATTAATCTGTGCATCACCACAAGGTAGTGGCCTACCAGCAAAGTTTCAGCACATCTGCCTCCAGCTGCGGCTCCTTGGCTTCTCTCTGACTCCACCCTTCTTTCTCCCAGCATACAGCCTAGCTTTCTCTGCCTAGTTCTGTTCTTCCCTGCCATAGGCTCAAAACAGTTCTTTATTCATTAACCAATAAAAGCAACACATAGACAGAAGGACCTCCCACACCAGGTATCCCTTTTCTTATGGTGGTTAAATATAACCCCCAAATGGGCATAAATTTAATAGCCACTTCATCAGAATATATCTGATAACTAATTACACTTATAAAGCCTATGGCTTATGTAGGATCTAAATATAAATGTAATTATTGGCATAACTAAATAGGAGAAATTGAACTAGAACAGACATAAAATAAACTTTGACTTTCCTATAGTCAAAGTTAAATAGTTATACAGGCTATATAAGAGGTGGGAAGTATTCCTAACATGAATGTTAAGAATATTTGAAACATCTAGAAATAAAATGATCCTGAGTGGTGATCTGGGAAAATAGACTATAACTGCTGTCATTTCTCTGAGGTTTGCTGAAGTTGAGGTCTGGAAGGCCAGACCTTGGTTAGAAATAAACAAAGGAATGCAAAGCTATGACGTCAGTCTAGCAGAGTTCTGGAAAAACTACAAACCGTGACTGCCAAGAACATACTAAATGTCATATTTCCAAGGCAAGTGTCCACACTTGGACATCAAACACGAACTCTTTTCCTTTTTTAAAAAATTCTTCTCTCATATATTACATCCCAACCTCAGTGTCTTCTCCCTCTTCTCCTCCCAGTCCTCCACACACACCTCCCTTCTTCTCCAGATCCAGTCTTTCTGTCCCTTCAGGAAAGGGCAGGCCTCCCAGGAATAGCAACCAAATATGGTATATCATGTTGTAATAAAGACTAGGCACCTTCCTTATATTAAGGTTGGATGAAGCAACCCAATAGGAGGAAAAGGGTTTCAAAAGCAGGCAAGAGAGTCAGAAGCAGTCCCTGCTCCCACTGTTAGGAGTCCCACAAGAACATCAACCTATACAACTATAAAATATATGCAGAGGACCTAAGTCGGACCTCTACAGATTCCCTGATTGTTACTTTAGCCTCTGTGAGCCCCTGTGAGCTCTAGCTGGTTGATTCTGAGGGTTTTCTTGTGGTGTTCTTGACCTTTCTGGCTCCTATAATATTTCTTCCCCCTTTGTCACCTGATTCCTTGAGTTCTACCTAATGGGTGCCTGTCTGTCTCTGCATTGGCTCCCATCACTGTTGGATGAAGCTTCTCTGATGGCGATTATGCTAAGCTCCAGTCTAAAAGTATAGCAGTGTATCATTAAGAATCACTTTACTGATTTTTTTTAGCCAGTCATGTTTGGTTCTGTCCTGTATCTCTGGGCTATCCAGCCTCTAGGGCCCGGCCCTCCAGGCAGTGTTAGAGGTGGGCTCCCTCTCATTCTTGGGTCTCAAGCTGGACCAGCCAAATTTAAGAATATGACTGGCTCTGCAGTGAAAGACCCTCAGAGTGGTCCTTCCCTCAGGAGGAGACCCCTAACCCAAGGAACAGTCGACACCCCTGGCTGCAATTAGCAAGAGGTTTATTGGGTGGGCACAGGTACCTGTGGACGTCAAAGTCCTTTCGGAGGACTTGCGCGCCTGCAGGCTGGGAGAAGGTCTTTTTATAGGAAAAGGGTAGCAAAAGCAGGCATACAGAAGCAATGCATGGTTACAGGGATCTCATTGGTCAGTTCGAATGAGGCGATGGGTTCATTTAGGGGACAAGTTCCCCGGAGACATGAAGGTCTGATAATAATAACAGACTTGGCCCTATCTACGGTACATGTAGTTTTTTTCAGAACTGTTCGTTCCCCTCCTAGGCCTGGTATCTGACCACAGATATCCTGTTTGACCACCTAGGAGTACTGACTTTACCTTGAACTTACATTTATTTGTGTGAAGGCTTTGCAAAATGGCATTACAGCAGCTAAGCTGGGGTCTTTCATGCAGAATTAAGCACCTTGTTCATAACATATAGGTTTCTAGGGTTAATTCTAACTCTGACTCCCTGACTCTGCAATTCTACCTTATAGTTGACTTACTCATTACTAACTAGAAACCACTTGGTAATTAGCTGTTGGATATGGAACTGACTTATTTTTTTTATCGAAACAAGGCAGTCACAGCTTTGGCAAGTACATTTATACTGTAGAACCCAATTGTTTGGGCTTGAATCAAATGAGGCATTCCTACTTTCAAGACGCATTGTCTGAGGTGCGTCCTACAGTGAGAACAGTAGAGATGTGGTCCTTGTGTGTTCTGGATGCTATCATAAGGTGGGAACCAACTGACATTTTTGAAAAAAAACTTATGACATTTGGCACAGAGTAAATCTCCCATAAGTGTCATCTGCAGCTATAAATTATCTCTGTAGCCGTCAATTAACAAATTCTAGATTATATTAACACAAAGGTCTCTAGAGACCCACCCTACAGTGTCTGATATGGTGGGCCTGGTATGTGGAGCTTGAGAACTTGTCTAGGTCATGCTGACACGGCCTGGACCACATCGTCAGAACATCTGCACCAAAACATTCATTCCAAGTTCTCATCAAAAGCTCATGTGTGCTCTAACGATAGGACTGAAGCAGTTGTTTTAGTCAAATTAGTCCAATGTCTGTGAGTGAAAACAGTGGAAGCCTGCTAGAACAGCAAGAGCTATTGACTGTCAACAAATTGGTAGGGGTAGTTTTAGAGGAAACACTGACCTTGGATGGTGTGGGTAAGGATGAGAATGGAGAGAAAAATCTCAGAAGATCCAGAAGAATTTCAATCTAGTTCTCCTTTAGAAGAGGGTTTCTCAAGCTGGCAGTGCTGACTCAGGCCTGTGATCCTCATTCCTGAGCAGGCTGAGAGAGGAGGAGGATCAGCTGAGCCCAATAATTCATAAGAAACTTCAGCAATATAGCAAGACCCATCATCTCAAAAGGGGGGATCTCTCCCTCTCTCTGTCTCTGTCTCTGTCGTCTGTGTGTGTGTGTGTGCCACAATAACATTCAGCCTTACAAAAGGATGTCATGACCTTTGCTACAATGTGAAAAAAAAAAATAAAAGATATCATGATATGCCAAGTGAAATAAACCATATACAGAAAAAAATTGCATGTTCTTATGTACGGAGTATTTTTCTAATCAGACAAATATACAGAATACAGACAAAGGTGGTTTATGAAATTGGGGTTGGAGATGGTTACACCTTTATCAGAGGACCCAAAGCAACAACTATAGGGTAAAGGAATCCAGAGATTTAACATTATAGGGACTGTGTTTAAGAGTGCATCTTGCTGACACACACATTTGCACACACAGAGAACAAAGAAAGTGATAATACATTGATTTGTTTCATTCTTCAAGTACTCCATATTTTCATGTGGCACACATCAAACATTTGTAACCAATAAAGAGGAAGAGAGTAGGTGCCTCCCTCAGGGCCAAAGAGTGTGTGTAAACTTTGGACACCTCAGTTCTCAGCTAATTCAACTTGCAAGCAGAAGTAAGAGGAGCTACAGACCCAGGACAGCCCACAGGAATTAAAGCATCTTTGAACGCTATTGTCGTCATCATCATCATTAGCATATATCCTTTGTGCAGCCTGACGGGTTTCATTACATTTTTACTCAAATATATCATGTGCTGCGTGTGTGTTTGCCACCACCGCTGCTGCCCCCCCCCCCCCCCACAGCCCCGCTCCCTCCCGGCACCTTTAGCTTTCCTGTACTTCCACCTACTCAAACTCAATCTCGTTCCTGCTCCTAATAGTACTTTTTCTACTTTCATGCTTAGATTCCCCCCTCCCCACCCCGCAAAGAGGTAGACGAGGTCTCAAAAAGAAAGAACACGTCGCCCCTGAACCAGTGCTTGTACAGCGGGCCACCAGGCAGGATTTACAAACCAACAGCAAACGCGCAGGCGAGCCTGGGCTGGCGTTGGCAGACTCTGCTGGTGGTCCCAGATCGAAGGCCCGCCCAGTCGCACAAGCAGAGGTTCCGGGCTAAGGCTACGTCACCTGCCCCGCCCTTCTCCCCCAAGCGAAGACCCCCCCGTCTCGCACTCCCCGCCCCAGAGGCTGAGCAGACCCCAAAGACCGCGCAAGTCCATTGGCCCAGAGTCAGAGGTGAGCTGCAAACAATCCTGCTTGGGAAGTGAAGGAACTCAGGGGGGCTGGACGATGTGGGGGCTGGGGTCCAGAGAGAAACGGGTGGGCGGGCAGAAGGATCCAGGGAAAGGAAGGTACTGGAGGGGAGTGGGAACAAAAGCAGCTCCCAAATTAAACTTACTTCAGTGACTGAGGCCAGGCAAAACACACGGGGAAGATTATTTGTAGCCTGAGACCCTTGCATAGACACTGCTGACACGTTTATGCAAAACAAGCAATTTGAGGAGAAACTCCCGGAACGTCGGAAAGAAGGAATGCTTGATTAATAGTTGTGTTTAAGTAACTTTAAAGAGAACTAACACACACTAATTGAGGGAGGGGGAGACATTACAAAGTCTCCAACATCAGCAGCAGCAACAGCCCCATAAAGAAAGGCTTTGGTAAGTTAGGAAATGGACATTAACATTACAGTAGCGCCTCCAGGTCTCTGGAGCATCAATCCCCCAGTTGTAAGCCAGGAAAAGAGAACCCGTTTGCTCCCTTTGGAAGCAAAGAATTTTCCTTCACTTGGGTGAAGACTTTCCTAGGAAGACTTTCTGTCTCTGCTTATGTTGCAAGAGGATTCAAAGCCAAGACAGAAGAAGCCAGGTATCGCCAACTCTTTTGTTATATACAGCTTGAGGCTTAAGTATCCGGGAACCCCTGCGCTATTTATGGCTCCATTCTCTTGTAATTAACTCTCAGGCTGCGAAAAGTTGCTCTTCTTTCCCAGCGGAACAGAAGGTTACCTTCACCTTGTTCTTTGTTCTTCTAATGACAGCAAGCTCCCCTACTATTTTTACTCCTGCAAAGAGTGTTCAGAACTTTCCTGTGATTTGGCGGTGACAGTGTGGGCATGTAAGCAATCTTTAGTAAATCTTAATTTGGGTTAAACTCATTCATAACAATTCCGCCTTCGGATCACGGGGCTTGCCCCACGTGTGGGGGTTAACTTGCTCATCGTCTATCAAGGTGAGCATAAGTCTTTCGTGGTTCTGCGCCGCATCCCTATGTCAGTGAGGAGAGGTGTGCTTCCAATCAGAGAAAAAGCAGTATTACCCCTGCAAGGTCAGGGTGGCTGCTATAGCTCTGGGCTGAGATTCAGCCCTCCCAGCTGGTCAGTTTGCTGTTCTCCTGGTCAGTAGCTGGCAATTGAAATGTCCAATGTGTCCTTTTCGGCAAGGATTTGAAGAAATGTTAGAAATATTTAATCTCTTTTCTAGTGGGTTATTACAGCTGTAAAAGTAGTCTTGGAAGGTTAAATCAAATTAATAAAACATGTTATACATTAAATGATACAATGTTACAAAATTGATTATATAGATACATACATACATTGATGCATATGTGGGATATATATGCTGCAAAATATTGGTTATATCCGAGTGGTGAGATGAGAGAAATGATTTTTTTCCTTTTATTGATTTACTGTTGCTGAATTTTTAAAATTGTACATGCATTATTGTTATAGTTTTATAGTTTTGATAGTTTAAAAGGCTCTTGTACAAACGAGACTAAATCTATGAACTTTAATTGTTCCAATATCACTATTGTGGCCTCTAATAATAGGGATCCTGCTTTCCAGGACATGAGAAGCTATGAAGACGTTTTCACATTAATGAGCCCATTTAATGGTACTGTTCAATGGGAGGCTAGCACATGCCCGTCGGATAAAGAGTACATTCCCATAGTTTCCGCACTGGTTCACAGCCCAGGGGCTAAGGGTTCCTCTTTCCCCAGAGCTCATCAGCATTTGTTAGCATTTGTTTTTTGATGCTCTGCATTCTGAGTGGGGAGAGATGGCTCTCAAAGCAATTTTAAATTGCATTTCTCTGGTGGCTAAGAATCTTGGCCACTCAAGTCTTCCTTGGCTTTTTGTATTTCTTTCTTCAGAGCTGGTTATTCGGTTTACTGAATAACTGAATTATCCCAGCCAGCTACTGGGTGTTTGGTGAGGGGTGTTACATTTTTGTAGCTCTTATAGAAGTTCCTAAAAAATATAATAAATCTGAAAATAGGAACTAGAACTACCAGTCCACTCCTGGGTATGTAACACAGATTTGCATAGCAATGCTTACTGCTGCATTCTTTACAACAGCCAGGAAGTGGAATCAACTTACATGTCTGTCAAAATACAATGAATAAAGAAAACGTGGTGCATATGTACAGCAGAATTCCATAAGAAGTGAAATCATGACATTTGCAGGAAATGGATGGAGCTGGAAATCATTAAGCTTCTAAAAATAAGGCGGACGCGAAAAGAAAAAATACCATGAGGCTTCTCTTGCAAGCAGAACCTAGATTTACAATTCTAGGCATATATGTGTGTTTATCATTTTATTTAATCATAGACAATTCTGATTTATATGTTGCATATCTGAATGCACATGATAAGAAAGCAAAAAACGAACCAAGGGGAGTGGAGGTTCTCAGAGAAGGCAGCAGGAAGGAGGGAAGCTAATAAGAGCCAGTCTTAAAGACACAAGGCGCCATTAAGAAAGAGGTTCATTTGTTTTCCAACTCAACACAGACGGTGACAGGATGTGCATGCAAGACCTGCCCAAGTTCAAGCCAGGGCAAAATGCCAGCACAGAGAAAGGCAAGTAGACACAAAGTCCCATCCCTCACCAAGAAGCCATTTGCAATTGATGCCTGCTGGGAAAGGAAAATCGGTTCTCTCCAATGGAGTGACATTGGGTACATCAACCGCACTTCAGGCCAACACAAAATTGACTCCGTGGATATTTTCTATGTTTTTTTTTTCATTTTTCTTATTGTTTTGCTTGTTTTGATTTTCATTTGTTTTTTTTTTGTTTGAGATCCAGAAAGAACATGAAGTTGGGTGGATAGGAAGTGGCGGGGGGGGGGGGGGGATCTGGGAGAAGTTGGGGTAGGAGAAAAAACATGATCAAAATATATTGTATGAACAGAATTTAAATAAGAAAAAAATAAATTTAAGTTTCATTTGCCACAAAAGGTTTGGATAAAGGAACTATCCCCAATTATTCCCAGACTTTTTTGCTTGTGGTGAGACTTTGCTGGAACTCTCCTCATGACTTTTCTGTGATGTCTTTTCAGGATGAAGATGGGTGACAGAGAAGTTGGCTGCTGGTTGACCTCCCTCACTGTGGTCTTCCTGGTGGTCACCCCTGGGAGCAGGGCCTGTCCTCGCCGCTGTGCCTGTTATGTGCCCACGGAGGTGCACTGTACATTTCGGTACCTGACCTCCATTCCAGATGGCATCCCAGCCAATGTGGAACGCATAAATTTAGGGTGTGTGGGCCTTGCCTGATCCCCTTCTCATAGAGGGACCACTGATCATCTTGGTGACTTGTCCCAAAAATAGCTATGCTTACTCTTAATATTTTTCTCCTAAAATGAGCTCGTAAGAACCTTACATTTGTGGAGACAATAAGTATTTTTTTCCTTATAGTCTTTTACTAGACCCTGAAGACCCTCTTAGTTGTTTGGGATCCTCATAATTATGGGGCAGCTTCACTCTGAATAAAAATTTACTGGAAAACATTACAGTTTCTGCTAACAATCATTGCGATGATACAAGGCATAACTAAGCAAGAGGAACTACCTTCTATGTAAAAAACAAAACAAAATACATGATTTCCTTTTGCAAGGTCCTTTGAGGCTTATCAATGTCCACACAGCACATGAAGCTAGCCACCGTCAGGGGGCTTACTTAAAATACTTGACTTCCTAACTCTGACAAATTATGGTGCTATTTTAAAGGTTTATGAAAAATTGCATGTATAAATAAATGCACAAGGAATGGGACACACCATAGGTGAGGATGTGACATTAGCGGTCACTTATGCCAGGCCAGTACTCTTGTTCACCTCAGGAGGAGGAAATCGAGGTGGGACAGAAGTAGCCAGTACAGAGCAGCAGTGCCGTGGAAGCCATCACCAACAGGAAAGGCTGACATGAATTGTGTTCTCCCTATGAGCTGCTCTTGGTCTGAGTACCTTTATGCATCCATTCACTGGCTGTCCTGGCTAGTTTTACGCCTACTTGACACAAGTTAGAATCACTGGAGAAGAAGGAGGCTCAGATGAGAAGATGCCTCAATAAGAACAGGTTATAAGCAGGCCTGTAGGATGTTTTCTTAAGTAGTGATTGATGGGGAAGGGCCTAGCTCATTGTAGGTGCTGCCATCTTTAGACAGGTGGTCTTATAAGAAAGCAGGTTGAGCAAGTCAGTCACCAAGAGTCCTCCATGGCCTCTGCATCAGCTCCTGCCTCCAGGTTCCTGCCCTGTGTGAGTTCCCTTCCTGATGTCCATCAATGGAAAAAAAAAGTGATTTGGAAGCAGAAGGCAAATGAACCCTTCCCTCTCCAGTTTTGCTTTTGGCCATGGTGTTTCATCACCACAATACTAACCCTAACGAAGACACTGGTGCTCATAACGCCTTTAAGTTAGATTCTGTTATCTCTACTTTGTCGCTGAGGAAACTGGAACACAAGACGTATCCAAGTTTTACCCAGAGCCACACAATCCTTTTTGGATCTGAGCTCATAGTAACATCCATGTGGACTCCAGTGCCAGGCCTCTTAACCTGCCAGAGTGAGGGGACAGCATCAGAGAGAACAGCCTGAGTCTTGGTACCCACAAAGAAAATGCTAGGCTTCAGTACATGCTAGACAATGTCTAAGTATTTAAGGATGGGAAGGAATGTGGAGGGAGGGCTTTGAGGCTGCAAGGACTGGGGAGGAAGTGGAACTTCTGAAGTCAAAGTTCAATATTTCAAGTATTTGAGAAATCTCTTGGGAACACAGTTGCAAGAGGGGATTTTCTGTCTGTTTCTCCTTTGACGATTGTACTTTACTCGACAGGCTCGGTTGATGCCTACAACGAATTGTCTTGCAGGTACAACAGCCTAGCTAGATTGGCAGAAAAGGATTTTTATGGGCTGAGCAAACTGGAGCTGCTCCTGCTGCACAGTAACGGCATCCACATGATCACTGACAAGACCTTCTCAGGCTTGCGGTCCCTGCAGGTGAGAGGGGGCAAGCGCCATGGCGGGTTAGAGGTGAGGGAGAACTCTGTGGCACACCCCCCACAGCTGCCTATCACGTGGGATAGAAGATGGGCAGTTTGTAAACTCGGGACAGACATCAAGGAGAGGTTTGCAATTGGGATGCCCTTATATGTGGAAATTAGAATATTAAGATTCCGGGAGGGAGTCTGAGGTGATATCTCAATAGGTAAAATGTTTATGTGAGTATGAGGGCCAAAGTTCGGATCCCCAGGAGCTGCAAAAAAATGTGTGTCCTAGTGGTAAACATGCAGTCCCTGCCCCGGATGCATAGGTAGCAAATCCCTAGCCATCTGCTCTATCCAATTAGTGAGCTCCATATTCAGTGAGAGAACTTGACTCAAAAACAAACATAGAAAGCACAAAGAAGAGAGCCAACTTCTGGTCTCTACACATGTTTTCCACGTTTGTTTTTGAGACCTCTGACTGAGAAACATTGGGTTTGAGGTTCTACTCTCAGGTAACATTTAGGGCAAAGCTTTCCAGTTTGGCTTTTGCCTACTCTGGAAGTTGGCATTCCCAAAAAGCCTTTTTTGTAGAGATGATAATTTGAGTCAAATAAGAAAAATGGGTAAAAAGAGTCACAACTTTTATAAGTACTTCATGTTCTTTTCTTTTTTACAAAGAATAGCACGATCAACTAATTAGAAGGGATTTGTTGAATACTAAAGCATCATGAAACAGTCAAAATTATTTGACCTACCATTCAGAATCAATTAAATTTGTATTATTGAAAAAGACAGCATGCCAGATGTCGCCCAGCTGATGAGTGGAAAAACAAGACTGTGTAACATGCACACAATGTAGAAACCAAAAGGAATGAAGAGTTGACATGTTTTACAACATCTTGAAAACAGTTGTCTAGGTGAAGGAAGCCAGGTCCAAAATGCCACATAGTGTATGATTCTTCTTACATAAATTGTTTAAAATAAATGAATCTTTAGAAACGGGAAGTGAAAGAAAAGACAAAAATAACCGTGGATTTGGATTGGTTTTAATTTGGGGAAATCACAGTTTCCTAAGATGAGATAGTGGAGGTGGATCTAGTTATAGCACTGGTATACTAAAAACCAGTGTGCTGTGCTCAGAGATGGCCCAAGGGGGGGCATGAGTGAGCAGAATGGGGCGATGGGGAAAGAGTCACAAACCATGGCTTCTCTCATAGTTGGAGCCTAGATCTGTCAACATACTGACATAAACGCGGAAGGAGACACACTTAGGGGAGGCAGGGAACCAGCAGGAATGGGAAGGGGACAATGGAAGGTACTGGGAGGTAAACACACATGAAGCATAATGGCATATATTACGGAGATGTCATAATGACACTAAAATTAAAAAACAAAGGACTTTTGGATTATATCTCAATAAAGACACTATAAATGGGGGATATTGAAGTCCATAAATAATAATCTCATAAATCTTAAATTTATTTCTTCTTCTTTTTCTCTTCTTTTTCTTCTTTATTTTCACTACACATAAAAGTAGGCAGAGAAGTGAATGAACAGGGGAGGCGCAAGGGAGGCCAGTGGAAGGGAAATAAATTTCATAGTGCAACACATTACTTTGTATTATAATCTTAAAAGGTAATTAGAAAGCACCAGTGCCCTCGTCACCCAGCTTCCATAGTTATCCACGTGTGATAAGATCTTGTCTTATTTGCAATCTGTATATCACATTCTGCTGGGCTGTTTTGAATCCAATCCAAGTTTATGATGCTTACTCTTATACAGAATAAAAGAGTAAAGAAACTCTAGAAGTGATCATGACATCACTCTCATACATATTACAACTTTAGCGGTAATTCCTTAATATTTACAACTGCTTGTACGAGTCTGATTGTCTCTGATATTATCACATTTAATTGAGCACTAATTTGTTGGATTAGGTTTTAATTAAAGTATGCACATTCCATAGGATTCATCTCAACATATTTCTATATTCTTCATAAACCTTCTCTTTTATGACAGTTCCTTTGACAGAATAAGTATGTTCATATCTTTATTTGCAGGTCTTAAAAATGAGCTATAACAAAGTCCAAACAATTCAGAAGGATACTTTTTATGGACTCCGGAACTTGACCCGGTTGCACATGGATCACAACAGCATTGAGTTTATCAATCCTGAGGCGTTTTATGGACTCACCTTGCTCCGTCTGGTACATTTAGAAGGAAATCGGCTCACAAAGCTCCACCCAGACACATTTGTCTCCTTAAGCTATCTCCAGACATTTAAAACCTCTTTCATTAAGTACCTCTACTTGTCTGATAACTTCCTGACCTCCCTCCCAAAAGAAATGGTTTCCTACATGACAAACCTAGAAAGCCTCTATTTGCATGGGAACCCATGGACCTGTGACTGCCATTTAAAGTGGTTGTCTGACTGGATACGAGGAAAGCCAGGTATCGTTACTGTTTATTTCTTGGTACTAGTGAAAAAGAATAACCAATGGAAGGCACTTCATCTATAATAGAAAATCCTAGATAATATAGATGCAGAAAATGAAGTCCCCCAAATAACTCAGTGACAATGAACTCTGTACCCAAAACTCAGCTGTGTTTGTGTCACAGTGGCAAAAGAGGAAGTTATGTCTCTATAAACTCCCTCCCCTTTCCCAGGCACAGACTTTCTATTCTAGCCCCTGACACTCCGCAACTGCTTCAGCACGGAACCCTACTGTTGCCTCTGCCTGTAGCTTCCTCGTCCTTCTCTGCTTTATGTGCTCCCAGATGGCAGCTCTGCTCAGCATTACTTCTCCAGGAGAGTCACACTGCTCATCTACCCCATCCGCATCAGAATCATGACCTCACACTCATGTAGGTTGCCTGTGTTCCCTTTCTTGAAAGAACATTATACTACTTATAGAATTAATTTATAGCATGAAATGTCTGATGCCTTTTCTATGTCTAATTTATCTATCCTTAGCCTCTATGATATATCTGGGACATAGTACGTACTTAATACTTTTGTTAAGCTTTTATTATATAGGTTCACCATCTATTAGTTACCTATGGTCTTAATATGTCTCAAATGTTTGTGAAAATATATAAAAATGTATATGTTATGTGCCCATACACAATGCACATATATGTGATATGGTTATATATCTATATATGTCAAATACAATCAAAGTCTTTAGGACTAAAATCTTTCAGTCATGTCTATATGACAGGTTCCCTCATGTATTTGATCTCTTACTGACAATTTCACAAGACTCATGAGTTAATCCATCACTGTTTTAACTTAGAAACTTTTTCATCTACCCTGAGCAATCAGATAGCCTTCCACAGAAAGTGTGGCCGTTTCTCTAATACTTGCTGCAGTCCAGTGTTAATATATTCATCTCTACTCGCATCTTCCACTCTTTGGTTCCACAAAACCCTTGGTGTTGCTTTTCAACAAATACAGACGTTTGCCATTTTCCTGACATGCATTTGCTCGTAGATATAAAACTCGAGGCTTTGTGATCTGCTCTTACGTGCATCTATGGATGTCACCTCTTTGCAGTGCCAAATCATCATGTAGTTCTTCATAAAACTATCTCAATTAGCCCACTTAAGAAGCGTGGGTGACAGCATTGAAAATATAAAAAGCTATAACAATATTTCTAGGGAGACAGATGATAATAGCTGTAATAAAGACTGCAAGTGGCCAATTCTTCCATAGAACATCTTTATCTCAATTTATAAGTTAAAACGTGCAAACATTAGGGTCTTAGAGTTAGTTCTGCCAGATACCTGTCTTCCTGACATTTCCTTTCATCCTTCTGTACTTACCCACTCCTCTTGTTTCCCTTCCTTCACGAATTGCATGTTTCTTGGATAGCCCTTGACCAGAGATCGGAATACAGACCAACAAGCAGAGCTTACTGCCCTGTGGGAAGACAGTCAACCAAACAAGACATTCTAATGGTGAATGCTGAAGGTTAAGACAGGGAAAGCAGAGGGCACCGGGAGAGTAAAGCAGGGAGCCCACTGGAAATAAGTGCTGGTCGTACAAGTCCTTGAGGAGTGTGTAACTAGTGATGGCACTGGGCATGTCACACAGCTCCTGTCAGAGCTTGGCATTGAGTGACAGGGCTGAGGGATAGAAAGTGCTTGTGTGAAACTGGAAACTGGTGTGAAGGGAACGAAGTGACACAGCTGGATTAAAATCTGAGCAAACATGAGGCTCGATACCTCTGGTCCAGGCACAAGCACTCATCAAGATCCCAAGACATGGACACAATCCTTCCATGCTGAGGTTTAACTAAGCCAGAAGTTAGCTGTGCTTTCTGCTTCATGAGGTCAGATCCAGGGCACTGACAAGCAAGTAAAGGACACAGATTGTCAGTAGGTGGCAGATGGCATTGCAAGGAACTCCTTAGGATTGTTCAAAGCTTTTAATTCTATCTACCTCCAGTGCACATTGTTATTCTAGAAAATTAGGTGAATAATGACTAATGAAATATTACCTGATACACTGAAGTACAGTAGTGTTCCCTTATCCATGAAGGCTGCGTTCCAGGATTTGCAGTGGATGTGGAAAACCATATGAAATATCAAACAACACCATGTTTTCCTCTGCACATTGTGGCCCTAACTTTTGAAGTTTAAAGTATAGAGCAAAATTAATATGTTTCTTTTTCCTTTTTCCTAATTTCACAGTAAAATTTTCACTATAAATCAAGAACTTTAGCATTTGCCTTGCAACATGCCGCTTTGTTTTTTCTTTCCTAAGTTGAGAAGTTTCTTTTGTCAAGGTGATTGCCAGCATCGCCACTCTTGTGTCTGGTGGTATGATTAATAAAACAGGGATTACTTGGACACAGACACCATCACAGTTTATGTGATGCAGGAAATAGCTACTTAGTAGCTAAGCATAGAGCGTATGTCATCTGCATACACTGGGAAGAAGGGTTGTGTGCTGTAATGGGTGAGGGGCCCATTAAAACAACGTGAGACTTCATCAGCGTACTCAAAACTGCATGCGATTTCAAACTTAGGTTTATTTTTGGAAGTTTCCAATCCTTATACTCAGACCATGGTTGCCTTCAGATGAGAGCACCGGCATACACTTAAAGGGTTTAGAGTCTTTGGCCCGAGTGACTCAGTCCTTTACAAAGAAACTGCACATATTTAACGCTGTTCTCAGGAATTACATCTAAGACACCTGTTGTTTCAATTACCTGCTGAGTTCAGCAAATGCTAGAGGAACTATTATGTGGGACAGCACGGAAGCCTCAGACTGTTGTTTCAGAGAAAAATTCTACACCTCTGTTCTACCATTGAATGGCCAGCTTTTAAAAACAGGCTCATCAGAGCAATGTTTAAAATGCCCTAGTGTATAGCACCTCAGAACCCAACAGGACTCCTTTGTGCCTAGTAGTATAAAATTCGCAAACTGTGACATTACCAGACAGCCTCTCCCCTCCCCCATCAAGCTTGGCTTGAGTCCCTCTCATCCTACAGGACCATCACTAAATAAACCTGGACTGGCCCTCCCAACTACCTTCCATGGTCTACCAATACTCACAACTTATTGGCTGCTTTAACCTGCATCTTTGTCTTGTCCTTCTGTCTGCATCCCTCCATTCCTATTCCAACTAAGCTAGATCACAAACTGTTCTTTTGGATAATGGATAAATGCTTGAATTTTTAATGCATATCCCAGGATTTAGAGATCTCCAAGCAGGCTACCTTTTAAAGTATAGCCAAGTTCTATGACTGTCCTAAAACCTTGGCATGAGGAACTGAAGGGTTATTAATTAAAGTGCTGGACATGCACTTATTATATTGTGTCTCTAGATAAGGAAATGGTTCATTTGATTAATACTTCTCAAGTACTAAATGACTCCAGGTCTAATAAGTAGATCCGTGAATGAGGCTAATGAAACCCCTGTGCCTGTGTGTGCTGTATCATGACATGATGCGTAGACCCATGTTTTAGAAGCCCGTGTATGCTGTATCATGGCATGATGTGTAGACCATGTGTTTTAGAAGCCTGTGTGTGCTGTATCATGACATGATGTGTAGAACACGTGTTTTAGAAGCCTGTGTGTGCTGTATCATGGCATGATGTGTAGAACACGCGTTTCAGAAGCCCGTGTGTGCTGTATCATGACATGATGTGTTAGAAGCCTGTGTGTGCTGTATCATGACATGATGTGTAGACCACGTGTTTTAGAAGCCTGTGTGTGCTGTATCATGGCATGATGTGTAGACCACGTGTTTCATAATTCATTTCACGAGCTTCTTTGAACTCTACTGAAGATAGTTCTTCAAAGTATTCATGTGTTACTTTATAAAGATGCCTCAACTTTTGAGAATAATTTAAATGATGATTTTTTTCTAGATGTAATAAAATGCAAGAAGGACAGAAGCCCCTCCAGTCCTCAGCAGTGTCCCCTTTGCACGAACCCCAGGATGTCTAAAAACAGACCACTTGCTATGGTACCGGCTGGAGCCTTCCTATGTACAAAGCCAACCATCGATCCGTCACTGAAACCGAAGGGCCTGGCTATTCAGGAGGACAATGGATCTGCCTCCACCTCACCCCAAGATTTCATAAACCCTTTTGGCTCCCTGTCTTTGAACATGACAGACCTGTCCGGGAACAAGGCCAGTGTGGTCTGTACCATCCAAAAGCCATTCAAGACGCTGCCAATTGCCTTCACTGAAGAAAATGACAACATCATGCTGAACATGTCATTTTCAGCAAATCTGATGTGCAGTGTGGATCCGGATCACCTCCAGGCAGTGTGGCAGCTACTAGCTTTGTATAGTGACTTGCCTCTGATGCTGGAAAGGAAGCAGCAGCTTCCTGGAACTCCACAACTGACTTCCAAATATAAACAGGTGGCTCTTACGCCTGAAGACATTTTCACCAATATAGAGGCTGACTTCAGAGCTGATCCTTTCTGGTTCCAACAAGAAACAATTTTCTTGCAGCTGAACAGAAACGCCACCACACTTAGCACACTGCAGGTCCAGTTCTCCAGCGACGCTCAAATCACTCTACCAAAGGCAGAAATGAGAGCAGTGAGACGCAAATGGACCATGATTGCAAAGATGAACAACACCAAACTGGAACACACTGTTTTAGCTGGCAGTACTATTGCCCTGGACTGTCCGGGCCAAGGTGACCCTTCACCTCACTTGGAATGGCTTCTAGCTGATGGCAGTAAAGTCAGAGCCCCTTATGTTAGTGAGGATGGGCGAATCCTGATAGACAGAAGTGGAAAGTTGGAACTCCAGATGGCTGATAGCTTTGACAGTGGCCTTTACCATTGCATAAGCACCACCTATGCAGACGCAGACATTCTCACCTACAGGATAACTGTGGTGGAACCCTATGTAGAACACGCGCATGAAAATGGAGTTCAACATACAGTGGGTACTGGCGAGACACTCGACCTCCCATGCCAAACCACTGGTATTCCAGATGCTTCTATTACCTGGATTCTTCCAGGAAACACTGTGCTCTCTCAGTCATCGAGAGACAGGCAAATTCTTAACAATGGGACCTTAAGAATACTGCAGGTTACCCCAAGAGACCAAGGTTATTATCGTTGTGTAGCGGCCAACCCATCAGGGGTTGATTTTTCAATTTTTCAAGTTTCAGTCCAAATGAAAGGCCAAAGGTCAGTTGAGCATGATAGGGAAGCAGATGGATCTGGACTTGGAGATCCCAATCCCAGTGTTCCTCCTAAGCAACCACCATCTTCGAAACTCTCTACATCAGCTTTGACAGCAGGGGCAGAGGCTGGAAAACAAGTCTCCAGTATACAGAAGAAGGGCAAATCCAGAGGTCTAATACATCGGCGGCGTGGGGACTCCACACTTCGGCGTTTCAGGGAGCAAAGGAGGCAGTTCCCTCTTTCTGCTCGGAAGATTGACCCACAATACTGGGCAGCACTATTAGAGAAAACAAAGAAGAACTCAGTGCCAAAGAATCAGGAAAATACCACAGTTAAGCCTGTGCCGCTGGGTGCTCCACCTGCGGTGCTCCCTGCTGAGGAAGAACGTGCTTCCGGCATGATTTCTCTAGATGAAGAATCAGCAGTTCTGAAAACGAAAGTGCCCAATGTTACAGAAAGGTCATCAACTGCTGACTCTAGACCAGCATCTTATGGCTTTGTGACAGGCATGGCATCTGGCACAGAAGTCTCCTCAACTGTGACTCCACACACACTACAATCTAAGCACCTTCCTGATTTCAAACTATCTAATGTTATTGACACTACAGCCGTGACAAAGAGTATAAACCCAACTGCAGCAAGCAAACTTGAAGATGTAACCAACCAAAATCCAATCGTTATCTTCCCATCAGTACCTGGGGTAGCTGAAACTCAGGGTACTGCTCAGATAGGGAAAGGAACATTTTCCCAAACTACACACCCAGGAACAGGGGGAACCACGGCTGTCAGTGGCCATACCAACATGCTCAGCATCCTCACCAACGGAATTGATACAGTCTTGCGGTCAGCAAATCCAACAGAGGATTATGGGCGTCCGATACCTATAACAGGACTCAGCAGAGCCAGGGGTAATGCCACCTCTTCTCACACTACTAAAGAGCCTCGCTTCCCCAAGAACCTTTCAGATTCACACACTGCTGCCCCTTCTCTACCTCACATTTCTAGAAACAGTACCGCTAACTTCCCCTGGTCCAGGCACTTTGGAAGAGAAAGGACAATTTGGAGCAGAGGGGGAATTATAAGTCCATATAGAACCCCAGTTCTCAGACGGCATAGATATAGGATTGTGAGGCCAGCACTCAAGGGACCTGCTAACAGAAGTACTAGTGAATCTTCGGCCACCGAACCCCGTAAGATGTGCCCAACCTGCGCTTCCACAGAGAGACTCACCCTGGCTGCTACAGTACTGTCCACTCCAGGCTCATCTCTTAGCATCCTCCCCAGGGCTAACATCACGGGGGGCATAGAAGGGTCTACCACTGTAGCTCTGAGCCCATCATTATTACTTAAGAACAAACAAACTGTAGATATTGAGACATTACAAACTACTATAAAATATTTGAGAAGTGAAAGTACCCAAGTGGCTCCCAGTGAAGCAAGCACGACTTTCACTCCCACACCTGTATCCCTGGAAAAAACTCCAGTAGTAAACAGTGGTTCCCAGAGTGTGTCCAGTACCATCCAGGAGGAAAGAGACTCAGTGATGACCTCACCAGTCTCCGGTCCACTCAGCAAACCCTCAATGCCAACAGAAGCAACAAACACAAAATTCTCAAGAAGGAAAATTCCCTGGCATAAAATCTCTGTAGATAACCGTAACAAAAAAGGGGTGTTGAAGAATCTGTATCAGTTTGGTTTACAGAAGAACACAGCCACGATGCTTCCCAAGATAGCTCCTCTTTTACCCACAGATCACAGACCCCCCCCACATTCTACCACACTCTCTGCAACACGGATGCAAACTCTGTCTGTAGCAATGGCTGTCACTCACCATAATGCCACTGAAGGTGCCAGAAGTCTTTCAGCGGGCAAGGAGCAGCCCTTTGCCAACTCTGCCTCAGTGTGTCCTGGTGCCACAAGCAAGAGAGCTAATACAATGGGCTTCCTGTCGATAGAAACAGACACACTGGCAATGCCTACGGCCTCTGCATCTGTCATTATCTCTGAAACCCAAAGAGTAAGTTCCAAAGAGGCAAGAGATCAAATACAGGAGCCTCCGAAGAGCAGGAATGACCCAGACACCACCCCAGGGCAGAGTCTGGGCTTCATCATGTACCCATCTCCAACAACAGCTGATTCTTCCTTGGCTTTTACTGACTCCTCACTACAAGACACTAGCAGAATTGTAAGCACAGTTGCTCTCCACCCAGGAACTAGTTTCCTGGGCATAACTGAACTGTCCCAGAAGAATACTCAGACTTTGGGAAATACAACAGCTTTAGAAACAACTTTGTTCAGCGAATCAGAGGTAACAACTGTAAAAAGGACCTCATCTATACCACCATCCTTCAGCAGTGGGGCTCCCCTAATGCCCATTCCTTCCCCTCCCCACTTTATTAGGGGTGTGGTTACAGACAGTGAGGTCACTTCAGTTTTCAAGATGGTGACCAATGGAATCGTCACTATACATGAATCCTCAAGGAACAATACAGATCTGCAGCAATCCTCCACAGAGGCTCGCCCAGCTCCCCAGACAGTATCTCGAACCACTTACTTTACCTCCTCTAATCTGTTCCCTTCTACTCCTGCGGCAGCAGTAAGAACAGATAAACCACAGATTTCTAACTGGAAGCCCTTTCTCTGGCCTGAAAACCACATTCGGCGCAAGGCATACTCAGAAACTATTTTAAAGGGGGAAAGGCCAGCAGGGAGCTTGTGGTCCCCTCTCAGCTTTCCAGACGCCAGCACTTACGCTTTACATGGGAATAGACAAAAGCACGCAGAGAGTGTGATTGATAAGAGACCTGTTCAAAACCCAACTTCCAAACTCCTTCCCTCTGACTCTTTACCTAAGACCATACTGGAAAAACCAAGAATAATTGGAGGAAAGGCTGCAAGTTTTACTATCCCAGCCAACGCTGATGCCTTTCTTCCCTGTGAGGCTGTTGGAAACCCCCTGCCCACCGTCCGCTGGACCAGAGTCTCATCAGGTATTTGTAGCCATTAGCAATACCTTAGTTACAAACCAAGGACATCACTGTATCTTTCAGAGTTGTCTTCAAAGGAGCAACAGTAGTTTTAAATGTTTCCAAAAATATAAAAACTATTAATATACTCACTTGACATTTATGTATTGCTCATTACAAGAATTTTCTTTAGATTTTAGATTTTACTTTTGTATGTGTGTGCAAGCATTATATATGTATGTGTACATGTGTGTATGTGTGTCTGTGTGTACACTTGCACACATTAGGGCAGGTGCCTTAGCACAGAGGTATTAGATTTCCTGGAGCTGGGGTTCTATCTCCAGCCCCTAATAGGTTTTAAACTTCAGATGTATTTTATGTGTATGAGTGTTAGGCCTTCATGTGCGTACATGCACATATGTGCTCGGTATGTACACAGGTCAGAAGAGGGGACCATACCTCCTGGAACTGGAATTACAGATGACTGTGAGCCAGCATGAGGACACTGGAAACTGAACCCAGCTCCTCTGCTAGAGCAACAAGTGCTCTTACCTGCTGAGCCATCTCTCCAGCCCCACTAGAATGGTTTTTAATGTGTTAAGAAGAGTTTGGTGGAACAACTAGATGGCTCCATGAGTAAAGGGAACCTGCAGCCAAGCCTGATGGCCTGAGTTCAATCCCTGGAACAGACACGGTTGAAAGAGAGATGACTCTCACAGGTTGTTTTCTGATTTCTGCAAACTAGCAATGGCACGTATGTGGCCATACACACACACACACAAACCGACATGTGCCTATACATACACACACAAACCAGCATGTGCCTATACATACACACACAAACCGGCATGTGCCTATACATACACACACAAACCAACATGTTCATATATATCTATATGAACATATATATGAATATATATCTATATGAACATATATGTGTGTGTGTGCACACACAAATCAATAAAATGTAATGATAAAGAATGTGTAAAATAAAAAATGATTTTTAAGGCTAGATAGAATGGCACATGCCGATATGCCCAGCAATGTCGATGAGTTCAATTCCAGCCTATGCTATAAAATTAGACCCCATTTCAAAACAACAGTCTTTAAAAAATAGTTTGGATCAATTGGTTATCTGATATTAAATGATCTGCACTAAAACCATATACATTCAGGTAACATAGGGCTGAGCAGATTCTATTTATTTATATATAGTTACTGTAATTTATATATTATCTATACACATAAATATATATAAAAACAATAATTAAAGAGAAGGAAGCCATAAATTTGAAAAAGAGCAAGAGGGGGTACATGGGAGGAGCTGGAGGAAAGAAAGGGAAAGGGTAAAATTATCTAATCGTATTGTAACATCAAAAATAAAAACATTAATTTGTTAAGCCAACAAAAACTTTGAAAGTAGATCTCATATATATACATGTGTATACATAGAGAAATGTCATGTTGAACTATCTGAATTTTAAATTTAAATTTGTGAATAAAAAATTGAAAAATAGCTTTAACACTGAAGAGTTTTTTCAGTTTAAATGTTATTTATTGTCAGCTTAACAAAAACATAGCTTCATGTTTTCTATCTAGTCTTTGATGCTGATAAACTATATATATATAAATTTCTTTCCTTTTATTAGGACTTGAACTATCCCAAGGGACACAGAAAAGCAGGTTCCATGTGCTTCCCAACGGCACCTTGTCCATCCAGAGGGTCAGTATTCAGGACCGTGGACAGTACTTGTGCTCAGCATCTAATCCACTTGGCAAAGACTACCTTCATGTCATGTTGTCTGTGGTTTCTTACCCTGCTAGGATCCTGGAGAGGCATGCCAAGGAGATCACGGTTCATTCTGGTAGTACTGTGGAATTAAAGTGCAGAGTGGAAGGCTTGCCAATGCCTACAATTTCCTGGATACTTGCAAACCAAACGGTGATCTCAGAAACACACAAGGGAAACAGAAAGGTCTGGGTAACACCTGATGGAACCTTGATCATCCGCAATCTGAGTCTTTATGACCGTGGCTTTTACAAGTGTGTGGCCAGCAACCCAGCCGGCCAGGACTCACTGCTTGTTAAGATACAAGTCATCACAGCTCCCCCTGTCATTCTAGAGCAAAAGAAGCAAGCTGTGCTTGCGGTTTTACGTCAAAGTTTGAAACTGCCCTGCACTGCAAAAGGAACTCCGCAGCCCAGTGTTCACTGGGTCCTCTATGATGGGACCAAACTAGAACCGCTGCAGTTGACACGTTCCAAGTTTTTCTTGTATTCAAATGGAACCCTGTATATAAGAAACATTGCTTCTTCAGACAGGGGCACTTATGAATGCATTGCTACCAGCTCCTCAGGTTCAGAGAGAAGGGTAGTGATTCTTACAGTGGAGGAGCAAGAGACAGTCCCCAGGATAGAAATTGCCTCTCAGAAATGGACAGAGGTGAATTTAGGTGAGAAACTGCTACTCAACTGCTCAGCTACTGGGGACCCAAAACCGAGAATAATCTGGAGGCTACCATCTAAGGCTGTCGTGGACCAGTGGCACAGGTAAGCCTCTCTGTTGGAACTATCCCCGTCATTTATTTAGCTGGAGTACATCTAAAATGAGAAAGTGGTACAGCAAGGAGAGCAGCAGCTTCAAACACCATCCAGGATGCACAGGAAGGTGACTGTCTATAGAAGGGTGTTCCATTTGATCTCACTGAACAGAAAGTCACTCTTACATGCTTAACTCTAAGGTCCAGATTCTTGATTTTGACAGCTGAGAGCTGTGGGAGAATCTTATTAGCCTCCATGTTGGTGGCAGGCAAATGTTTTTCCTTTTTTTCTTTTCTCATGGCTGCTTTAAAAATAGTAACTATGTAAAGTTATTCATAATCTCCACATCAAAAAGAGAACTCACTATGAGGTCGAGGCTCTAGGAACAAGATGTTCTGAGTTTCATTCAGGACCCTCTTATCAGACGCTTCACATGCTAATTAAGTCATAATCCTTTCTGTCTTAAAACTGCAGTGCACTTTGTGAAAGTCATATTAAGACCTTCTTAGAGTAAAATATATTAAAAATTCCATAAATGTGATGTTACAAGATAAAAAACCCTTTTCTGCTATGTTCTTTATAAACTTTTGCTTTACAAAGCAAAAATTATAGCTTATGAATTATAAATTCTTGTGATTTCCATGACTTTGTGTAGTGATTTTCTGTAATCCAGAAAAAGATGGAAATGAGCACTTTTATTTACATTTTTTCTTTAAAATACTCATGCAATAAAAAGTAAACATAACATAAATGAGCTTAAATGTATATTGGTATAATTCAAGGTCTTTTTCCTAGTGTTCCAGTGAGCTGATACAGAATAAAATGAACAGACTTGTAATTTTTAATCCAAGAGTCAATATTAATTTTCAGGTTTTTCAGGCACCAAAATTACCTTAAATGTTAACTGTAATTCACTAAGATATAAAGTTATAAAATGCTGAGCTAGAGTGTCAATGTTAGAAACCACATGTTTAGATATATTTTCTCCCGTGTGTGTCCCTATTTTGGCATTCAATATCTTTAATGCTTCATTTACCAGATTTGCCTTTAATTTCACAACACCACCTCTCAGAATTGCTGCACCGGCTCTTAGTTTATGCAGCTCTTTATGAATTATAGGATTAATTTATTTATTTACTTCTTGGAAGAAAGTGACTGAAATTTTGATGGGATTTTTATTTCATTGAGTCTACAGATTAACCTTTTGACCTGGTAGCATGAGACCCCTTACCATTTTTTTTTGTATTCCCTAGAATTCATAGTTTTATAATTCTCGATTTGTAAGTTATCAAAGCTTTCTGATGGAGTATTTTTAGTTTCCTATGTAAAATAATGGTCTCTGAAAATAAGGTTAATTTCTTCTTTTCTGATCTGGACGCCTCAGTTCCTTCTCATTCCTAACTGCTTTCTCCAGGACTTTCTTACTATATTAAGCAAGAGCAGTGGAGCAAAGGGAGCCTTGTTCTGATCTAAGGAACGCTTTTAGCCTTTTCTAATTCAGTGTGATATCGATGGTAGATTTTTCATATATATAATAAAAACTCTTCCATCTAATAAAAAGCACTAGTATCTGAAAGCCATACTGATGATTTCTATGAACACATAAAGAGTTATTTGCACTTCTTCTTAAAGTATAAATAGAAATTCCAGGGACTCTCAACATACTTTTAAAGGGGCAGCACATCTTCATTCTAATCTGAAAACACAACAATAATCAGTATATTACCACAATGCTGTGACCTACCATTAAGGTGCCTTTCTCCTTCAGCAGCTACATGGTATCCCCTTGACTCCCCCTTTACTCTCTCTATGTATCTCTTCCAGTCTGGCTATATTCTGCCCTGCCATAGGCCAAAGTAGCTTTATTTATTAACCAATAAGAGCAACACATATACAGAAGGACACCCCACATCACAGCTAGATTTCTTATGTAGCCCAAGAGCAACTGCTTATGGATGCTGCCAACCAGAGAGAGAGAGGAGGGAAGGGAGCCTCCCTTATCAATCAATACAGTCTCCCTCAAACATACTCACAGGGCAATGTGGTACGTAAACTCCATCAGTTGAGACTCTCGGCTATTTTTAGACTTGTCAAGCTCACAGGGAAGCAAAGACAATCTTGTTAAATTGATGCTTGTCTCTTTTTGAGGTTTTTCACTTCAAAGCTACTTCAAAAGTCCCCAGCCCTCTCCTAAGCAGATAATCTTTTCTTATGTCATTGTTCTTCCAGTGTTGGTTAATAGAGGATGTTACATTCTGGAGCATCATTAGATCAAATCTGAGGTATCACTTTTGTTGTTGTTGTTGTTTCTAAAAGGCTGTCTCTTTACCAGTAGCATTAACATTAACCAGAATCACCGATTAACATTAGTCAGAAACAGTGATTGCTTTGACAAAGATTCTGTGTTCTTAGAAGCCCCTAAGGTAAGTGTAGTGCACACTAAAATTGAAGTCTAGATCTCAAACTTAATTATTCCCTAAGTAACCTGAGATATCTGTCAAGTACTGTGGTCAAAGTTCCTGGCCACATCTATTGAATCTGAATCTCTGGAAAGAGAAGCTATGAAATATGCATAAATTTGGCCCTAGACAATGCTAACACAGTCTCTAGGAGTACCAGCATTTAGGGAATTAGTCCTCAGACTCTCCTACATGTGACAATCATGTGAAAACGCCTGATGTCTAGGCCAACTCCACATCACGTAAGCCGTACATCCTAGTCTTGGAGCATGGGTCCAAGTATTTCAGACTATACAGGCTGAAGATTTAATAATGCAGCCAAACTTGAAAATAAATGGTTTTAGAATGCATTAGGAGAAATTAATAACAGGTGGTAATGTGCCACTAGAGAAAAGACAGGTTTTTCCTGAAACTTCAATCAAGTTCAGCTGATATTTCCTCTATAAAATGGGAGAAATACTTGAGGATTAAACAAAAAAAATCTGTACAAAGTTTCAGTAATTTCCTTTGTGTGTACATTCTCATGATTTCACCTTGGCGTCTTTCCAGAGAAATTCCTTCCACACTTGAGAAAAACAAAGAGCACACTAATCTTATATTATTCTCTATATAGTACTCTCTACGTCTGAAAATGACTTAAGGCTGTTGACTTGGGTAACAGTTATATTTCAAGAAGTCCTGGGCTAGCTGGATGACTTGGCAGGTGAAGATGCTTGCTGCTGTCCTGACCTGTATGCTCTTAGCCACTGGAACATCCCCCCCCCCCCCATTAGAAGCTTTCTAAATGTATTCTTTAAGAAGTTTTGGGGCAGACTAGATGGTTCAGCTGATAAAGACACCCAATGCCAGTCCTGATGACCCCAGTGTACAGGGACGAACACACACACAGTTCTGAGTTTCATTTGTGAGTTTAGCTCACGCTGTCCAAAGAAAGAGGGAAAGTACACTTAGGTGTTCTTGATTCTACTCAAAGCTAGGCTCAGTTTAATCTGGAAAGATCTTCCATCTGGTGGTCAAATGTCGCAATTACAGACAAGGCAGTGGCAGTCCTGAAGCCAATACAGAAACCATCATTTTACAGCTGCCTAGACAGCAGGTGCTTCGGTTTCTAATGAGTCTTAGATTGGTGTTCTCTGTAGTCAACAGAGGAGAAACTGTTCTTCGGTTAAATCACTTAATGATTGCCCCCGTTAATATATTTTAAAGCTATCATCAGACAATAATTTAACACATACATGAGTTATTTTTCCTCAGTAGAAAATTTTAATTTTTCTGGATTCCTTTACTTCCAGCATTTCTCTTAAAAAATTACATAAAGAGATTCACTAAAAGTGTATTTGGGAAATAACCACTTGTCTCGGGTAAATCATACCTTGTTACAGAGCTGTTTTTTTTTTTTTTTAAAGCAAATGGCTTGGATAACAGTAGGTGATTAAGATCTTCATTGTAACGTTTTAAGAACTATCCATAAAGTTAAGGCCAAGCATAAAACACAAACATGTGCACACACACACACACACACACACACACAAGCACATACAACAGGATGTGGTAGATACAGTGATAAGCTTGATAGTAACCATGATTTTCATTGTATCTATGTGTCAGAATTTCATAGTAATAATTTACATGTACAACTATGGCAGTCATCTCTTGGTAAGGCTGGAGGGAGGTAGCACCACATAAATCAGGCCACTCCTACACAGTATGATTTTCCGCAAATGTGCCTAAGTTGCACAAATTTTTAGCCTTTTCCTGTGTATGCCCACGCTCATGTTGGTGTGTCATGTGGGGTGGCCAGAGGTAACTAAACAGCAGGTGTCTTCCACAATCACTTTCTAGTGACCTTGGACCCAAAGTTCAACTATTCAGCTACACGAGCTGTCTATCAAGTGCCAGGGATCCACCTGTCTCCATGCTCCTGGTGCTGGGGTCACAAATGCACGCTACCATGTGTACCTTTCATGTGGGCACTGGAGATCCAATTTCAGGTCTTATAATTGTGCAACAGACAATTTGCTAGTTGAGCCATCTCCTCTGCTCCATGTTCAGTCTTGGAAAAAGGTAACTCTGCCCTCGGTAATCAGCTGTACTTTCACGCTTGTCTCTCTTCTTCTTAGAATGGGTAACCGAATCCAAGTTTATCCAAACGGATCCTTAGCTATTGGCTCGGTGACGGAAAAGGACGGTGGTGACTACTTGTGTGTGGCAAGAAACAAAATGGGAGATGATCTGATCCTGATGCGGGTCCGCCTAAGACTGACACCTGCCAAAATTGAACACAAGCAGGATTTCAAGCAGCAAGCGCTCCATGGGAAAGATTTCCAAGTGGACTGCAAGGCTTCTGGCTCCCCTGTGCCTGAGGTATCCTGGAGTTTGCCTGATGGGACAATGATCAATAACGCCGTGCAAGCTGACGATAGTGGCCGCAGGACCAAGAGGTACACCCTTTTCCACAATGGCACCTTGTATTTCAACAGAGTTGGAATGGCAGAGGAAGGAGATTATATTTGCTATGCCCAGAACACCTTAGGGAAAGACGAAATGAAAGTCCACCTGACAGTTGTGACGGCCATCCCACGGATACGGCAAGGCTATGAGACCCACATGAAGATCAAGGCTGGAGACACAGCGGTTCTTGACTGTGAGGTCATTGGGGATCCCAAGCCAAGTGTATTTTGGTTGCTGCCTTCCAATGATGTCATTTCATTCTCCAACGGCAGGTATGTATTTCATGCCAATGGAACTCTGTCCATTAATAATGTGAAACTGCTTGACTCTGGGGAGTATGTGTGTGTAGCTCGGAACCCTAGTGGTGATGACACCAAAATGTACAAACTGGATATTGTCTCTAAACTCCCACTAATCAATGGCCTGTACACAAACAAAACTGTTATTAAAGCCACAGCTGTTCAGCACTCCAAAAAACACTTTGACTGCAGAGCCGATGGGAGCCCCCCTCCCGGGATCACGTGGATTATGCCGGACAACATTCTCCTTACAGCTCCATACTATGGGAGCAGAATCACAGTCCATAAGAACGGAACCCTGGAAATCCGGAACATCAGGCTTTCCGACTCAGCGGACTTCACCTGTGTGGCTCGGAACGGAGGTGGCGAGAGTGTGCTGGTGGTGCAGCTTGAGGTCCTGGAAATGCTGAGAAGACCAACATTCAGAAACCCGTTCAACGAAAAAGTCAGCGCGCAGGCTGGCGGGACCACAGCACTGGACTGCTCTGTGGACGGGAACCCACCCCCTGAAATAACCTGGATTCTCCCCGACGGCACGCGCTTCTCTAACAGAAGGCCACATCCCCCGTACCTGATAGCGAGCAACGGTTCTCTCATCATTCACAGAACGACTCGGGACAAGTCAGGAAAGTACCGCTGTGCAGCTCGAAATCAGGTGGGCTATATTGAGAAGCTCGTCATACTAGAAATCGGCCAGAAGCCAGTTATCCTGACACACGCCCTGGGGATGGTGCAGGGGGTCAGTGGAGAACCTCTGTCACTGCACTGTGTATCCGATGGGATCCCTAAGCCACATGTCAAATGGACCACGCCAAGTGGTTATGTAATAGACAGACCGCATGTTAATGGAAAATACATAGTGCATGAAAATGGCACATTGGTCATCAAAGAAGTGACAGCTTATGACAGGGGAAATTATATCTGCAAGGCTCAAAACAGTGTTGGCCAGGCAGTGGTGACTGTTCCGGTGATGATCGTGGGCCACCCTCCCCGAATTATAAACTCCCCACCCCGCAGCATTCTCAGGAGGACAGGAGAGGCACTTCGGCTTCACTGTATGGCCCTGGGACTCCCCAAGCCAGAGATCGTCTGGGAGAGGCCAGAACACTCCCTGCTCTCAAAGGCCAGAGGAAGGAAAGCCCACGGAAATGAGCCGCTTTACCCACAAGGCACCCTGGTCATTCAGGGTCTCCAATCCTCCGATTCTGGAGTCTACAAGTGCACAGCACAGAACCCACTTGGTGCTGATTACGCAACAAGTTACGTTCAAGTCATCTGACCGGAAGAACAACTAAAACTGAGCAGAGTCAACATTGAAGGGTTTATTATTATTATTTTTTTTTGGAAGAAGTTCAATCAAAGGCAGCCATAGGCACGGAAATAAATCTGAATACATTTACAGTATTAAATTTACAATGGACATGCAGAGGAGACTTGAAAATAAATGCATTAGGAAACGATGCTGAGTTTCTATGGATTTCAACTCGAACTCTTAACTTAAGGCACTTTGATTTTGCCAACAAATAACAAACATTAAGAAGAGACAATCTACTACAAAATAACAAATGGCAAATGCACCTGAATTTCTAGTAAAGAGAGCTTGCTCTCTCTCTCAGTGGCCAGCCGCCTAGTGTCCATCGTCTACCAGTGTTACACACATTGCACTCAGAGGGGGAGACACTGGGAAAGAAGAAATCTGCAGTCTATGGACATCTTAATGTACACATATTTTTGTCACTGGTTTATAAACATGTTGATAAAAAAAACGTACAGAAAAGAAGCACTGAACCGTTTTGATTATGATGTAGTTCACTTGTTCACACTGAAAATTCTCATTGCTTTAATACCCGCATGAAAAAAAAAAAAAACCATGCCAACCAAAAGGATGCAGGCTAGCTTTCCTCCATGGAAAGAGCAGCCCAGCGCTCACACGCCAGGGAATGTGAAAAGGGTGCTGCACATCTGTCCACACATTTGTCATCCTGAAAAGGCTTTGCAAGGACAATGAAACCACTTTCTAACTTTAAAACCTGGCTAAGGTACCAGCTGTTCGGAGCCATTTCTAAGAAAGGTTTTCTAAGGAGGAATCGCTCCTTTCCCAGAGTCTAGACCTCATACACATAATGAAGTTCCCCTGTCGTTAAAATCTGAATGGTTTTTTGTGTAATTCACTGTACTTATACTCCATGTTTAATTCAACCCAAATATATATGGGGGTAATTGTATGATTTGCCTCTTTTATTCGAAAGTCTGGGGTTTCCTTAGCATAATTTCTCTGGCTTCTGATCAAATAGTCATCTATGTGTGAATGGCAGGAGCCTTTTCGAGTCTTACTGAGTTAGGTTAGAATACTAAAGCTAAGAGCTTTGTTAGCTTGTGTCAATCATTTGAGACTTAACTCCACTGGGTCTCCATCATGCCTGCCTCAGTCATGAGCTGATTTCTGTTAACATCAGTGCTCTATGGCCGCCAGAGGTGGAATGATACCTCTACTTTTAGATGAGGAAGGGTAAATAAAACAAGAAATGAAATCCTAAAATGAATCGGCCTGTAATATAACACATAAATTAAGTGGTTCTTATAGCCAGAAATTGTTAAGTATACCTGATTCCATCATAGTTCAAGGTCTGATCTTAAAAAGCTGAGCTTTCTATCTTAAGACAATTTCCTATCCACAATCCACAATAGGGGTTTCCCTTCTGACCATTTTAATACCACCCACATGCATTTGCTATGAAAGATAAATAAAAATCCCTCTCAAAGTGCCGAATTAAGTGTCAGTAAATATGACAACTAAATTTAAAAATTCTAGTTGCTTTCCTTATAATGCACAGGGGAAAACAGTTCTATGTTTTTCCTCAGCCACCGCGGCATCTCTTACTTAAGAGGGCCTTAGCATGACTGACCTTCCTCATCTCAAGAAATAGAACAGACAGCAACAAAGGGACCATTGCCTTTGTGTGCAAACAGACAAGTAAGCCAACTTCGGCAAAGTGTAAAGTGCGAACAAATGCTACACAGTTCTCCCACTCCCGCTGCTGTGTGCGATGCTGAGCTACAGAAACGATGGTTCAGACTGAAACTGGAATCTTAACTACCAACAACCATTGAGTAAAGACCAGAAGGAACAGGGCGTGACTCACCCACTAGGCACAACATTCGCGCTGCGGTGGTTCTGCCAATGCAGTCACGTGGTATGTTACTTTGAAGAAAACTATCTTTGTGAGCTGAAAGCATGGCTCCAGAGAGAAAAGCAAAGCTGACTGAAATGGACTGCATTGTCGAAAGCAGATAGAATGCTCACTTAGTGAAAAGAATAGTCTTTAATGTTTGGCAAAAGTCTTTCCCAGCCCAGAGTAAACACAAAACAAGCAGGCTGGAGGGCTATATTTCACAGTGTACAAAGCAGTTCACATGGATGTTGCCATGGCAAAGGAAGCAAACATGTATCTGAGGTCATTTGAATGAGTAACTCACCTAGGAAGATATAAACTATTTATATAATGATCTGCAAAAGAAATTATCTAAAGTTGTACTAGCTACATTTTTAAAAAGTAGTTCTACATGGTTTGCTCTTCACAGACAATCTATTCACAGTATGCTTGACTACATTACATGTGAAATCATACGGCAAAAAGAAAATGAACCCAACAAAGAACAAGGGAAGATTCCCTACATGTGTCTTAAAATGCCCTGCAATTTTCACATTCAAAATTTTATGCATCTAATTCTAAAAAAATATTATATGGAATACTCTTAAGTTACACAAACTGATAATAATTTACTGTATTTTTTTCACTCTAATAGGAGCAAATTACCACATACTTGAACAAAGTTAAAATAGTTACTATTTCTTTATAATAAATTTGATGTATAATTTACTTTACTTGTGCTTTTTGCACCAGTTTATAAATACAGTATAAGCAATACACACCCAAGACGGACACCAACATTAATAATTAAATTCAAAATAGCAAATACTTACCATACAAAATTAACAGTAAGTACACCTTTGATGAATTACCAGAGTCTTCTGGACTGTGAAGCCAGACTCTCTGGAAACCGTGTCAAGTCTAAGCACAGTAGAATCTAAGGCCAGCTGTGAGATTTGTTTATCTTTTTTTTTTCTCAAGTTGGCATGAGGTTCTGAAGAACCAAAACTGGACAGTTTTTACCAAAACTGGCAGTAAATAAATGAACTGATTCCACCGTAGCTCTTCTGACTTTCAGTAGCTGCTGTATCTTCACGGAGAATCTGGTGAAAGAGCTGGCCACCAGAAACAAGGTTGAGTGCAGTCACTTGGAAGAGGCTCCTCTAAGCGGAAGTACTAAGCAACAATCTGTTTCAGCACCTTTGGACCACAAAACGAAAGCAAAGCAAAGTCCTTCATAACTGGGAACAAAGTTTATAAAGTGCTTATGAAGTGATCAACATTTCAAATTAGAACGATGCGAATCAATGCTCGCCCCGCCCTCACAGGGGGATGCAGAGTAAATGTGTCATCCTCCCGTGAGAATTGCCACATCTTTCAAATCAGTAGTTTGGTCTACCACAGGCTTAAAAAAAATCGTTCATTAATACATAAATATTTAAACCTACCGTACTTCATTCATTATGTAAATATGAGATAAAAAGCACCAGTTTCAAAAGGTCAGCTACCAATCACACTATCTGGAGTAGGCCTGCGTGATCCACATTTTATAACCTACTTTGAAAATGATAAAACCAAACCACAACTTCTTTACTTATTTAAATACCTCTGCAAGAAGTGTAGCATAAAATATAGGGAAACATAAATAACTCAAAGACCAAAGGAGACTTCTTATGATGACTAATAAATTTGATTTTCTGTTTCTCAGTGCAAACATAAACTTCGCGTCTTCTCTTTCAGATTCAAAAGTGTGAAGGGTGCGCACAGGGGGTCACTCCTTGCTGTGGCTGGTTACCTAGTGGAAAAGCAGAGTTAACGGTTACAGGAACAAACTTGTGCTGCAGATAATGCTTCTGCTCTGGTGTTCCTGTCAGGGACAGCCTCCAGTAAGGGGGAACAAATCAACTGGCTAGACCCTAGGCCAAAAATCACACTGGGCGATCAAGTGCATTCTGTAGAGGGGACGCCTCCATGTGAGAATCTCACACTTGCCAACACAATGCTTTGGGATTAGAGAAACTGACTCATCTAACTTGCTCGAGGGCGGTGCTATGGGACACAGCAGAGCAGGCCAACATGCTCCCTGGCTCCTCGGGACTGACTTGTAACACCATAGTGCTAACCTCCGCCTTCAGACTGTATTCTTGGAAAGAATATTGGATCTAACACCTCATTCCATTTCATTGTTTAATCACAGATTATTTAATAGACCATACTGACTAAGTAACAGCTAGGGCAAAAAAAATGTATGTACAAAGGAATGTATGTACGTACTATGTAACAAAAGCAATCAAATAAAAAGAAGCCATCAACTTAATAGAAGAGGTATGGGAAGGGTTTAACGAAATGTAGCCAAGAGATGCTAGACAAAAGGGAGGGGGAAGGTGATTTAATTCTATTTCAATTAGGAACATACTTAAAATGGCACCAAAGTGTTTATCTAATTATTCTTTATCAATAAAAAATCAGGAGTCACATATAGAGGTAAGAGCTTGAATGATTGGAGAAGCAGAAGTCACCAGTGACCTCCTCTCTCTTCCATTCCTCAATCCAAAAGGGCTGCCCACCCTGCCTTACTACTTCCTGTCTCCCATCTGTCTACAGTCCTCTGAAACCTCTATGGTTAAGTTTGTTCAGCTTGTAGCTAGCTCTGCCCTCTGACTCAAAGCAAACGTTACTGTCAGAATGGGATCGAAACATCGCTGTGTGGCACAGAGAACACTCGGTTTCTGAGGAGTTCCCACCGTTCCAGGCTTCTAGCTGCTGATTGCCACATCTCCCCCCAGCTCCGCTTGAGACGGGTACTTACTAGAAAGCTGCTTCTGGAGCTGTCGCACCAGGGCGGCTGTCTGTTGCTGCTGCTGGGTCTGCTGCAAGCCTTGCCTGGGGAACTGCAATTGCAACAAGGGGAAAGATGAATCAGCTACCATGCTACACAAGGCACAGGCTGCACCTTGGCTTGCCTAATCCACTGTCACATGCCTACAGAGAAAAGGCTCATGCCCAGAGTGAATAACCTTGTTTGTGTCTACAGTATACATAGCCGGTAAACAATGCCATTCAATATACAGCCAGCAAACAGTGCATTCACGGAGGCCTTTATTTGTGGAGTCTTGAAGTGCACACTACAGAGGTAGTCTACTCATTCAAAGACCACTGTCACTTCACTCTTCACCAGCCGGAGGCATAGCCTGACAGCCCGAATCCCTCTTGCTGGCAAATGCAAGCTCTCTGGTGTGGAGATCAGACCAATGCCCATGGACCTCATGGACAGAAAGGAACCTGCCAGGAGTAACGTGTGCTAGCGTAACCTCATTTGGATCATGACCTCCAGCTGAGAGCCAGGGCAGGGCTAGCAGAGCTCGACACCAAGAACTCAGACTTGAAGGGTTTTCTCGTGGTGCCCGGTGAGGGAGACCAGAAGTATAACAAGGGGGACGAAGAACCCATGTGCAGTTAGTTCCTCCCATCAAGCTCAGACGATAAGCTGTGGCTGATGTTCGAGGGGGGAGGGGGACTGATTAGCATTTGATAGAAGGAAAACTATTTTCTATTAGAATCACCAGCTGTACTCTGTCATTTCTGAACACTGGAAGTCAGACAGTAGTAGCTCTTCCTTGTTTTTTTTTTTCCTTCTTTCCTCCTTGGCTGCCTTCTAGTTGCCTGCAAACAGCAGGGATGCTCTGAAACAAGCTTCCCTTAGCCATACACACAGCACTGGTCCCTTCCCATTTACCTCAGTCTGTGCTGTGTTTGCCCGTCTCCCTGTACGGAATACCCTGCGAAGACTGGCACAGCACTCTAGAGAGCACCCCAGGAGATGGAAGGGAAGGAGCAGAAGCAGGCTAAGAAGGAGCTTTGCTTTATTTTGCCAGCCTTTCCCACGGTAGCCCTCTGCTGGCTAAGCCCATCCAAGGCAGGAAGGCCCAGGCTCTTCCATCAGGTAACCTGGATCTCTCCATCTCTGCTCTTCTGCCTCCACCAGGCTTAGAGGTCTGATATGCCTGGAACACATTTGAGTTGCTTTACCTTAGTCTGCCTCACATCTCTCAGGAGTTTTTAAAAAGACCATTCTCAGTGTGAATGCAACATGATTATGTCTTCCTTGGAGATCGTCGGTATGACTGAAAGTAGCCTAGGATTGTCAGCAATGTAGGAAATAAAAATACAGAAGGCTAAATGTGAATCTCAGCCAATGGATAATATTCATTTCACTAATTCAATATTTCATGGGACAAAAGCTGCATTTAGTCCAAGTAGCCCAACAAGAGATTTGAGAAAACTCTTTTGCTAACTGCTTGCCTGAAATTCAAATTTAATTCAAAGTTCTAATTTAGATGGCATTGCCAAGCTGACTCTTAAGTTTATATGACATCTAAAGCCGAGAAGCCATTTCCAATACCAGTGTTAGAGTTCTCCCACCGTCTCTACATACCGTTCTTGGAAAAGAGAATAAAAACCATTTCCATTATATGGAAAAGTCATTAAGATAAGTGCTTTTTATATTTTTTTTTTCTTTTATTGAGAAAAGGAAAAAAAGTTTCCCCCTCCTCCCAGCCTCCCATTTCTCTCCCCCTCCTCCCACCCTTCTCCCCCTCCCCCTCTCCCCGTCCCTCTCCAGTCCAGAAAGCAGTCAGGGTTCCCTGCCCTGTGGAAAGTCCAAGGTCCTCCCCCCTCCGTCCAGATATCATCTTACACCTGTCAGAATGGCTAAAATCAAAAACACCAATGATAGCCTTTGCTGGAGAGGCTGTGGAGGAAGGGGTACACTCATCCATTGCTGGTGGAAATGCAACCACTGTGGAAGTCAGTGTTTCGGTTTCTCAGGAAATTCGGGATCAACCTACCCCTGGACCCAGCAATACCACTCTTGGGAATATACCCAAGAAATGCCCGATCATATGACAAAAGCATTTGTTCAACTATGTTCATAGCAGTATTATTTGTAATAGCCAGAACCTGGAAACAACCTAGATGTCTATCAATGGAAGAATGGATGAAGAAAGTGTGGAATATATACACAGTAGAGTACTACGCTGCGGTAAAAAACAATGACTTCTCAAATTTTGTATGCAAATGGATGGAAATAGAAGTGCTTTTTTTAAAAAATCAGTTCTTTCAATGCTTATTCAGAATCCTACTTATCAATTTGTTCTACATGCCCTGCACTATTCTAGGCACTATAAACACATATGGCCACACTTAATCCTGATGCAGGACTGACTATCCTAAATTTACCCAAACTGTTTGGAACAGATATTCTGGAGTTCAGTGTGTGTCAAAGGTTAACTCTCACCATGTGATCTGGGCTGACCTTACCCTCCCTTCACCCTGTCCTTCTGCAGTCAAGCATCCCCATGGTTGCTCTAGGATACATGAAAAGAGCTGGATGTCTGTTCTTGTCAGCCTTTGCTGTTTACCTTGCACTTTCAGAGGTGTTTGGATTCAGACATCAAACAGAAAGGACTATGAACCTTCACTACTAATATTCTCAAGATCCAGATGATCTGTGCCATTTGGCTTCTGAATCCCAAGGGCACTCTAAACACTACATTGATTTCTCCGAACAGAACGTATGAACTCCTTGAGGAAGACCAGTATAACATGTTGCTGCTGGCCAAAGATACAGTATTATTAACTAATGCTGCTGTCATATACATTTTTTGAAAGGCAAAATGCAATACAATAGGAGCCTTGCCTAAAGACCAATGTATTTCAGGTCACCTAATTAAGACAGCATAAAATGGAAAGAAAATACTTAGAAGCATGGTGTGAATATTATTTTCTTAAATGTTGGAAGCAGCTTTAAGGAAAATATGAACTACATCTGTCAAAATTAGCTAAAAAATACTTTAATCATAACATACAAACCTTATAAAGATTGTAAGTCAGCAACTACAATTATGGCAAAGATTGAGAGAGCACAGGTATTTCCCCAGGAAGGGCAGAGTCTACTGTCAGTGGTCCTTCCTTCACAGAAGACAAATGGCACAAGCATAGACACTAAGTTGTCTCTACAGTTAACTGATAGACATGGGCTTTTCTTAACCTTCCATGCTCATTTCACAGAAGTCTCCTGATGACATCTCAAAGACGTGACGATTTCTGTCTTATGGCAGTTTTGACCTTAAAAACACTTTAGTACAGTAATCAAGTTGGCCACGGGTGCTGGTAGTCACTGTCTACCATGACCCAACTGATGCTATCAACTAAAGGGAACCAACCAAGGTAACAGTCAAAGGGGACAGGTCAAATACTGCCTTTCAAGGTCACGTACATTCAAGCTTTCCACCATGGGCTCCCCAGATTTCTCTATCTTTTGATCTCTGTTAGGACTTCAACTATATCATTCAAAATAAAAAAGCTATAGTCCTAAACCCTAGGACCTCGGATTGTAACCTCACTTGGAGAGGGAGCCCTTCCAGAGGGAATCAAGTCAAAATGAACTTTATTATAACAGAACTTGATATACGAATGGTATTCTCATAAAAACGGGGACATGGGCAAACTGGTGCAAACAGCAAGGATGCTGTGTGAAGGTCAAGCAGAGCCTGGCTACCAAAGATAGCTGGTGCAGTGGGAGAGGCTGGAACAGACTGGCACAGGATCGCCCACCAACACACAGAGGGAACCAACATTGCTGACTCCCGATCTTTCACTTCCAGTTCCCAGAACCAAGAGGGAAAAAAAATTCCAATTTTAAGCTAAGTTCATGCACTTTGTACAGCAGTTCTAGCAAGCCAATTCAACCTCTGAAGCTTTTAGACTAAAAAGATAAAGCCACCACATGCTGCCTGCCATGTACAACATTGCCCTTCAGCCATTTCCTATGATTCTTCGTTCCCTGGTGGCAAAGAGCACACTTGGCACTTTCATGACAAGCTCCCTAACACCTGAAGGGGTGCTGGTTTCTACTGAATAAACCAAATTAACACTAGCTGAATTCCACTGTAACCATTGGCTGACAGGAAGTGGCCGGGCAAGTCATCAGGAGGGTGGTAACTGCTACTTACTCCTCCCTTAGTGCAACACTGATCAGAACCCAGAGTCCAAGCTCACCCCTCCTCAGCAGCCAGCTCACCACTCTCTTCTCCAAACACAGGAACTGAATGGGGGAGCAGGCCCAAAACTAGAGATGGATCTGCTAGAGATGTTTACTATGAAGAATCCAAGGCATTGAAAAAATAGTAAATCTCAGAGACTGAAAGTAATCAAAAGGAAATGTGAACTTTTTCCTTAAATCTCCTGAGGCCTTGTGCCCTTGCTATTGATATACACAAGTAGTTAAAAATAGTTTTTACATCTGTCTGTTATTATGAGACAACCAAAAAGGGGTATAGAATACATACCAAAACACCTTTAACAGTACTATTTTTTAAACTGGCAACATTCCAAAATTTTAACTGCAGAGGAATGGTTCAGCAACTAAAAAACACGATGACATCATCATCATAATTTAAAAGTGTGTGTATACCCTGGCGCAGTAGTACACACATTAACCCCAGTACTGGAGGCAGACGCCAGCATCTCTGTTCGTTAGAGGCCACCCTGAGCTAGATTGTGAAATGCAGGGCAGCTAGAACTGCATCGTAGGACCCTGTCTCAAAGGGTGGGGGTTGGTGGGAAAGAGAAGGCTCAGTTAAAGCTAGGCTCACAACTAAATAAACATCATAGGTACACAATTGTGCTATATAAAGTACACCCAAGAAAGACTTCTGATGATGTGAACATCTCTCAGTACCGACCACTCCTATAAACCTAGTTTCTAATGCTGAAACTGAACACTTAGGTCTGAACATTTTAAGTTTCCTAGCCCATCCTAACACACACACACACACACACACACACACACACACACCACACACCATTTGGTCACTGTGCTGTAATAATGCCTGCTTGAATTATTTATGAGACTGTTCTCTACTGAAACAATACTGTGTTTCTTGGTGGGAATTTAAAGCACTCTGCCAAATAGCACACAAAAAAATGTTAAACAACCACTATTCACCTCCATTAAATTTACCATTAGTAAAGACTTTTATTTCTTTTAAGTTACCTTCTTACGAGCATCATGAAGAAAAATGTCATCTTCCATGCTCTGAATTACCTTGGGAAGGTAGGATGTTAAGCCAGTGGGTAAAACACAATCTATAACATTAAAAATCACCAATATTGCCAGACAGTGATGGCAATCCCAGCACTGGAGGCAGAGGCAGAGGCAGGCAGATCTCCTTGAGTTCGAGGCCTGCCTGGTCTACAGAGTGATTTCCAGGACAGGCTCCAAAGCTACCTAGAGAAACCCTGTTTCGAACAACTGAAAAATAAAAAACTAAAAATCACCAAAACTGCCTTAGAAATCCTTATTAGGTTTGCATGTTCTTTACATACCATAACTCAGTTAAATATTTACACAACTATGATCTAAGAAGAAAATACCAAGTTCCCTTTAACGAGCTCTGACTCAGAGGTAGTGACTTACTGGGGGTTATCTTAGGTGACTTCACATACCTCTGCTGCTGCTTTCAACTGTAACTGGGAGGTTTAAAGAAACTTTCCTTCCAGACCTATCAGTACAGTTTAGTAACAGAATTAAGTTTCTTTGTTTACCCTATCCAAAATAACCACTAGAGGTAAGGCATTTGGGGCTGCCATCCATCAGGAATCGTGGAGCACATGCTAGGAATAGAGCGCATGTTATACCTCCAACACGTCGTTCTGCGTTTCTCGAGAATGGTCTCCACTGGCCCGTATGTTTGAGTAACTGATTCCCAGTTGGCAGACTGTTTATGAAGAATTAGGAGGGGTGGCCTTTTCGGAGGAGGTATGTCACTGGGGGCGAGTTTGGAGATTTCAAAAGCGCATGCCGGGCCCAGTCTTCGGCTCTCTGCCTCTGTCAGCACTCAGCTACCATTCTAGCCCCCTGCCTGCTTGTTGCCCGCATGCCGTCTCACCACATATGGCCATGGACTCTGCCTCTAAAACTATGTGCAAGTCCCCAATAAAATAAAATGCTTTCTTTTATGCTGGCCTTCATCATGGTGTCTCTTCACAGCAATAGAAAAGTAACTAAGATATCATATTACGTATGGACTGAGGTAAGATTTAGTAACAGGTGAAAGAACATCCCTCACTCAGCCCTCAGCCTACCCCAAATAAGTCTAATGTAGAGGTGCAGAGGCTAACATCCGGTGTTATCCTCTGTTGCTTCCCCCACCTGTGATTTTTTGCACGGGTGCTCTCAGTGAATCTAGAGCTTGCCAATGGCTGGGCGGATGGGCCAGTGAGCTCTGGCAATCCTGCCCTCTGCTGGACTTAGAGGCACACTGTCAAGCCTGGCTTGTTGCATGTAGGTGTTGGGATCTGGAGTCAGGTTCTTGTGCTTTTGTGCCAAGGACTTTTCCAAATGAGTCATCTCCTCAGCTCCTAAAGCCATTTCTTTTTAAAGTAGCAATAACTTATCTTAGGATGGCAGCTATATATTCGTGGGGACTGAATGTTTAAACTCTCATTGTAAGAAAAATTATAGATTAAATATAAATAACTATAGGTAATTTAAGCATAGAAATTTTATTGTTTGTGAAGAACATAAGATGTATATTTTTATTACATATCTGAGTCAAGTTTAAAATATGCAATAATTATCATATATTCAGCAATAATTGTAGTTCTAAATTTAAAGTTTATGTTTTTGTTAAAATGGTACTGTACAATCATTTACTTGTTAGAAATTACTAGCTATACAAGCTACCATTCCCAAATTATTAGGTTCCTTACATTAATAGTAAAGGACTCATCTGCATCATAAATCACTAGGAAGGCATAATTATGTGACAGTCACTTCCATCAGGATCACACGCAGTACTGCTTGTAACAAGAGCACCGCAGCATGGCAATCTTTGTTTTCCATCTGGATGAAAAGAGTTAGAATCTTCCCAGTCAGCATCAAATACTCAACATGACCTACCTGCAGAAACTTTGGTTTTCTGACAAAACACCGTTAGAATGTCTTGTGTATAGAAATAAAACGGAGACTATTCTTAAGTTTTCTTTGTCTGGCATAATAACCTACTCAACAGAAAGAAAAGTTTTCAGTGTTTTACAGCCTTGGGGATCAAACCCAGGGTCTTGTATATGCTGGACAAGGGCCCCCTCCCACTGAGTTACTACTTCAGCCTTAGGAAAGATTTTTGGTGATTTTTTTTTAAATCAGCAAATTTCACTAACTGATGCTATACAGCAACAAATAGTAAAGTTGGAATAAGAATTTTAAGTGCTCCTAGTAGTGGCAAAGGTTTAAAACAAAGGGGTCAAATGCTAGATTTCACTTTTAATATATACTTTCTGGAGCTGGAGAGATGGCTCAGCTTTAAGAGCCAACACTCCTCTTCCACATGACCTAAGTTCAGCTCTTAGCACCCACATCTCTTAGGCAGTTAACAACTGCCTTCATCTTCAGTTCCAATGCCTTCTCTGGTCTCTGTTATCCACTATACTCACAAGTATAACCCAACACTCAGACACACAAATATACAGATAACAAAAACAAAATCCTTTAAAAAATCTTTCTTTTTGTATTTGAAACATGAGTTAAAGATAGACAAACATCAAGGGGAAAGTTCTTTATTTGAGTGGAATAGCATCCCTAGAAACAAAACAACAGCATTGGAAAGTAATTACGTGTTTTTCTCCTACTACAGGGGAAACGGAAAAAGACAGCCATTGTCAACACTGGTGGGTGTGTGTCTGAAGGGCAATAGGACAGATGGGATGAAATACATCCCTTAAAAAGGAGTGGTTGGTAACTTTATAATGGGAACCCAAGAGACCCCACTTCCATAGCGATTACAAAAATTCTTGTGATGCCCTGACTGGGTAAGGTGCAGCATCTCTTCAATACATAAGCTGGCTGATGTCAAGATTAAGCAGTAAATCAGGCTGAGTAACATTTACAAAATAAAACAGCTACCCCATCATCACTAAGACAAAGTGTGGGGCAGTGGGGGAATTGGTGCAAATTCCACCTGGGAAAAGTAGACACGGAAGCTAAATAGTACACAATGAGGCCGAGCCAAGAAACCACAGGCAGTGAAGGATACTGAATTACCACCGCTGTAATCTGCAAAAAAAAAAAAAAAAACCACGTATGCATCATAATACTGCATCAGTGTTCAGCCTCGTGACTTCAGAAATCATAGACAGGGATTTTTACATTTGTGGGGTTTGTTTGTTTTGCAGTGCTAACGATCCAACCCAGGACTTCATTAGGCCAAGGTAAGCGCTCTGCTAACTGAACTACATCTCCAACCATCTTGCTTTAGGGGGGAAAAGAACCAAATTGCAATATTTAGCATTAAAGAGGTACGTGGCTATAGCTTACTGATACGTGGAGATCAGGAGGATATGAGCGGGAACTAAAGGAAGAGAGTGAATCAGAAAGGAACCTGGCAACCAGGCTCTCAGTTTGGCGAGTCTTGTACTGTTCTTAAAACTTTTCTGTGGGTTTGGAATTATGTGAAAACACGTTAGAACTTACTTCCGGGTGGAACACTGGGTCTACAGGCAGCATTCTATCTGAAAGTCTTTTTCTTTTCCTTACAGTATTTCGAAAAGTCATCCTAGCCCGCTCTTTGCTCCTGGTGACCAAGAGCCAAGTTCCATATTGCCTCTACTTAAAACAAAGCAAAAATGGTTGAAGTAGATAGAAATAAATGTCATAAATATTTTTAAAACAAAAACAATCAAAGCTGGAAAAGCTAGAACTTTGGTATAAGGGAACTGAAAAATAGGACTCAGCTGGTCAGAGCAGCAAGTGTTATATATTAGGGGACTCCCTCCTAGGCTGATATCACAGTAGGAGAATCCTGTTTGGGTCAAGGCTAAAGCAAGTGATTCTACCGACCCTCTCTAATGTGCTGCCGTGGTTCCATGCTATTTCTCTTCGCTACAGATCCATGAAGCTGTTCTCCGAATCCTGCGGTGATAACCACCTGCACTGCTGCTTCCCAGTGGCAATGAGTATAGCAGCCTACAGGCCCCAGGGAGAACTCACAGGTAACAAGCCCATGGAAATCACCGAAGCTTTCAAAACATCCGTAGTGTGTCCATGTCCCCAAATTCAACTTGAGAAGTTAGAGAAGTGGAATGTAGATTATGAACAACATGCAAATTCTTGCAGAAAATACTAACTGGATAAAAACAGATTTCATTTAATTCTTCAGGCCATTATTTTACAGAGTACTTCCATGAAGTCTAAGAGTGTTATAAAAAATTTAAGGAAGATAATCTTAACAAGCATATGAGATCATTCTTTACTATTTATAAAAAACGCTTCATAACTCACTGGTAAGGTTTTCATCCATTGAATGCTCTACGTTTTTTTTTTTCCAAAAAGAAGAATGGTGTTATTAATTAATGTTTATTAAAGCAGAATTTTTATTTGAATATTGAAATTTTTATTAGTGTATATTAATTATTTATTAAAAAATCAAATATGTCAACTACTATATCAACCAAACCCTGATAGACTTATAGGAAAACTGGCCAGGTATATCAAGATTATTTCACTCTTAAAATATCATGGCATTGGACAATGAACCTATTTTAAAGTAGAAACCCACATCCTAGTTCTGAAACATCAGGTCCTTACCAAAGGCTGTTGGGGCTGCATTGCTTGGAGACCAAGGGCCTGACTCTGGGGCTGTGAGGGCTGCTGGGGCTGGGGGGCCTGCTGGGGCTGCTGCATCTAGAAAGAAAGAAAAAGATTAGGGTAGACCCTTGAAATTATGGGGCTAAGACATGTCTGAATAGCTTTTACAAATACACATTTTTATCTGTTCCATTGCAGCTAAATGATGGTGGGATATAGTCTCAAAAATGTGGCACAGGTGATTCTTGCATTGCTTGGACAGTGTATCACGTACTAAGAAAAACACAGGTGGCGGAGCCAACCACACACCTGGGCTGTGGGATACACTGAACAGCTTATTACTAGGGCCACAATGAACAAAATGATAGAAGACTGAGTGAGGCACAAGATAAAGGATGCAACTTAGAGACATGGAAAACAGGATGCAGAGGCTGCTGCTGCTAAAACCCTAAAACACCAACATGCTGTTTACCACAGACTGAACCTCTGGTGTTCATCACCCAACCCAGGGTCTCCTGCATCCTAGACAAGCGCTCTAATACTGAGGCACATCTCCAATAATGAAAGGTATTTCGGTAAATAGGATTATCCTCCAAAATAACCATATAGAGTATAGGAAATAAGCAGACACATGGGGCGGTGGCGATGATTCTTTTCTAGTGTTAAGCACTTCGCGTTATCTATTGTGATGCTTTTAAATAATTGGCAATGGGATAAGGTTTCTTTTCGCCAGAAATCTCCAAACACATTGGCAGTGTGCTGTGATGATGCTATGATGTTAATGAAGGCTATGACGTCATGAGGTAAAGGAGTGTTTTAGCTACACTAAAATCTGCAGGGATCACTGTCACACCAGTCAGTCACTGACAGAAATGGCATTATATGAAGCAAGACTGTACCCTTTCATCTTCCATCTTTACTTTGTCAAACCTTGCTCTTCCTTCAAGTGTAAGATACGAATCTACTCTTCCAAGAAACCTCCTCAGACCACCCCGAGTTCAAGCTGGCTTCCTTTGGCAGCCAGTGCTCACTGTCCAGGGACATCCTGTGCACTTACTGTTTCTCCTTCTTTCACATCCTCTGCCTGGCATCCCACAAGCTACCTTCTCACACTGCCAGGTGACACCCATCACGGATTATCTTCTCTGACAGTTAGGGGGATAGCTTTGGAGTCCATTTTTATTTTTTATAGACTATAAACTAGCCCATAGAAATTCTGAAATGACTTAGCAGCATGAAACTAGACAGTATGTCCAGATTAAGTTGGCTCAAACACATAGCTCTTGGAAAACACTTCTAAGGCACAGAAGAAACCAAGTATGCATCACGTGAAAAGGTAACAACAAAAAAATCTTCTTAGTGGCCTTTAATTACTCCATTCAAATACTCATTTTGATGACCTGACTAGATTTTCTTCATATGTATTTTTTCAAACTTGTCTACATATTATTCCCCCAATTACTTGACTTTTTTTAAAGAGTGAGAACACCAACTAGGTACTGTCAGATGTGCAGTGTTTGTAGATTTGCCATCCTAGGGTCCACATAGGGTGAGTCTCAACATAAACAATGGAGGTTGAACCAGAAGCATTACAATAAAAAGCCACCATCCACTTGGTTCTCTTTCAAGAAAGAGGAACTTCTCGATTGATGACTTTTGTTCTTTATGCCAACAGTCAATCATAAAAAGAGGAATAAATGTAGTTGAGACACAGGAACAAGTTCCCTGCCTTTCTTTATCTCCAGGGGGATGGATGATGTTGATAAGAAATATTACTGGGGCATGTACTAACAGGGGGGAAAGGAACATGTCACCTAGTCAGGAAATGACTTATTTGCAACCTTGAAAACGCCCTTGGAAGGCAGAGAGAGATAAGTAAGCAACACAACAAGGTTCCTTGGTGAGTTGGACGTAACAAATCTTAAAACAGAGATATTCAAATAGCTGTCATGAAAAATATTTCCAAACTTGTAGAAAGGTGGATTAAGAACATATCATTCTCTGTTGAATAGTTATCTTACTAAAAATATTGGAAATAACATCAAACCGGTGCTTTACTTGAATTTTCTTATTTAATCCTTGATACATGGGTAAATAATCTTTCCATTTTATTAATGACAAAACTCAAGAGTAGGTTTTTTTGTTTTTGTTTTTTCCACCTTGGCAATAGCATCTATACAATGAACAGGACTATACATTGGTAGGCTACACTAACCCAAACCAGTTATCATATATTATTAATAATGTATCACAACTTTCAAAATAGTATATCCAAAATAAGGATGTGATAATAACCACCTTATAAATTGGAGCTCAGTTCTAGAAGGTTTGTTTTGACTTCTCCTTGTTTACGTTTAGATACAATCAACTACAATTTTGCAGATCATACTACATTCAGACTTCAGCTGCACTTGGGCTCATGGTTTAAATTCTTAGGGAACTACTTTTTTCTTTCTCTCTTTCCAATGGAGAAGTTGAGACACACAATTTCCTTTGTGTTTCTTTCTGCATGACTGCTTTCTTGCCTATTTCCCTCACAGAGCATAGATAGCTCTCCCCTCATATATACCCTGTTCCATGAGATTCCAAATCTCCCAGTATTTCTATGTAGGTCCATAAAAATAAAGCTGCATCTCATTTTGGACCGGAAAAGAGAGTCCATTTAACAGTCTTTTCAAGAAATTTCCAACACAAAAACATCACTTGTTAATTATGAAAAAAAAAAAAGAAAAATCTGGCACAGATTTATCATAAGAGCCAGACTGCCAACTTTCTCTTCCTCCTTCTTCCCAGTGCTGGGTATTAAACCCAGGGTCCTGTGTATGCCGGGCAGGAGCTTTGCCAATGAGCCACATCCTCATCCGTATACTGGAACAAGGAAATCAGAAACAAGAATGTGCTGAGGGAGGGGCTGTTTGCCAGGAAGTGTCAAGTCTTTATACCCTCTGGACTCGAAGACAGAACCCTCCAAGGATGTAATCTCTGCTACTCTAACCCTGTGGCTTAAATAGAGCAGAAGTGTGATAGAAACACAATATTACGGACATCAAATGGTGGAAAGGTATGTTTGTTCCTATCTATTTCTCCCTCATGTGTATGAAATTTTGCATTCAAACTGTAGGTCTTTAGTCCATCAGTGCTGAGGTGAGCCGAGCTCCACATTTAAACTAAAGCATGTGTGTGCCCCCTGAAGCTCTGGGAAAGGGAAATGGTTGTGTGAAATGGAGTCTCCTGCTCAGGGCCTGGCAGGTACAGAGAAAACTCTACCTTCTTGGAACTACAGTGTGCTAGTACTAGCTAAGTTGCTAGTGTCAAATACATAGGGCTCCTTGGAACTAAATACTTCAGTCTAAAGAGTCTTTCATTATGAGAGTCTGTGTCTGTACTACTGGAAGGGATGGCATTGCCCTCACCTCCCTGCCCCATACCTGGAGGAGTCTCTGCTGCTGTCGAACTTGCGGCTGTCTGGGCCTCAATGGGTCCTGAGGCAGGGGCACCGAGGGGAGGGTGGGATGTGCGGGAGTCAGCACAGCATCAATTCCCCCGCCCACCAGAGGGCTCTGCTGTAGAGCCTGGTGGTTCAGTCTGGCAAAGAATAATGCAACTTGTGTTCAGGAACCAGGCGTACCATTGAAGTGTCAATCAGTGCCTCCAGCATTTTACACACATCCACCAAGAAACAATTCGTGTTCAGTAATCATGTGTACAATTAAAAATGGGGAAGGGCCAGAGGATCAGATAACACATCTGACCACATTGAAGATAAAAAAAAAGAAAAAGAAGATAGTAAGCATACTACTTCAGACCAAGTAGCAATCATACAGAAATTACTTCTAAAAAAAAAAAAACCAGTTGTTAGCAATAAGCAAAATAAGTTACTATTTACTTTGGAGCAGGCCACGAGTGGAAAGGCTGAACAGTAGTATTTTATTACTCCTTACATATCCCTGTGAGCCAGTAGCTTTATTATCTAACTTTAAAAATGAAGGAAGATCGAGAAATCACTAAGCTCACCTAAAAGACAAACGGCACAGGTGGGATCTGAACCCGGAATTTTTGAGCGACGAAGCTCCAGTTACTGAGCTCTGTCATGCTGTGACTTACTTCTAAAAATGGGAAAGCATGTTTTACACAGTAGCTTATTTCCCATAATGTGCTACCATCCACCTCCCTACTTTTCAGACAGCAGTTACCTTGAGCAGATGTGTAGGTAGTCACTGACCGAAACACATGGGAGCTAAGCTGTGATCCACTTTACAGTGTAGAACTTTACCAACCTAACTCTTCTGCACTTTATTATCCAATGGGATTGGATAATGTGTTAATGGTCATGACTTTTATCTGTGCCACCCAGTGAAATGGCCTTTAGCGACTAGGACTAGTTACATGACTATCAGATCTTAGAGCTAAACAAAACGGCAGGGCTCCTTGGTCAAAACAACAGTGTTTCAAGAGATGGCAGAACATCTAGTTGAAGATGGAGCTTCTACAAACACCAGGTCTCCGTGTCACTGCATAGACCACGAACCTCAAAGCTAGCCATGCCGGCCATAGCTGGCTAGGGAGCACTTGAAATATGATCAATGTGCCTGCAGAACTGAACGCTACGTCAATTTCAATTAACTGAAGTTTAGCCATGCATGGACAGCAGCTGCAACGATGAGCAGTACAGACACACTCTCGGTGGAGGGGATGCAATTCGAACAAGAACCAGGGGAGTCTAGCGTGAGTCATCACTGAGGTGGAAAAGGGAGAAACAAAGCTGGAGCAGAACTCTGTCAAGCGCCATCTACGATTAGTACTACAACATAAATTGTATGGTTCCGAGCAGCAAATTCTAGTAAAAGCACTGCTAACAACGATCGATAGTTTTATCGGACACTTTTAATAAAAAAAAAAAATCTCTCGAGTAAAAGGAAAAAAAAAAGGAAGAACACTAGCACTAACACACTGGTGTCATCTGAAAATCTTAAAACAGTACACATTGGAAGAAGCGAGTCAAAACTACGGTGTTCTTGAATGGAAGAATTTGGAACCTCTACTGCATGTTGATAAAAATGAGATGTCAGGACGCAAATATAGGAGCTCAAAAACCGTCACAGTATCAAATGCCTGGAAGAAGTGTAATAAACCCAAGGCCGAGAGGGTTTACTATTGCAATTACTTCAACAGGTATCACCTCTGAGAGCCAGCTACGGGCTGCAGGTATGGCGAGGCCTGCTGCTGCGCGTAGCCACTTGGCTGCTGCTGCAGCTGGCGGAGTCTTTCCATCAGCGCTGGGCTGGAATGTGCGGCTGGATAGGCTCTGGAGTTGTAGCTGGGGGAGAGGACCACACCTCCAGACTGCTGCGGAGCTGCCTGTTGCAAAGGCATCTGTGTCCCGTACATTGTGTAGCCCTGGGGCATGGTCTGCAGGAAGGCATAAAGGGAGAAGTCAGTGCTGTGTTTAGCACCTGGATCCCCACCACTAAGAAATGCGGGGGAACAGGAAGCCCAACCTGAAATTCATGGTTAGCAATGTTTCTAATGATTCAAAATATGGGGATGGCTATTCTGTAGGCAAACAAAATCTGGCCAGAAACCCACAGAACAGGCTAGTAGGGCAGTGATTAAAAATCTCTAGCTCAAAATAACTAAATATTCGTTTAGCTTTTGAGTTGCTTATTTTTGGACTAGGAAAGGCACCTTTCTATATAGAAATAACCAGCAAAGTAGCTACATGTTCAGTGCACAGATGGCGGCAACATCCAACAAAACCCAAGCAGTATCACTGTCATCTAAAGTACAGGGCATGCTATCCCTTTAATACAAGTACCTATTTCTCTAAACCTTGACACCCACATAAAAGACACACATAGGGTTTTCTGGATTGCAAGATACAATTCACTGAACAGAGAGCAGTCTATTCTCTGGGTCCTCGGAACACCACATATTAAAGCAGCTTAAGGACTATGACTCTGAAGACAGGGGCGATACACAATAAACATGCACCAGCCTCAGGACCCTGTAAGCCAAACACGGCTCTCCTTTCCGTTGCATACACGGAATAAACTGCCAGCCCCAAGACAAGCCTAGCCGGACCAGACCTTTCTGTATAAAAGGAAAGGCATAAGGGTGTAAGGATGCAGAAACAATAAAACTACAAGGGGAGGAATGGATAAAGGCCGGCAGGTCTTAAAGGTGAGCGCACCACTTCCTGAACATTTTCTGGGTATATATAGGTTAATTCCATTTGTCACCTGGAATCCTACATCTTTCCTCTTGATCTTATAAAGAGGAAGCTATACCTCAGCATAGCACACATGCCATACAGCTACTGAGCCAACAGCACCTGTACTGTGACCCGACTCATGGGCCCACTACCTTGTTCTACTATGATTCCTCACGGAAGATACTTTTGAATATGTAAATTTCTATAGCAAATCATGCCATTATTCATTACATCATCAACAACTCTGAGATTCTTAAGCAATTAATTAATTAACTTTGAACTATATAAGCATGGCTCGCCTCGATCTTCCTGCCTCTGCTTCTGGGTGCACATTATAGGTGTGTACCACCGCCTTGGCTCAAGTGCTCCAATATCTTGCATCAGCAGACTAAAAGTCTGAATTTATTTACATTTCTAATTGAGGAATTTCCTGGGCACTCCTGAGACTTATTCAACAGTTACTGTTCTGAGACTGTGAAGCAGAAATACTTTCATGATCTAGTTGATAACCAGTTTCCTTGATCTCCTACTCCCAACAAACGGCATTAAAACACGAAGAAAGGAGCTTTGCTTCAAAGCCAATAGGTACCTGTGCTTGTTGCAGCCCTGGATACTGAGGGAGCTGAGGGGAGGGCCGTGATTGTGCAGTAAAGAGAGCAGCCTGGTCCCCTGGCTGGCCCTGGAAAACAAAATCAGGACAAAGTCTGTAACTGCAAGAACTTCATTTTAGCTTCTAACATAGAACTTACAGATTTCGGACCGGGTTCAAGGCACCCATTCCCTACGTGGGCAAACTACTGACTTCTCCAGGCTATAAAGGTTACAATCAGCAAGTTTCTCAACCAAGACTTTGTAAATGACTCTCTGAGTACAGGAAGGGCACAGATGCTTCTCTGGGCCTGAAAGAGTCTTTAAAGTGTGTCTCTCCATCACAGGCACTACCCACGTCCTCTGAAGAGAGGGAAAAAACATCGTATCTCCTCATCACATATAAAATCCCCAGGGCTTCTGAATGCACCATGATCTAAAGACTGTTTTCAGTCATGATGTCTGAGGAAATGTTAATATCTGCTAAGACTCGGTGATGAGGGATACTCAATGAAAATATCCTAAGTCAACAGCAAGTACAATTCCAACCAACTACATGTAGAATAAAACCAGCCAACATCTGTGAATCAGTCTTAATTCAATATACTTTGGCCTTCATAATGTTAATCAATATGGACAGCTATACGTGAACTTTATCTTACGGTTACAGAGATTATTTTATGAAAGCCTGCAGTGATAATTACAAAAAATAAAAAAAAAAGCCCAGTTTCACTCCATCCCTGGATTTCCCCAAGACATTAATTGTCAGGGAGAAATAAGTTTACTGTGCAATTATTTTACTGCTGTCTCACAATAAAAAGTGCTAAATTAGAGTTGCATGAAACCATTTCAGTATGCTTTGGGAAAAGGTAAATATATTGCTAACAAAGAGAAGGGATAAATGTGTAGTTTAGGTAGGAGGATGCCAATAGTAACCATAATAAGAATGCAACATATGTCAGGCCTGGGCTGCTACAAAGACCTTGCCTAAACTCCACTGATCTGACTCCAAAGACAGGGCATCCCCATTGGAGTAGATGCTTCCAAGTGTAACACTGACGGTGAAAGGACGTAAACGCCCTTGGGTGCTTATTCTTTAAAGACGAGTCACTTAAAATAGTCCCATAACAAATCTGAAAGAAAATGTATCTTTGTAGTTGTTAACGAGACACTGAAACCAAATGTATTATACATCAGATTGATTGAGTCTTGTGCTCTCCACATGAAAATCAGTAGATGGCCAAAAAAAAAAAAAAAAAAAATGAACTCAATGGCATCTTTGGAGGTTTCTGGTCTCATGTCAAGTCGGGGCTAATTAAATTTTTATTTTGTTTCCATTTTATTTATTAATTTTTACCCTATAGACCATTTGTCTATATATAATGGCTTTAGGTTTTATGTTTTTATAGAATTCCTGAATGTGCAAAGGGGTGGGGCTCTGATTTTATCTGTTTTTTGTGCCTTTTCTTGGGTTCTCTTTCTACTCTGTGCTTTTTTTGTTACATTGTGATGTTTGCTTTTGTTTACTTATATATTATTTTATTACCTCTTAGATACCTTTTTGTTTGCTAAAGACAGACAGAATGGGATGGTATCTAGACAGGTAAGGAGGTGGGGAGGAACTGGGCGAGTAGAGAGGGCCGTCATGATCAGGATATGTTGTAGGAAAACCACTATTTAAATAAAAGGAACAAAGAAAAGAAACACACACACACACACAAGCAGAAAATTGCTTGGGTTCATTTATGAGCTGAGTTCATCCAGAACAGTTCATCTGTGATGGTATCTAGATATGATAGCTGAGGTTATGGAAATTTAAGAAACATAAACTATAAATTACTTTTCACATTAAAAAAATCCACAAGAGTCACCAAGATAAAGGTGTTACAAACTCTACAAGAACCATGGAGGGAGCTGAAGAGATGGCTCAGTGGTTGAGAGCACTGGCCCCTCTTCCAGATGACCTGGTTCAATTCCCAGTTCCCACATGGTACCTCACAACTATCTGTAACTCAATTTCTGGGGGACCTGACACCCTTACACAGACACACACATAGGCAAGACACTAATGCACACAAAATAAAATTAAATCATAAAAAGAAGCATGAAAGAGAACTAAATAAAGATGAGGTGTTCGTGTGTGAATATATTATGTTCCATTCCCCTATATCAATGAAATAAAAATAGAGGAAATTTTAAAAGAAACTATTCAAGTGCTAAAATGTTATCTTACATGTATTTTGCCATAACAAAAAAATATTCCCTGGTGGTAGTGGTAGTAGTAGTAGCATTAGTAGTGATGATGATGATGATGATAGCAACAACACAAGCCAGTATTGTTAATGAATCTCCTAGCAAAAACAGCTTTATTTATAAATCCTCATTTGGAATCTACTGAGTGCTCACAGCTGAAATGATACACATGATATGAATCAAAAGCTTTGGTCATCACAGGAGACTGGTCTCTTTTGACTACAGAAAACAGACACAGAGAAATGCTATCAGGTCCTAGTGACAAGCTACACATGGGATGTTTTTAGAAAGCCTTCACTTCAAGTATACTTCAACTAAGATCAGCATTGTTACCAGCATTAATTGCTAAACACACCGATGCACTTCAAAGTAAACATACTGCAAACGTGTGCCTCCTCTACAGTATGTTCTAGTAACATGCCTAACATGACGGACATAACCACTGAAATAGTCATTAAATTCCTAATATAGGAAAGTAGTAAGAAGAGGTTAAAAGTAAAGAAACGATACAAATTTCTATTTATTTGAATGAATATAAAAACAAAAAACATTCGTTTGACTTTAAATAAAATGTTTTGCCTGCTGTAACATCTGCTCCCCCCTCAAAAAAAAAAAAAAAACCAGAATTGCTTGATTGGTGAATGAGTCATACAATTTTTTTTCTTTTGAACAATAGTATCGACATGACAATAATAATGTTTAATTCAAGCTTTTAATGAATAAAATCCTTACATGCTTGCTTCTTCATAAGCATAAAGCCTTAAGAAAAATTAAGGATTCAAAGGCATTTCTGAACCTTGCTTTACTAAGACAACCGTTAGAGAAACTTCCTATGCAGTGAGCATGTAATAACCCAAATATTTTCAAAGCTGGAATATTGTACCACTATAGAATATTACCCATCCAAATGCCATAAGCAAGCTGACTGACACTCACACCTATGGTTTCTATTCTAATGTTTCTTTGATTTATATTGTGGGGTTTGCTGATTCAGAAACCTAACATTAATTTAATGAAGAGCATGTATTCTTAGCAAAGCCAAAGAGGATCACACTGCTGAGGGTAGAGTTCCTGGGAACCTCCTGACACCCGAGACTGGCTCCATAAATCATGCATGCGTTCATCTATTAAACACACCTAGATTTCTAACGTGTGCCCAGTAGGCAAAAGGATGATTTGAAAAAAAAAAAAAGACTCTAAAGCCTAATGCCTGACCTGTATGAGAAGCCATCAAGCATCGCTACAGAAACAGCCACAGCTAAACCTGGGAAGTGTCTGGTAAAATTCCAGGACCAGCTAAAAACATCTCTCTGTGTGTTTTTGTCATGAAATGACTAGTGATTAGAAAAGGCCAATTGTGCCCAGCATCACTGTAACAAGTTATCAATATGATTTATATTTCATAAAATTCTACCTTTACTCTAGATTTCAAATGATTATCCAAAGGGGATTCCTTTCCCTCTACAACATATTTTGCTACATTACAGATATATTAATAACAAATATTACTGAAGTTGTTTGAAAAGGAACGGCCCCCACGGGGTCATATATTTGAATGCTTGGTCATTAGGGGGTGGTGCTACTTGAAAGAGATCAGGAGATGCAGTCTTGTTAGAGTAGGTGTGACCTTGTTAGAGGACGTATATCACTGGGAGAGGTAGGCTTTGGGGTTTCAGAAGCTCAATCCAGACACAATGGATCTCTCTTTTCCTGCTGCCTGTGGATCCAGATGTTGAACTCTTGGCTCCTCCAGCACCATGTCCACCTGCATGCTGCTATACTCTCAGCAATGCTGAAAATAAACTAAATCTCTGAAACTGTAAGCAAGTCCCAATTAAATGCTTTTCTTTATAAGAGTTGCCGTGGTCATGGTGTCTCTTCACAGCAATAGTGAAGAGAACTACCTATTAGAAGAAGGGGTAGGAGCTCACTATCCCATAATAGCACCACGCAGGCACTCTATGTGTATCTTGTTTGTTCTGCTGGGTTCCCGCCCATATGGCTGCATAGCTATGCAGTTCTCTTTCTTCTGAGAGGGGCTGGAGATTTAGCTCAAGGGTAGAGCAATAGCCTAGGCAGTTACACAAAGACCCTGTCTTGATGTTGAGAAAAGTTCATAGTCCTCCTCCTCCATTAGCCAACATGTGAAGAAGAATAAAGGGGCTTATCTGGCCGGTCAGTAGGTGGTTTACATCTTTTAATCCCACCACTTGGGAGGCAGAGATAGGCAGATCTCTAAGTTCTAGGTCAGCCTGGTCTACAGAGTGAGTTCCAGGACACCCAGGGTGGTTACATAGAGAAATTCTTTCAAAAAATAGATACATAAAATAAAAAACAAATTGGTTATTGGTTAGGAAATCACTGGGAACGTTTAATTTTTGAAGAATGCTGAGCTGGCTGATCTTGTGAAGGTGATTTTCTATCTGAAGACAATGTTTAGGACTTTGAAAGGTAAAACAACTGGGATGAAGAACAAAACACAACAAAATCAAAATGCTGGCACAAAATTAGTGCAAAAACACACAGACGCCTACCAGTTCCTATGCTTTCAATTAGCACAGTTCTGCAGGGGGAAAAAAGACGTTGAGGTATGTTTCCGTGTTTGGAGGCAGCCACCAGAGGAGCCTTTTAGGTCACAGGCCTGCAGGGATACTGTTGACTACACTATCTCACTCAGTTCCTTAGTTGTCATGGATATTAGGAAGTGAACCTCAGAGGAAGACATGTTTACCTATGTTTACCTGTATGCCAGTGACCTTTGCTCCAGTGCTCAGAACTACTTTCAGTAACTCAAAGCTGAACTCAGAGTGGAAGTGGGGTACAATTAAGAGAAGTTCAGCATTGTGATAAAAGAGCAAGCAGATGCAGAAACAAAGAGGCAAACTTATTTAGGCTCTACTGTCTTTAAAAGAAGACGGGTTCGTTCTGGTGGAACGGTGTGTCAATTCCTAGTAGTAATGTCTCAAGTTCCTCTTAGGAATCTGAAGCAAGACTGTCTCTGCTCACCCTCCAAGCACAGCTAAAATTGCAGTGAGGTTTGAAACGGCCCCAAATGTGTTGCCTATTTGAACAAAATCAGTAATATTTTTAAAGCATTTTACTAGAGCTCTCATTGTCTGTGTGTACTAAGCAACTCTCGCCCATTTTGCCTGATATCTAAGTAGTTTAAGCAGTAGGTGAAGTCAGGAAAAACCCAGTCCAGAACTTCTGCTTAACATCCTTATGTAGGCCAGTTCACAGCTCAGTTTAAAAAGGCAACGTAAAGACTGCATAAAGAATCTGGTCCCCTCTTCTTCCTATCACCAAGTGGAATGCGGGTGTGCTTTGGTACACAGCAGCCAGGTGTGCAAAGCCAAGACCAGGGCAATTCAAGAGTACCAGAGTCCTGGCTACTGTCAAGTTTTCTTGTTTCTCTAGAGCAGGATACACATGTAGACTGGGTAACACAAAGATGCTCACTCATCACAGGGTTGCGGTGGGATCTAAAGAACGACCACATTGAAAATGCTCGTGACTATTTGGGCATAGTAAGCACTCTGTTCGTTATTATCATCAGAACACTGCAACTGGAAAACACAAACACACACACACACACAAATACAAAAACCAGAAACAGCAGAAGCGATCCTACGTCACTCTTTTCGCTCACAAATTTCATTTGCATAGATCTGCAGGTTTCACGTGTCTCTATCGAGGTAGGTACATGTCGTTTTCATCACTGCTCATTCAATACAATCACTGTCTAGAAGGAACAGTGGCTTACAGGGCATAAAATAAGAAACATCAACCAGAAATTACACTCAAAGGCTTAGCATAGTGAGGTTCTCTTTAACCCCAGCACTCCGGAGGCAGAGGCAGGCGCATCTCGGAATCTGAGGCCAGCCTCATCTATACAGAGAGTACTAGGTCAGCCAGTGCTACTCGGTGAGATACGGTCTTAACATAGTGAGACCCTGTCACAAAACACCAGAAGAATAGGAGGAGGAGGGAAAAGAAAACACAGCAGAACAAAACAATGGAAATCAAACAAACAAACAAAAAAAAACAACCCCTAAACTTAATATTTCTTCCGCACTGGGCATATACTGCAGGGGTAAAGTGTTACCCAGCACGTGTCAGGCTCTGGGTATAATCTAAAGCACTTCCCACACAAACACAAACTCCACATTCAGACCGCTGTTTATAATTTCCTTATTGTTTGATACAGATCTTATTGAATTAACACTTAAAACAATGAAGGATAAAAACACCAGGGATTTAGAGGCACAAAATTAAGTAACAGATCCGAGGATAATGCATAAAAGTAATGCTAAGATGAATACAAACCCTTGTAGCAATTATAATATAGGACAGAGCTGGGAAGTTGACCTCAGAGGTAAAAGGTACAACGTCATTAGCACTTCCGGCTCCCTCACAAAGTCAATGAGGAAATACAGAAGCGGAAGAATATTCCTGAACTTGTATACAGGAAAGACCCCTCTAACCACACGTGTACAGAGATGGGCATGCAGCAAGATTCTGCACCAGACCCCAAACTCATTCCTAGCTAGAGGAGGGGACCACAGGAGGAGGACTCCAAGGCTAGCTCTGGACAAACCTGCTGGAAAGGCCGAGTCTGGGCCTGCCGGAGGAGCCGCTGCTGCTGCTGTTGCTGTTGCTGCTGCTGCTGCTGCAGAAGCTTCATCTGTAGCAACTGCTGCTGAGACGTGATCGAATGAAGGGAAGGTGGCTGCAGCATGGCACCCGAGCGCCTCTGCAGCATGTTGGACAAGGCTTGCTTCGTGTTGGTTGGGACATAGGAGCCTGCAGGGTCCAATCTGGAGCCACCTGGAAAAGTCACCGAAAGGAAGGGTTTTTTCAAGGGCTGCAGGTGTTCTTTGATCACAACAAGAAACTTCACCTTTCTTACTTTAAGAGCGAGGCAGAGAATTACAGACTGCCCCACCAGCTCCAAATATTAACATTCTGTTAAGAGCCGCCTTATTTCCAAAAGAGGAAGTGCAATGGTGTGCATAAAGAACAATAGTTTAAAATTGGATAAAATGCAGTGCCTGAAACATAGACGAGTCTGCATAAAACCTTGGTCATGTAGGCTGTACAGCCCTCAGGATGTGCCTATGACTTGAATAAAAGTGTGCCTTGTGCAGTATTCTGCAAAGTTTCATAAGCCAAGCGTAGAAGCTCTCTGGAGCCTAACAGATCTGAAGGCTGTATTATTTAACCTTTACCTTGGCAAAATTAAAAGGTCTATTTTAGATATGGGGAACAAGGGCAGGGGACTCTAACTGGGGAAGAAGGCAAGCAACCTCTTTTGTGAGATGTGTGTAAGAGCTCTGTTCGTTTGCATGTATCAAGGAACATAGAATCTTTGGAGGGAGGGAGTGACATTTCCTATAAAGCCACCAATTGGAGAAGCAAGTTTTTCTAATACATAAGGACATTGACAAATCGGGTTTAGGATTTTCTTTGTCTTTTGAGCAACAGTGATCGAAGAGATGTTTGTAGAATTTGAAGTCTTCAAGCATTTTGAGTTCTTAAAGTGTTTTCATTCTCTTTTACAAAACAGGAACTTTCTACAGTCTATGCATATAATTTCCCTGCATATTAATTTAGGAGATGGGCTCTTACTATGTTTGGCAATGCTCCGAGATTTTCCTGTTTTAGCCTCTACACTAATAGCCGGGACAACAGTCGTAAGCTACTAAGTTTAAAGCTACTGAGCCAAAGCTTTATCTTACTTCAGAAAACAGAAAAACGAATTGCGGCTGAGGTCTGGGTTACCCAAATTCTCATTCTGTGGAGGATAAAAGTTAGGAGCGAGGAGTTTTTGTCCCCAAATTGCTGACCAGAGTGGTCTGCCAGTGAAGCGTGTCTCGCACCCACCTGGATTCAGGGACTGATTCTGAAGGAAAAAGCTGGGCTGCTGGGGCTGGCTCACCAGGTTGTATCCCCACAGCGCAGGCTGCGGGTGATGCATCATTTGGGAGGACATGGGCGAGTAGTTAGGAGGCACTCGGTACATGTTGCTCTGCTGATACTCCTTCAACAGAAATATTATCTCTTTAAAAGATGTAACTTAATATACCATGCACAGTTAATCAATATAAGTTCGTCCCATTCAGTTATGTGAGATTGTTCCATCCCAAAATCTAAGGCTATAGTTTGAGAAAGGGAAGGGACAGAACATAAATGGTAAATGGTAACCCATTTCCTAAAAAGTACTCATGTGAATTAAAATTTTTCTTTGATTTAGAAAGTAATTCTATTTACCTAGCACATATAAGGCCCGATGTTCAGTCTCCAGTACCATCTCCCCACCATCACCACCAAAAAAAAGAAGCTCCTCACTGGAGACATTTAAAAAGCTAAAAGCACGTATCTGGATAAGAACTGTGTCAGAAAGGACCATAGTGCTTCAGAATTACCCCAGGCCTAGACAGCAGTGTGCCCACAGCTTTCAGGGCAGCCAGTCCCCAAGTCCCCACGCCTTCTCCTCCTGAAAGCAGGTACAGACTCTAAGCGTCACACGAGAATGTCTCGACTCCTTCACCATCCTTCTTATTTTTCTAGCATGGCCCTTGAGGATGAAGGATAATGACAACCTCAGACCCCTTCACTTGGACAAAAGGATGCAATCCCTCTGGGAAGAGGCAGCTGCAGGAGGACAGTTCTGAGTGAACTTAGATAAGGCTTTTGTATGGGAAGAGAACAGAAGTCCTCATCCATGTAGTGTGGCAGGCCACAGTGGCCCAGGTTTGAGAGTGGGCACCGGTGGTCAAGTGGCATCAGAAAGCAAAAGCAGCCTTCTCTAAAAGCATTGTCATTACCAAGCTACCAGCTAGAATGAGTCAGTGGGGGCATAGGTGAATGTAATAACTGCTCACAAACAGCTGAGAGCCCACAATAAGTACTTCCTCCCACCAAATAAGAGCATCCTTCTACTCTATAGAAAATGATATAAAAATTCTCTCTCAAGTAAAGCCAGGTAATTTCAGGGAGAAAGCTATTTTAAATATTGTATCTCATATTCTATAAAATAATTTCTAAATTATCATCTAAGAAGCCTCTGGTACCAGAAAGGATGAGAGATGATTTTAAATTAATTTAAATTTAAATTTTAAACTACCTTTTATAAGACCTGAAAATATGTTAAAGCCCACTCGGGATAGAAGATACAAGGAAAAAGAAAGAAATCTCAGTACTACTCTGTTGGGTAATTCAGATGCAAATTCATTCAGAGAAAAATGAAAGGAACTTTTTAATGTTACTTCACTACAGATATCAATCATTTGAAATAAGATACTTAAATATATGCATCATATCAATAAAAGTGTTTAAGTGGGTAGAATCATATACCCATGAAAAATTAAAGTTTTAAACCTAGGAAATTATGAGGCTTAGTTCCTCAATATTATCCACTACTGAAGTCAAAGGTTAGTTGAGAATAGAAAAATCAAAAGTTTTAAATCTGCCATCCACGAGAAATCACAGTGCATCATTTCATTAGCACAGACACGTGTTAGGGAACTCTGCATGAGGAGGCTGATGCCACTCTTAGTAAGGTTTCTAGGAGTACAGTTTGGCCATGGGTAAACCCCATCCTAGATGCCAAGGAGCCAAACTCCTCCTCAATCCCCCACTCACATCAATGCGTGAGCTTGATTTTGTCTTACGCTTCCTTCCCTTTGTCTTCTTCTCCTCGTCAGCGGCACTTTTTCCTTGATCTGACAGTTCAGCTGATTTCCTTTCTGGTTCCTGAGACACTGGGGACGTGGGCTCTTCCTCTTCTTCCTCAGGAGGGAGGGGCAGTGGTTCAAGGTAGTAGCTTCGGGGCTTAGGCATGGTGTGTGTGTGGTACAGAAGGAAGTGGTGCTGTTCCTCATATTTTACCACCTTCCGGTCCACACGGACAGTGCCGAACCAGGCCCAGGACAGAGGAGCCGGGTTCTTCTGACCCTCAAACAGGTCCCATGGGGACACCTTCTGCTTCGTAGAGACCTGGAGACCCTACGGGAAAACAGCACTCTGTGACAGTATACTCTGGCCTTCTCCCAGTGCAAGCTTGTTAGCATGTGGTCGCAATGGACTTAGGGGATGCAGCAGACAGTAATGCTCTGTTAAATCAGGCAGCCTGGAGTTCAGGCCTTTGGGAGTTCAGTTCTCCAGTTCTCTCCACCACCTGAAACTGCCTCAAGGCATCTCAAGGTAACCCAGACTGTTTTACTACAAAACAACACTTTCATTCAGTTTTTTTTTTCCCTAGAAAATATAAGTTCTCAAGTATCCTGTAAAGAAGTTGGCCTCATAATACAAAATTATAACCACTTATTCATCTCAGAGACCTCTTCATTATTTTTAAGATGGTGAAAAATTTAAAAGTCTCTCTCTATATATATATGCCTGCCTTTGTTTGGGCTTATATTCGCTTCAGTTCAATCTATATGGACTTGACTTAATACGTGGACTTCTCATGTACCTAAGATGCCGTTCCTTGAACAAAATATTGTGAGAAAACTTAATTACAGAACCCGGTCCAACACAAATCAAGTCTTTTTTTGCTTTTTCTTTTTTAAAAAAAAAGCTTTTTAATTTATTCTTTGTGTATTTCACCAAATCAAGCCTTTTAACTCCAATTTAACTTTACTGAAAAAACAGAATGTTTTTATTTGTAACCTTCATCGGTGACATTTCTTGCTCACATCTCCAGTATACCAATTCAAAGACATTTCTCCTAAATAGTGGCCCAGGATGTGAGCATGCCTGTTCTTGCCTCTGCTGCGTCTGTAAGAGTGGCTTCTTCTAACACCACTAGTAAGGGAATACTCTCTGCTGTCCCCACGTGGTGAAAGCATCCTCCCAAGTAGAGCTCCCAACTGAATGGGTCCTGGCTGCTTACAGCTAGAAAGCCCCAGCCATCCTGACTGTGACTAGGGGCCTTTCCCCTTCCCTTGGCCACACTGCTATGGGACGTAGGCTGCCTCTGAATTCTGATGCCATTGCTTTTCCTCTGTGAGTCACCTCTTCCTCGCCTTGATTTTAACTTCCCCTGCCTGTTCCGTTCTTTTCTGTGTAACTCTTCAATCCTCCAGAATGGTCTGTGTGTCAGCTACAGTAGGAACCCTGCTCTGACTACTGCTCCCTTGCCTGGCTAAACTGTCACCTCAGAGCCTCCTAGTCCTCTCTACACCATGGCCCACAAATCCCATTACGGCAGAACGTGCATCTACTTCCCATTGAGAGCAGGGATTCCCTCCAACCCTCTCTCTCTGCTGCAGAGTGACAATGGTCACTCTGTTGTCTTTGAAAGAAGAGCCGATCATTCTTCTGCTATGTTAAGGAACTTCCTAAAGTATCTTATGTAAAGCAAATGTCCGCCGAACATTGCTTCACTGACAATATGCAGTGCCGTAACACTTAGAAGCTTTACTTAGTGAAGCTTGCTCAGTAATTTAAAATACTTATCAACACCAATTTTCTTTATAAATATACTCTGATTCCTATCTTAAAATAAAATCAGATTGGTTTTTGCTTTTATTTTTTAACACTAGGCTATTACTTAAAACCTCGTTGGTAGATTCCATGAATTTACATCCAGAAAAGCATTTTAAATGGAGACCTTCAGGATATGGCTTCTTATAATTTAAGCCCAATAGCTATTGGGCTTAAATTTAAGCCCAATAGCTATTGTGCTTAAATGACAAAAATAATCTCTTGGAAATTAAGAAATGAAATTAAGATGTTTTGTATATCCTCAAAGAATGTAAGAAAAGCCACTCGGCTTCTATAACTAGATATATGAGGGAAAAATCATTTCCTCTTGCCTGTTTTTTGTCGATGGAGTCAAATCCAGCAATTTTGTTTCCCTTTGTATCGATCAAAGAACCCATGGGTTCACAAGTGATGACATCGCATGTCTGCTTTGGCAAAGGCAGAAGCTGTCGAACCTTGTCAATGCTTTCTGATCGCTTGTCTCCTAGTTCTTTCTAGAAGAAAAAGAAAAAAAAAGTAAAAGCAAGAGAGAAGTGAGATGAAAATTCTGACTTTACAATGAATGCAAAAGTTCATAAGAAGGAAGTTCCCCAATGACACATTTCCTTTTTTTTTTTTTTTAAATAGTATGTTTTTTTAACCCTCAATGCAGTCTATGGAATAGCTGCAAATCAGACTGGTGACATGTTTCATTTCTTCTATTCAAGTAGCAAACAGAGTACACACAAAGGCAGCCTTGTTATGAGGACTATCAGAACGCTGAAATGACAGAAATCCACTGTTATTGCAGTCACACAGCAGGAGCCGCAGCAAGGAAACGTCCTCGTACGCAGACGCAGACCGCAAGGTAACCATCAGCTATTTTATTGTACAGTCTTCAGATTTGTGTATTTGCATGTTCACTTACTGTTTATTTCAAGGACTATCAGTGGGTTATTAAAGGAGCCAGAGTTACAAATTCAATGCGAGTGCCCATTCTTTTTCACTTGCTTGTACAAATCCAAGCATGGGTTTAATCAAAATCTGGCACTGGAGTTTTGGTTAGATATTTGATAATGCCTTTCTAAATCCCTTACAATTTAAACACATTTTATGAATATAATTTTTTTAGAGAAAAATTCTTTCAGATAACATACTTGTAATTTTGAAAGACTGGCAAGCCTAGGCAAGACAATCATCACATTATGAGGAATCAAATCAGACCAGCCCATCAACAACTTCAGAACAGGGGCCCATCACAAACTTACTTTCAGTTTCTTTACTAAATTCATGTATGCACGTTTGTTCTCTTCAGATCCCCCGGGGGAAGCATTTGATAGGTCAGAAGCCAATGTCCCGTTGATTAAAACACCCAGCATGTCAAGAACTGTGGTGAATAACTCACTGAGAGGAAAGGAAAACCATTTTACTCTTAAAACAAGATATACATAATTATCTAACCATTTCTACTGAAAGTGCTGAATTTTTGATGGCATCTAAGTCAGTAAGTGTCAGAATTTCTTGCCAGTATATCAAAACTTGTATCATGCATGCATGCAGCAGAGAAGTATAAACGGATTTTTTTAAAAAAACATACTTGTTAGTGTGCATGTCAACAGTTCCTGAAGTAATTATCTGGAGGAGGAGGAGAGCCCAGTCAGTGGTCCCCTGGGTGCTCCGCTGGACCGTGTCAAACATTCCTCCCACCTAGCATACAAAATACAACAGAGAATTTACATCTGTAGGCTAAAGCATCACCTCTAATACTATATGTGCCTAACCGTTGATTTGTTAAGACGAAAGAGATGCTAAGAACTGGTTCTTGCTCGTGTTCTGGATTATTCTGGAGTCTGTCTCATTCAGCAATGTGTTCATCACTATTTCTGGTTCTTTCAACACAGTAGAGTCATTCAAAACTTAACATAAAGAGCAAGAGCATTACTAACTCTCTGATCAATACCGCATAGTATTCAGTTTTAAACATAATTGCAAATAAATCAAATCTAAACAGGAACGAACTGATTACCTGCAATTCTGTCATATTTGTTTATTATTGCACCCAAGTCTGCCATTACAATACCCCCAGAAATGTTTGTTAGGTCTGCCAGCTCCTGTGTGAAGGTTAGGCTGCCAAAACCCAGGCATGCTATCTATACCCAGGGTAGATTTCATTTGAGATTTGTCAAACAGGAAGAAGAAGAAAAAAAAAAACGCAAAGGAATACAAAATGTTTTGAGAACTTTTAGATTTCTATTTTTTTTAAAAAAAATCCTGTGAGATTTGTCTTTTTCTAACCAATTCAACAGATTTAATCAATTCTGATCAACAGTTTTGAGTTGATGAATTTTATGGTTTCTACCCTCGCTCCTTCCATTTGATCGCTCCTCCGCTTCAGTCCATGCTAAGAGAATTGGTGCTCACAACACGCCTGTCTAGAACTCAGTCCAGACAGGAAGGAAAGTGGCAAGGGAAACAGAAGGTTTAAGAGAAAAGGAAGTGGGTACAGAGACCGAAAGAGGAAGGTTTCACTTTGCCATGCAGATTTTGCCCGCAAAAGAGACTGAAAGCCGGTGTTGTTTTCATACAGAGAGAGAGATGTGATTGAGCCACTCGCCATGGTCCTCACCAGATTTAGCCGGAGCTGCAAAGCCTCGTGCATCATCTGGCGGGCTTTTGTATCATCTTGGTATCTTTCTTCCCTCCAGTTACTTAAAATCTAAGATCAGGAGCAAAAGAAGAAAAACAACAACAATTCCTTGGTTCTTTGTTATGACATTTTTTATGTGTTTAAAGTTCAGCGTAATAGTGACAATCAATCTTTTAGCTTTAATAAATTAAAGTTAAAATTTTATATTATTTTATCTTTCTCTTCCACACAAACAAAATTCTAGCTATTCTATGATTTATTTACCTGGAAAGCTGAGGGAAGAAAATGTTACCTAATTATACATATATGCATGCATGTGTACATGTATATTCTTGGAAAATTCTTTAAAGGGTCATCAATAAAACACTATTAATTTAGTATTATAAAGATAAATATTGAAAAGACAAAGTTCCATTTTTCATTGGTCTCATGTTATACTTCTAGAGACATGCTATAAATCCTAGCAAATCTTTTATTTTTGACATCTTACTGGAATCTAATAAATAATCTTTTCTGATAAAGAAAATATATATACTATTTTCAAAAAATGTAGCCCTTGTAGCCCCTTAGACCAAGACCAACCAAATTTATAAATTGGACTACTTCTTCATTTCCTCAAGGCTAGCTCTGGGTAGGATTTACTAAAGAAAAGGCAAACAAGTTAGGAGCCAATACACTAAAGTCAACCACCAAGACCAAGGGTTTTCCTCTGCCTTCTACTTGTATGTCCTGGCATCCCTATACCTGCATTCTCTTACCCCTACATACTTTCTCTTCCCCTTTACCCCATGCAGTGTGTAAAAATGAACCACTTTACAGGTAACAACTATCAACCACAGAGTTGTAAGTAAGCTGAGTAAAGAGAATACGTCCTAAATTGTATACAGGGACAACAGCAGCTTCTGTAAATTGAGGTTAACAAGGCAGACACTGACAGACACACACACACACACACATTCTCTCTCTCTCTCTCTCTCTCTCTCTCTCTCACACACACACACACACACACACACACACTATCACAGAGCTGACAACAGAAGCTGAGCTTGGTGCAACTCCCCTATCACCCCTCCTAACTGGGAAGCTGAAACTGAAAGCCTTGAACATCCAAGGCTCACTTAGGCTACTAAGAGAGATGGGCATGATTTCAAATCAAAATAATGAGCTAAAAATGGACTCAGCAGCAGAAAGATTATCTCACATACACGCGGTCCTAGGTTCAACCCCAGCACGGAGGAAAGGGGTAAAAGTGAAAAGGATATGACTACAGAGAGAACAAAGCGACAAAGAATGGGGCAGAAGTACGTAGAGGGTGGCCACAGCCTTACTAAGGAGGCAGGGTGAACAGAAACCAGCAGGACAGTAGGGAGCAGGCCTGAGAGGCATCCTTGGAGCATAAGCACCTAAACCTGAAGGCAGCCCCCGTCCAGAGAGGCTCCAGTGAAAGGGAAACCACGTGGGAGAAACAGCTAATGCCCAGTCAGGAAGGGTTCTACGAGGTCAGCCCTGGAATCTCTAGTGGAGGTATAATGAGAAACACTCATGCTTTATATTTAAATGGCTCACTCTGGAAGCTAGACAGAGAAAAGACTTCTCCTAAGTAGTGCCTGTGATGACAAAGCCAAGTGAGCCTAGCGGCCTTGGTCATGTCGTCAAATCCCAGGATTCACTTGAAACATGTCAGGATAACCCATCTCACACCACCTACTATGCCTTTCCTTGATTCCATGTTTCTGCTCCCCAGGATTCCAGGCAGGAGAGACAGAGATCAGCAAGCTAGCTGATAAGTGAGTAAGTATGAGACAACTTACTTTTAGAGTCTTTATAACCCGTCCATGTATAATTAATATAAATATGTAAGCCTTATGGTGACCATGACGCTAGGCGGAACTGGGCATGGGCTGTGTTTCCTAGCACCTCACGGATAGACATGGTGGTCTAATCTTGTATTTGAAAGGAAAATAATGAACACCATTGGAAAGATACCAGCCTGGCTTAATAACACACTGCATTTTACCTGATTGACTTGATTCTGCAGAGATGTTAGGAGGCCCTCCCGTTGCTCATCTTGCCCCTTAAGGCAGGTAAGGACCAAGGAGAGGAAAGGTTGCTGACTCAAAAGAGACATACTAGAAAGGAAGCAGTGACAGTTAGAAAGAATAGCTTGCCGTCTGGGCCAACAGTTCGTTTTGTTGTTGTTTGTTTGTTTTGGTAGACTTGTTTATTTACTACTAGATAAAGGTCAGGATGGCAAGCCACCCAGAACACTAGGGAAGGGGACATATTCCAGTACTTAGAATATTAAAAACCACTGGCAGAGTTTGTGAATGGCCATACTCTATTGCCCTGGAAGGTATTCCCAAAGCAACAGAATCCTACACACTGGATGTGATGACCTTACTTTACACTCCCAGGGAAATTTTTATATATGATGAAGTCTATAAATGTGCACACAGAATAAGAAACATCGAGAAGTTCCTCAGACAAAACTCTTCTTTAGGAAGTTCACATCTCTGTGAGCCTTGACTATTTTGGATACCTGTGGGGTTTTTTGCTGTATATGTTTCAAAGGCCAACAACATAATCTCAGTCAAGTCAGGGGTGGACACAAGGTCTGAGGCCTCCAAAAGCAAGGTTCTTGCTGGAAACATCTAGAGCTCTGATATAGCCCGTGTCTCCGATGGAAATGGGGCAAAAATTCTATTTACAATTTTCATGTTCATAAAATATCTTCAATTAGAGAACAATGGACATACTTACAGGAAAATGAAAATTTTCCAAAAGAATAGGTCTAAGCCAAAACATTTGGCTCAGGAGTTACATTTCATAGGTGACCAATAAAGAACAGTTAGTTATGCCACTATTATTATTTTTATAAAATGAAGAAGTTACGACTTTAAAAACAACTCCTTGGATGCTAAATTTATAGTGTGAATATTCATCCTCAATAATATGATCCATTTTCAGAAGTAATTACTTGAAAACTTTTCTTAGTCATAAAATAAATGAAGTAAACATTAGTTCTGGCAGTTGTCCAGATCAAGAGTGCTAAATTTTGGAAAATCAGTAGTTATTTCAAGGTCTGGTAGGTAGGTCAGAAGTAACAGCAAGCCCTTGTGTTTCTACAGCTGCACAGTGATATGGACACACAGGCAGGGATGGGACCTGGGGCATTGAACATTAGTACAAGGCCAGAGTCTTGCTTAACAGATAATCTCCTAATCCACTGGAGGCCCAAACCCTGTGGACACTGGATATGGAGTGACCGTGGGTCCTGTGGACACTGGATATGGTGTGACCATGGGTTCTGTGGACACTGGATATGGTGTGACCGTGGGTCCTGTGGACACTGGATATGGTGTGACTGTGGGTCCTGTGGACACTGGATATGGAGTGACCGTGGGTCCTGTGGACACTGGATATGGAGTGACCGTGGGTCCTGTGGACACTGGATATGGAGTGACCATGGGTCCTGTGGACACTGGACATGGTGTGACCGTGGGTCCTGTGGACACTGGATATGGAGTGACCATGGGTCCTGTGGACACTGGACATGGTGTGACCGCGGGTCCTGTGGACACTGGACATGGTGTGACCGTGGGTCCTGGGGACACTGGACATGGTGTGACCGCGGGTCCTGGGGACACTGGACATGGTGTAACAGGTAACGGTGGTACAGGACGCTTCCCTCAGGGCTAGCCTGATGTAGGGTATCTGCCAGCATACCTTTTCTGTTTCTGCCTGTCTCTTTCCTTCTTGGAAGAAGAGCCCAGGTGCTGTCCCTTCTCCAGCTCTTCCCCAGCAGCTTTCAGCACTCTTCCCTGCACAGAGGTTGGTAGCCTGGCGATGAGGGGGGCCACCAGCCATACACCCCTGCGTTCAGAGGAACTAAAATCAGAAACAGGCGTTACACTAACAGAGCAGCTGGTCTCTACTCTCACAGCCAATACAGAAACCCTACACTAAGCCACAGGTGGGTAAGACGCAGACTTCTAAAACTGTCCTATCATGTCTGCACTTTCTCCTCTTTCCAAGGACCAGACATCTGCTTACTGCTTATGCGTTCTCCCACATTCACCGAGGAATAAAATGTGTTCTTCTGGGAAGGAGTTCTGCATACTCAACTCTTCTCAGTAACTCTTGGATCCTGCCTTTCTGATCACTCACCACCCTTCTCTCTATGAACACGACACTTTTCAGTTATGGTCACAATATACAATGGCACTGTGTTAGGCCAAGGAAAAACCAATCTTTAAATTCTAAAACTCACTATCTATATGCTTTTACCAAAATGATGACGTGCAAAACAATCTGTCTTTCATGATGAAAAGGATTACTTTATGATTTCATAACCCTATTAAATTCTATTATGAATACAAATTACTATATACACAACTGTCAATTAATAAAGACACATACAGAATGCTTCGTATCTAATGACTGACCCAAAGTTCATCTGTGGCTCCAAAGTACCTGGACCTACAACAAAATACCTAAAGTGCCAAGACATCACTCACCCACTTTTGCCCTATAACTTGGTGAATAAACAGAATTGTTAACTATAAGGAATCATTTCCTTCACATTTCCAGACCCTTAATGAAACATGTGTTGGGCTAATCGAGTCTCCTCTGACATACAGAATGCTGATGGTAGTCCAACGAAACTATAAAGCAATACCTTAAAAATGTCTTTATTCCATTCTGTCTTGTGCTGTTTGCATCAGCACTTCCAAAACCGTTGGGGTTGAAGAGGCTTATCCCAGAATTGGGGGCGTTGTTATTTAGGTCTGCAGACTGCTGGAACACCTCTATTGTTGCCTTGGCAATATTGTCCAGTAAGTTGTTCATTTCAGCCACAGAACCAGAGCTCTAGAGTCAGGAAAATGAAAGAAAGCTAGCCCAACTATGCACTCCTTGATTCTCAAGCCTCTCAATGACTTCCTGCCTTTTTTTAAAATTTAATTCAGACGTGTGTTTTCAGCATATACTCACGGGGTCCTTCAAGCACTGCTTGATCATTAACTGAAGTTCTAGCCAGGACTGTCTCAATGTCCACTGCTCAAGGTTCTGGAGGAAAGGCAGAGAATTACAGCATTAAGAATACAGAGCATAGGCTACCATAGGCTTGCAGTAGCACTCATGCCTAGCAATAGAATTCACAGGGATTAAGGGCATCCAATCTTATGCCTGATAGAATAAACATTCACAACAAAATAGACTCAAGCTTCAGAATATGTCCCTCATCCAGCTAGGAGTCGAAGTCATGTAAGCATGGCATCTATCAGAATCCATTTACCAATGAGCTAACCTCATTCCAAAATGATGTGTTCCTTCAATAACGTATTCAAGAATGATCCATCACAAAGATTATTTCTCAAGTAAATACAGCACTGACTTGAAATACCAATATCTGCTTTTGATTATATGCTGTTTGTTGGTGACTATACCTACTGACCAGACGACGGTGACAATGCCACCATAAAGAAAACTGCAGAAGGCAGAATTAAACTCAGGAATAAGAAAGAAAAACAGCAGCAAGGTCGTTCTTTCTACAAACATATTATGATGAGTAACCTAAACAGGATCTTCAGAACGTGCCACTCACCTGAAGGATGCGCTTAATGTGCTGTCTTTGCAGGTTGTCCCCCTCTGTACACTCTTTAATGCCATGAGGGTAACAGATCAGCTGCAGCAATTTCTGGGCTTGCATGTTTGAAAGCACAGGGTCCAAAATAAGTTCTTTGTCTGTACATAGTCGTTCTGGTTCTTTTAAGCAATGTTCTCCTACCCACTCCTAAAAAGAAGCCAGCAGTTAGATGGGTAAGTAGTAATTCTACCTGTCTCTGTATTATGGTCTCATTTCTCAGAGCAAAATGATATAAGGCTAGCAAGAACCATCAATGAAAACAAATTAATGGAAATATAGGAGAAAGGTTTGCATGTGCATACATTTTGATTATGTTGTCGTTGTTGTTTTGAGTTTGTTTGTTTTTAGATAAGGTTTCAGGTATTCCAGGATGGCCTCCAGTTCACCAAGTGGCCAAGAACAATCCTGAAGTATTGATCCTTCTGCTTCTGTCCTCGGTGCTAGGATGACAGGCCTAAATTTAATGCCATGTCTTCTTGCCTACCAGGGCTCCCTACATGCTCACCAAGCACACTATCGAATGAGCTATATCACCAGCTAATGGGAAAAGCTTCAAAGCAAAACTCCAACATTCTGGTGTCTTAAAAATACAAAGTGGGAGGGGCTCTAATTAAAGCAAAAACATTTAAACCTATGGAGCAGGAGTTAAGTTATGGTGTGCTGTTTTAAAATGAGGACTTTAAGGTACCATTTTGTAGCCAGGGTTTTTTGTTTGTTTGTTTTGCTGTTGTTTGTTTTTATTGGATATATAATGACAATGATTTTATGCTATACGTGCTTCTCATCATTTTATGGGATACATTCTGCTGAACAGGTAGAACACAGTTTATAAATATTTAGAAGGTTACCTTTTTCTTGACACTAGCATCCTTTCATTACTACTTTTTTCTTTTATTAAATGGCATAAGAAAATATCAGCATCAGAGTTCAATTTGCACCCAAATCTGTTTCAAATGACATCTCCTTTACTAATGTATAAGCTGCTCAGCACAGGCCATTCACTGACGTCACCTGGGTAACATAATCCCATGCTCCATTATAGCAGCATTAAATAACATTCAGACACCAGATATTGGTGTGTTGCTTTCCTAGGGATCAAATTATTTATTACTGACTCATCAATTTATATTTTATTGGGGGTAGAGGTGCTGCTGACATTGTAGTGTGGGCCAGAGCCTCCTATAGGACTTGGAGCAGACCCTCTTGGGACCCTATACCTGGCCAGCACCCCCCCTCCCAGGTCCAGGCATCTAGAGAACCATCAACAGTCCAGTGATGCCACTGTGTGTTCACAGTTGGAATTAGCATAGGATTGCCCTCAAAAACTGTGGAGCTGCTTAAATTTACCTTAGACCAAAAATAAAAACGCTAAGCAAGCATGCATTTAATACAAATTACAAAATATGTAATGTTGATACTTTTTAAAATAAAAGATTTTTGAAAGTATGGAAAGATGCACAGAAAATCCTGCAGCTAGACATCTGAGCAAGGAAAGACAGGAAGAAGTTGCCGGGCAGGGAAGAGGTTACTGTTTTGGGTGAATGTTATTATGATATAGACATTTTTTGGGACAAAAAAAACCCCCAAAAGCCAAAGGCATGAAAGGCAAATAAAAGAGATTCTATTTTTAAAAAAAGAATATGGCTAAATCATTTTTGGCAAAAGCATTTTCTTTTCTGTCCCTCCAAATAACGTTTGAATGCATTATCCTAAACCCTTCAGAAAAATTAAACCGCAAACCAATCTTTGCCTTTCCCAGGAGGCCCTTCTCCTAGTGGTATATGTGGGACCTTCCTTAGGTGCTCTATGGGGAATGTGACCGTTAACTTGCAAAAATTTAATACTCATATGAATTGGGAGAAGGTAAAACACTATTTTAAAGGATTATATTAATTAATTCATTATTATACACACACACAGTAGTGATACCTTACAACAATGAACATATACAACCCAGATCTTATTCATTCTCTCCCTCCCTCCCTCCCTCCCTCCCCCCCCCCCCCCTCTCTCTCTCTCTCTGTCTCTCTCTGTGTGTGTGTATGCATACACACATGCACTGTGGGGAGATCTGTAATGTCCATGCATGTAGAGTTCAGAGGTTGATGTCAGGTGCCTTCATGGATCATATCCTTGTCTACCTTATATATGATGGAAGCATCCGTTAACTTAACCCAGAGCTCACCTATTCAGCTACATTCCCTAGCCAGGTGACTCTAGGATCCTGTAGCTACACTTTCTGAGCGTCAGGATTACAGGTGGGCTGCCATGGCTATTCAGTATGTATATGAATTATAAGGATCTAAATTCTAGGCTCTCTGCTTGCATGGCAATCACTCTATCCACAGATCTATCGCTCAGTCTTCAGGCCTTGCTCTCTGAGTACTAGTCTCCTAACAGGCAGAAACAGCACTCCTTGTAAGAGTGACTGATTATAGCTGCGAGGCAGGGAAGATGGGAAATGGATATAGTAAGGAAAAAGTCCTTTAAAAGGATAGAGATACTCTAAATATCACAAAAGATAGGACGAAGAGATTCCCAATATACCAGTCTAGAATAAGTTGGACATTAAAGAAACTCTGGCCAATATATTATAATGCACACAGATAATTAAATACAAACTAACATAAGAAGGGTAAGGTCTTTGTACAACACAAACGGATATTGAGGAGAGAGAGGAGGAACAGGGAGAAAAAACACACCATTTTTCAGCCTTTACATTAAAGACTGCTTTAGACAAGAATTGCCGTTGATGCTTATGAGGAATGGGGTGTGTGATGGGGATCAGAGCGTTTACATCATCTCAAAGTGTCTCCTCACAGATTACTAGTTAGGGGAGAAGGAAACACACTCGCAGTGTAGTGGGGCAGTTCTGAATCTAGAGATGCTGCGATCAAAGCTAGCACCACCATCAGGCCAAATGTACATGGTGGTAATCAGATGTGTTTGCCTGGAATAATACAGTGTCACCTCTGAACTCTCCCCTCCAGTAATTTGAGGCTAATCTTTATTTTTTTAATTAATTTATTTATTATGTACACAATATTCTGTCTGTGTGCATATCTGCAGGCCGGAAGAGGGCACCAGACCTCCCTACAGATGGTTGTGAGCCACCATGTGGTTGCCGAGAATTAAACTCAGGACCTTTGGAGGAGCAGGCAATGCTCTTAACCACTGAGCCATCTCTCCAGCCCCTAATCTTTAGAATCTTATGTAAATCTAAAAGTACTAGAATAGTTCATAAAGTCCCTTATAGATGAGAAAAAATTATTGCACCAAAGCTAAAAGTTATGATTTTTCAGTAACTTTGGTTATGATGAAAAATAAAAATGTTAAGTATCCAAAAATAAAGCAGAGTAAACTATATCATCTACTTTTCAACTGTTAAGAAAATGGACAAAACGTCCAGAATTAGTGAATCTGTTTAGAGGTCATACTGGAAGTATTCAATATTGCAACTCTTTAACAAATTTGAAATTATTTCAAAATAAATTTATAAAGACAAAGATCACCCTATAGAACTTAAAAAAAAAAGCAAACAGTTGCCTCTCTAAGAGCAGATACAGAGTTAAAGCAGAAGCCATCTGGAAACCCAAAGAATACCTGTTGGCAGATAGTCCTCAGTACGTATCTAGCATAGTCTCTTAGGTTGGCAGTTTCCATGGAAATGCTCTTCCCATAGGATTTCGGATTCTGCGAGGGGGCCCAGGCGTCCTCAGCATTCCCATCGCGTCGTAAACCCCTCACGCCGAAGTCTTCATTCTTTAAAGTGGTGACGCTGTTACTGCCAATCTTGGCATCTCCTAAATGACAGAAGCACAAAGGCAAAACCGCAGAAGTTCAGAATACCGCCTCACACATGTGACAGGCAAATGAGGCTAGGTTTCAGGGATTCCAAGATGTGGATGGTATCACATTGCATAGCCGGTTGTCCAGCAATAGAAAGAATGGAAAAAGAGATAGATGGGAGAAAAGTCAGACGCAAGACTCATTCCTTCTTTTGGTTTATAGGTTTAATATTTCTTTTGTTAGTCTTGGAAAAGCCAATATGAATGATATTTTATAGTCAAAACACATTGATTTTATCGAATCTTCAGGCATGAATGTACTTAGGAGTACCTGAGTTATAGACAAGGAAGAAGATGGGGTACTCACCCTTCAAGGAGTCCCTTTTCCATTTCTTCTCTTACAATGATTTATTTTCTATCCATAGGTCAAGAGAAAAGTTTTTGCCTTAGCCCACCTTACTATCAACTTCTTGACAAGAGAGATTTATTTCCCTGGGGATGGAAAAGGGCAATGCATACTAAGGAGGCCCCGGAACGCAGAGCTCTCTGCACACAGCCTGCGTCTTCACCTTCCTCTCTATAGCATCCAGCTCAGACACCTTACCGCTCACCAATCGCTAACACACTGAGTGCGATGAAGCTAAGGAAGGTATTTGACTACTAACAAAATTCTGGGAGAAAAATTAGAAAAACACTCAGGGTGTACTTAGATAAAATAAGAAATTTCAAGCCCTGAAAGAAAAAAATATTAAAGTGAGATAAGGAAAGAGATAATTTGGTGGTGCGACTGCCAGACAGCAGCAGAAGGCCTTCAAACGTTTGCTTGCTTACCTACAGAGCTCAAAGCAAGCTCTGATGAGACAGTTGTCAAACCAGCAGCTGAATTTAAGGAAGGCCTTTACTATATGCAGAATGGGAGCAAGTCTAGGTCAGTGCAAAAAACAAACAAACAAACAACAATAAGCACTTTTAAACACAAGGCCAACCCTCATAAGGTTTTATTCTGCTGAAAACACAAGCATAAACTGTAATTCTGTTCTGGGAAGGAAGGATAACCATAACGTCCTAATTAATATCTACTTTCAAAAATCATAGAAGCAGAGGAGGGGCTGAGGCTGTCATTCATTGGCAGAGTACCTGCTTTGCCTGTATGAGACCTTAGGCTCTATCCCCCGCACTGCTGCTACTGTTGCCACTGCTCCCACCACACAATGACAAAGCAAAAAAAAAAAAAAAAACCATAGATGGAAAAATAAGCAATACACTTCAATTCGCCAATGTATTATTATATATTCATCATGTATTTTAAAATGTAAGAAATGGTGGCTTTACCCAAGGGAGTGGATTTAATTCAACAGAGCTTTTCAAAACTAGCAGAAGTCTGTATTCTCTACTCTTGGATGATATAAATAGCTATGTCTATCTCAAGTTAGACTACTATGTAAACTAGAAACAACATTCACTATAACCGTCCTATTTTCCTGCCTTAATATATATTTTGGTAGATAAGAATTAGGAGAAAATTGGTTAGGACTAATAAAGTAGATAAAACCTCTCTGTAAAAGCAAAAACAAGCACATTTCTTAGACTCAGTTGTACATCTCCTTTTCCTTTGGATATTAGAAGGACTGAAGTCTACTACCTTGATTCTAGTATTTTCTGCAATAGCATAGAAAACAAAACAAACTAAATATCCTAAGTGAATCTATCTAAGTCTTCACTGACATTTAACTGTGCTGATCATAATTTCTCAGACGACGAACCTCTCACGTTATTTGAATATCTAAAAAAACCTGGCAGTCTTACTGGGATTCTCCCAGCTCTACAAACAAGGGGCCACTGTCTAGATGAGACTGATCATTGTGTACAGCACTGAAACATGTTACTAAGTATTCATTCTTCCAGTGAAAGCAGTAGTTAGCATGGACTACATAATCCTATAGGATCCTAAGCCTGGAAACAGGCTGAAACCTTCATGGTAGGACTACCTTTTGTTTTGCTACAAAATTCATGACTATCTCAGAAAAGTATGGTTGTTTCTAATTTAAATTTTTTCATACAAAAAATTTTATCATATTCTTTCCCCTCCTCCAACACCTCCCAGAGCCTCTCCATTTCCATACCCATCCAACTTCATGCCCTATCTCTCTCTCAAAAAAATGAAAATCTAAATAAAACCATAAGATAAAATAAATATAGCAAAAGAAAACAAATAGTACACAATAAAAAACAGAGTTCATGTTATGTTGGCCAACTGTTCTTGGACATGATACCTATCTTGGAGTATGGTCAACATTATCTAGTTAACACACTACTGGGGAAAAAATACATTTTCTTTTATACACACACACACACACACACACACACACACTGGTTTTAATTGTTTTTATGAAGACTATGTTATTATTCTTTGTCATTCACAAATAAAATCTGTCTAGCAAGGTTCACTTAAACTGGTATGTCTATTCCTTTGAACTACTTTCAGACAAGAAGTGGCAACTATAGTTTGGTTAAGGTCAAAATGAGACGAGATACCCAAAGCTAAAAGTAGGAAGTATTTGAGATCCCATAATCATTCAAATCTTTTATGATTTACACACTTAAAATATTCTGAGGTGTTTCACTGCCCATGAATAGAAGGTGGTACTATTGCTCTAGCAAAATATGCACAGTTAAGATTGTAAAGGGCTTCCTGGGCATCGTTAACTAGGTCTCAAGCCTGTGTACCTCCTAGTGATCCCTAGCAATACAAGCATCATGGTGGGTGCACATGTTTCTTCAGGGAAAGTGTACAGCAGGATGATAGAAACTTGTTCATCGTCACAAAAGAGGCAGGAACACTAGATTAACACCCAGGTTTTCTGGTGTTCTGCACCTGGAATATAATCTGGATGAAATTTAAACATTTTACTAAAAATATTGTTATTCCTGCCTACTATGAAGAGTGATTTCTGTCAGTAAATGAAGGCAAAATAATCCTGCGGGTCTGAGGCCCTGATTCGCATCAGAATGAATTATCATGTAATTAAAACCAAACACAAAGTACTTATATTCCAGTTCTCTCAGGGTCACCTTAGCAAGGGACAGAACCCTTGAAGCTCCCATTGCTTAGACTTAGGCAAAGCCAACTTTTTCTTTTCTTCCCCCAGAACAAAACAGACAAACAAAAAAACAAACAAACCAGGTTTTCATGACATTATGTAAATTCCACCATGAATATAAATGATTTTGCCTCCACTTCTGGTGATTAACCAAGAGGCTGAAGGCCGGGAGAGTCTTACCAAGCATCATAATAGCCTTTAAGACAGCAAAGACAGCTCCCACTTCTATGCTGTTGTGAGCGGCGGCTAGGAGGTGTCTATCACAAGACGATCTTATTCCAGGGAAAGGTTTGCCTATGAAAACAACAACAGACCTTTAATGCCCCCTCCATCATTAACCATCCTCTGTAACCATCTACAGTCAGGAAGGTCTTTCGTGGTTAGCTTGTGGACACTTAACTGACATCAGTTAGCTTTAATTGGTGCTCCAGAGAATCACTGAGAAACACTGCCAGTATTCTTACTTAACCTTTTCCCTTTAATTATTATTAAAACAATGTTTCTGCTCCTCAGAGAGATGGAGGAAAAGATTAGTCGGATTCCCACACAGATGCAGCCCTCTCTATATGGAAATGATTTAGTACAAGCCTTCACTAATACCCCCCATCGCCGCAGGACAAAGTAAATAAATGAGCTGTCATTCTCCTAAGTTGAGATGGCATGCCCCAGAATCAACACGGGGTATGTAGGAGGATGAGACTTCCCACCAGCATGGTATTTCCTCAGAGCCCAGGCATTTTTATTGTTTATTAATTCCCCATTTTTATTTCCCAATATATCCTCCTATTACATAACGGAAGGTGCTGCCAGACCTCTCAGGCGTTATCTCTGTCCTCCATCACCTGAAGACCAAGCCCACGGAAATCAGGGAGGAAACTATAAACTGGATAGCTCCCATGGTCACAGTAGAGCCAAAAGTTCCAAATAACCACGGGAGCAGAGCTTTTTTTTTTTTTTCTGGTGTTCTGCACCTGGAATATAATCCGGCTGAAATTTACAGGTCAGCTCACCTGTTGCTTGAGGGAAAAAGCAGGCCTGGGGAGCTCGGAAGAGGTGAAGCAAGAGGCGGCATGTCATTCTTGCCCCGGGCTCTGCATCCGCATCTCCGCAAGCTGGAAAGGGGGAGATAAAAAGCAATCCTCCTCACATACTACACAACAAGCTTTTCAGGCTTTCTACTGCTAAAATTTCAGTAATGCGTTAAATAAACTCTCCTTTTAGTAAGGTCATTAGTTATACCTTTTCAAGGAACCTTCATGCTGCCTTGAACAAAGAATAAAGCAATAGCAGGTTCCTGCTCCAGAGTTCAATGCTACTCCGCAGAAAACACCTATTACAGTTACGCCATCTCCACCAGGTACCATGCCACCTGAACCCCCAAAATGGTCCTTTCCCTCACCAGGTACCATGCGCCCCCAATTCCTAACACGATCCTTTCCCTGTGTTAAAATGGTCACACACGGCCACAAAGCAGCAACCACAACAAAGGCAGCGGCTCCAGGCCAGCTTACCTGCCGCTAGGAGAGAGGGAAGGGCGACATGTTGCACGACGTCCTCCAGGGAGAAACACTGTCGTGCTATCAGGATAGCAATGAAAGTAGCTAATGAATCATGGAATGAAAGGTCACTCACCTTTAAGAAAAACATTGACAGGTTTTAATACCCAACACCCTTTAATGCGGCATATCAAAGACCACTATCTAAGAGAATACCGGCAACACAGTAAGATCTCAAATCTCAGTAAGAACCAACAGAGGGAGATGGCTTTGATTATTGTCTTCTTGGGCCCAACGCTATGATAATAAGACAAAGCAAGTTTACTCATATCCCAAGGTTCTAGGCCGATATTGACCTATGATTCATTGGCATGCAACTCAGAAACTACAACACGAGAGCAAAAACCAAGAAGCTGCTGAAAGATGTGTCATTATCAGTAGTTGCCAACGGAATGCACCGTGTCATTTATGGGCAAAGCAGAAAGCAGGAGAAGACTCCCCTAGTGGGAATACATGACCCACTAAATTATGAGCACTCCTTCCTGCTACACTAATGTATTCTTTTTCATGTGAGAGAATTCATTTTAAAAGATCTCTAAAAGTTTTCAATTGGCTGCTAAAATTTTAAGAGAGCAATGAGAGAAAGGAGAGAAAAGTTAATTCTGCCACAGTGAAATCTCTACATTCCAGATTTCACAAGGCACTGGAAGAGAATACTCAGGGAACACAACTACCCCACTGGCAAGCTTCCAAGAGATTGGTACTTGGTGCAACAAGCCACATAAATAGATTTAAGAAAAAAATTCTAAGTCTTTGCTGTATGGAAAAGCAGCCTATCACAATGTATTTTGTATAAAAAATATCTTAATTCACAAACTGAAGATAAGGAGACAGGAGTGTCCATTCCATCCTGAGACAGCAGCAACAGGAAGTGAATCTCAGCTTTAAAACTGTCAGGTTTTCTTAGTAACAGACACAGGTCTGACAAAGATCACCAATGATAAAAGCGTCAGTGGATGAAGAGTCCAGACAGATGGTTAAGACATATATATCGTGGTGCAACCAGGAAGTCATCCACATGATCTGGACAATCTCTCTATGATTCTACAGGTATATTCTGAGAAACACTGAATATCCTGAGTCTACACATGACTTATCCAAAATAACAACAGCTATATTCTCAAATATATGCTGGTTCTCTTCATGTATGAAACGCTTTCTGTCCTAATCTGAGGAATCCAAGCCAGAAAAGAATGAAACAGCTCTGAGACCATTCACATGTAAAACTTTAGTCTCTCGAACATGTTAGAGTTCCTTCTACTTATTTTGATTTTTTAAATTTATTTAATTCATGGTTATGACACAAGGGTTTATCACTTTTAGAAACAGAAAAATATTTTGCTTTGTTACAGCATAATTAATTAAGTAGGAAGAATGATTAGCTAAATTTTAGATTTTGGTATTAAGATAAAGAGAAAACTTACATCTACAGTGCAGAGTACATCATTAAATCCCCACACATGATTTGAAGAACAACAAAGAGCCTTCAGAACCCCCAGCCACTCCGAACTAAGAACTGTACAGCAAGCAGTTAACTCAGAGGAGAAATTGGCTATGTCATTTATCCTAGAAAAGAGAAAGAAGATAGCAGCAAGTGTTTTGGTATACATGAGGAGTGATAACATTTTTTCCTTATTGAATACGTTTCATTAAGCATCACTTAGATTTAAGGATATAATTAATACCGCTTGCCAAGTAACATATAATTAGCACAAATGAATTAACATATTTTTGATTCTATGAATAAATTTGATCTATCCTTTTACATTTTATAGGAATCAAACATTAAGGACACAGGCCTAGGGTGTGCCAAATCCTGGGTTCAATCCCTAGTCCTACCAGGATAAATAAAGACATTAAGTAATGTAAGTAGGCCCAAGTACAGTTCATATCAAAATATAGTATTATTTTCAAAATTGTATATGGTTTTCAAAATGGAGCATGACTAAAAAATATCCCTTTCCAAGCCATGAGTCCAAAAATCAATGTTTCTTGGGTTGAGGAAATTAATTAAGATAGGCAGGGTAGCAAGTATGAGCTCAGGAAACTAAGGAAGCATCAAATTAACTCCTCCTTGACTACCGCCGCATTCAGGGCAAAGCAGCTCACCGGCCGGCATCCTGGTGGCCCATGCACACATTCATCAGTGTGTTGCAGACAAAGCTGTACCGGTTAGCAGCGTTGTCACTGAGGATCTTGCCCAGCATCGAGTAGTTGATGCTTCTTGCTGAGGGATTCTCAATGAAGTCCATCATGAAGTCTGGATCCCAGCGTAAGTTGGAATTTGCAGGCATTACGTTATTATATATGGTCTGCTTTACTTTTGAACAGGCACTACTAAGGTTAGAAAAAATAGTTACAAAAGGAAAAAAAAAAAGAACGAAACACCCAAGAAAATGTGAAGGACATGCAGAGTGGCAACAACTGGAAGACTTTCCTAGACAATCCACATCCTACTATTGCTCATTTCAATTTCTTTGTAAACCAGCAGTAGGTACAAACTCTAGGATACAGTAATTGCTCAATGAAGAGTTTTTGAATTTATATGTGGAAACAACATGAGGTATTTAGTTACTAAACTTAATTATTTTCTAAATCTTTTCTACATGTATACGCACTCAAAACATCAATGCATTTACTAAGCCATCTGTCTCTTTCTTAAGAGCAGCTGTGAAGTATTATAACCTAAGAATAAAAATGGATCCAATTACACATGGGGAATAATGTAGTGTTTTAATACTAACTGCAAACCCAGACCCTATTCTTTTGGGTATGTAGAGCATGCCCAGTGGTAGCTCCTGTGTCAAAGCTGCTGTGGGCACTGGTCCACAGCTATGTCAGGTAGAGGGGAACCTCCTGCTTTCAGAGCTCACAGTCTCCATAGAGATAATATATTTTATAGTATAATAAAACTGTTACAGCAAAAAATGTAGACCGTGTTTCCCAGCAACAGGAAAAACAGGAACATAGCTGGGCATAGCATTAAACTCCTATAATTCCAGCACTTGAGAAAGAAGATGGCTATAAGTTACAGGCGAGCTGGGACTGGATCCTGTATTTCTAGTCTTTTGTGAAGCAAACAAGCTTGCTTTAAGAGCCTACCCCCACCAACGAAGAATTTACAGTGGGCTACATCTGAATAGATATGGGATACTAGAAATAAAAGAGAATTAGAACATATTATCCATCATTTCTTTATGGACAGGAGAAGCAATGATTTAATCCCACAGTTTCAAATCCATATGAGCTCAGCTATTCATGCCCTCTTGCTATGAACCATAAATCCTTAAGTAGCATCCCTTTCCTACCCGAGAGCTCTGCTATGTAGCAGGGATTTGCGGGGGGTGGGGGAAATCAAATTTCTGGCAGAAGAAAGTTTTGTTATTAGGTGACACATAGATCTACCAAATCTTAGAAGCCCAGACAACACTGCTTTTCCTTCTTTTTGAGATCCACTCCACTTGGCCACCAAATTCCAAATTCTCTGGAGTGCCTGGACACCCGAACTTCTCTAAACTCTGACCTGGTCTCCGGACCGTTCCTATCTAGACTTCTTATCTCCTTCGCTGTACTTTCCAAGAGGCCCCTCTATGTGTTAAGAGCATGCTGGCTTCCGTTACAACTATTCTCTCATTCTTCCCACTCTCTGCTGCCTACACACAGGGAAGGAAGCCAAACACTTAGCCGTGTTCCTCCTGTAATTGTGTGTCTCAGAAAAACCTGACAGAGTAATGAAAGCAATGAGTGCCTGGAGGTCAGAAAACTGGTTTAAATCCGGGCTTCACTGTACGTCAAGATCAGAAGCAAAAGTCTGTGAGTAAAGAAACTCACTTCCACTTCCTGAGATTCTGACATTTCGAAAACCTTAACGGAAAAACCAGCACAGTGCTCAGCACATAAGATCTCAAGCCTTGGTAGAAATAGTTAGCGTTATGTTTCTCACCAAATTTCCTTCTACACAACTTTATGGTGCTTTAGACACAATTATGAAAACTTTGATTACTACTATACTAACATGAATCTCCCTTTATATTTGGCTTCTGTTTAAATGCTTTTCCTAACCCCCAAGCAGAGCTCTGACTACACAACAGCCCAAGAAAGCTGCCTTCTTTTCCTGTTTGTTTTGAGGACAGTGCACGCAGCATCTGTGATGCCTACCCTGCTGGTGTCCCTGATTTCAACACTGCTTACCTAAAACTTCTAGAAGAATGTGAACTCTTAAGTAAGAGATCCTTTCATGGGTGATGTGTACTTTGTCCCCTAAAATCCCTCTTACCTGTGGACTGAAAAATCCTTTAACCACTCTTATACTTAGCGCCACAAGGTATTTAGTATTTTGTTTACTGGAGTCAAGAATCCCACAGACTTTTAGATTAGCTTGCATTAGTACTTAAAATGTAAACAGCAATGGGATTATTAACAAACTCAGGCATGGTCATGTCTGTCGTTTTTTGTTGTTGGTGGTGGTGGGTTTTTTTTTTTTTTTTTTTTTTTACTTTTTTTCCTGCTCACCTGAAAAGGTCTCCAAATTTACTCCTGAGATGGCTACATGAGACATAGAGGTCATATAGGTAGGCCAGGATACATCTTTCAGGGGAAGAGCATTCTGAGGGGTTGACAACATGCTTCACCACGCCACACAACCTGAGGGCAGAGACATGGGAATAGAAACGGCCCGTCTTGATAGTGTGTGAGTAGCTGAGGAAGTCTTTAAAGCGAGAGGGTATGTACCTAGGACCTGGAAATGGGTATCACACAGCAGGAAAGGGAACCCCGTTGTTCACAAAAATATTAAGTTATTAAACACCAATATTGGTTATGCCGAATACTAGACAGGCTTAAGAAAACGGAAGTAATGCAAGGGATTTCCCAGCACTAGAATGCAGAGGACGTAGCTGCTGTGACTAGAACACAGGAGGAAAGGGCAGGCAGGACAGGTCAAGGCCATACAGTTTCACAAATTCAATCAGGTAGCAAAGACTACCAAGCACACTAGTTTGGAAAGAAACAGTTCTTTAATACAGGGAATCCACTGAGCTGGATGCAGTCATAATTTGAAATCCCATTCCTCTTATTTATCCTAACTACAGGCAAATTTATCTGGGTTTACCTTATCTAAACAATGAAAGTCCATTCTCTTTAGAGGCAGCCTTTAAAATAATGCCTTTATCTCCAAAGTATCAATACTGCAGTAATTTCCCTCCAATTCATGACTTCTGTGTTCTTATAACGTGACTGTCAGTATGGCATAGACGAGAACACCTATGATCCATCCATACACGTCTGACTTCACCACCACCAAGGATCTGACACAGGACTCTGGGTAACATGTCACCAATAGTGTCACAGATGACTCAAACCCTAAAATGGATTTAATAATCTTCAAACTCACCACCCCTATTGTACAGAGAAGACTATCAGGAGAAGTGACTTGTTTAGAGAGAGGAAAGAGGAGATGAGGTTCCCCCGTGCATAGTGGACCACTCTGTACCATTCAGAAGACTATATAAATCTAACTCACTATGAATCCATGACCCAATGAACGAGTTATTGAACGAATATTTATTTTAAAATTGAATGAATGGGTCAAATGGTGGTGGCGCACGCCTTTAATCCCAGCACTTGGGAAGCAGAGGCAGGCAGATCTCAGTGAGTTTGAGGCCAGCCTGGTCTACAAAGCGAGTTCCAGGACAGCCAGAAATTTTATACAGAGAAATCTTGTTTGAAAAAAAAATTAAGAATACTTGTAAAAGTTTTCAAGATTTATTAGTTGTGTGATGTTAGGCACATCACCTTCAAACTCTGCACCTGTTAAATGATATAAAAAACCCACAGAACTGTATACACACATAGTTCCTCACACTTCAAAGTCTGTAGCTTTTTACTGTTCTACTTCTTAAACTAGACATATGATTAATAATGCAAACGTCTTTTGGTTTTTTAAGAAAAGCCTTTGTAAAACTGATGCCACTCAAGAAATACTATTCATAAATTAAATGCACGAGTTAGGTTACAGAAAAAAAATCAAAAAGACAAATGAAGAAATGAAAGAAAAGAAATGAACAGGCTGTCTTTTCTTAAAAAGGGGCATAGAAAAGCAGGTGGGGAGTAGGCAGCAAGAAGGTTATCAAGAGCTCCTCACATTTCTTGAGTCCTTTAAACTCAGTCTATTGCAGAAACACTAGGCCCAACCTCAGCCCAACCTCACAAGGGACAGTAGAATGAACCCTTGCCTATTAGACACAAGCAGACAACTTTTGTTAATTAGGAAGACGATGAGCATGTTTCTGCAGTGCTAATGTGTCATAAAGCTTATGTGTCTGATTCTTCAAACGTAAGCTGAAGACAGGTGACCAGTTATGGTGCCCACTGCTCTCAGTAACCAAGCTCCAGGACAGCATAGAGAAGAGGGCTGTGACTGATCAGGAGATGAAGAGGAGAGTAGCAAGTACACAAAGAGGCAACCACACACCCATCCTATATTTATAGCTCCTTCCTTAGGAATCAGTTTGCGGAGAATTATTTTTAGGTATGTTTTCATTGGATATTTAATGAGACATTTAAAATGTCAAAACAAATGGTACCCAAGTTGTTTAACTTGTTTTTTTGTGGGATTCCTTACAATGGGAGTGGGGGTGTCTCTGACTCTTTTGCCTGCTTATGGGACCCCTTTCCTCCTTCTAGGATGCATTGCTCGTCCTTAAAATGAGGGTTTGTGTCTGGTCTAAATGCATCCTGTTATGCCGTGTTCACATGATATCATTGGGAAGCCTGCTCTATTCTGAAAGGAAATGGAGGAGCAATGGATCTGGGGGAGAGATGAAGTAGGGGCGACTAAGAGAAGGAAGCGAGGGAAGGATGAGGTCAGGATGCATTGTAGAGAGAAGAATAAAGAAAAAGAAAATTTAAGAAACTACTTCAAACCAACTTCCAAAAAACAAAAATATTTCTTATAACACAGTACAATCTTTCTCTAAAAATCACTACATCTTTCTCTAAAAATCACTACATTTTATTTCCTTTTAAGATTAGGAAAGAAGAAAACAATGCCACTTATATACGTACCCTTCAAACACCTGGGCTGTCTGATCAGGATTTAGGATCAGGCAACTATGATACCTCCTGAGCACAGCCACAATGCAGACACACAGTCCTGTAGTGTAACTTCCTGCCAGACTAGAAGACTTCAAGAGCAGCTCAGCTTCAACCACGCTCAGTTCATTCAGTAACTACAACAGGAAAAGCAAGAGAAAGAAATGTAGATGACAAAATAACAGGAAAACCCTTCGATGAACCACGATGCAGTCATTCTGCACATGGCTTCAGGAAACACACTAGTTTCTGCCACTATTTACTTTTAAGCCTTTTCTACTTTAAACAAATGTTCTTCTGTCTATACACTGGCTTGTAGAAACCCAGGATGTAAACAGTGCTGAAATGGTTACTAAAAACTTTCTGATGGCCCAACATCCTGGACTGGGTCATTTTAAAGAACAAACCGATTCTTTTCATTTTCCTTTTTTTTGTTTTGATTTTGTTCTTTTCTCTTTCTTTTGAGTGCAATGCAAGTAATAACTACTTTCTTATTTATAAAGCTAGAAGCTACTGTACACCAGAAAAACACGCCTCATGTTTAGTCATTAACACAGGAATGAATTACCTAAAATGTGCATACTGAAGTGGGACAAATGGAATTAGAGGGGCTATTTTAGAAGTCATTTTTGCTTTTCACCAATAAATTCTACAACAGAGAAAATAGTGTTCAATACCCAGTACCCACATGGTGTCTCACAAGCATCTTAACTCCACTTCCAAGAGATCCAGTGACCTCTTTTGAACTCCAGAGGCACCAGGAACACACACTGTGAACATATGCATGCAGGCAAGTTACCCATCTACATAAAATAAAATGAATCTAAAAAAATAAACTTAAGCCAGGTCACAAGCTGACTCAGGTACTCAGACACTGAGTAGTGAGGTCACTTCAGATGGAGGCTTCAGAACAGCTGAACAATAGAGCGATTTTCAGATCAATAAATAGAAAATTTAAAGAAACATGCTCTTTAATGTTTGGTAGATTTGCTTTCCTAAATATGAGAAAGGCAGTCTTTTGACACCTGTATTGCAAAGTCAATTAGTCCATTGATGTTCAGAGCTGGCTCCATGAGATCAAAGATGAGTTGGATATGATGAGCCAGAGGCAGGTGATAGGATGTTCCAGACGCAAAGCTTGTGATTTGCTCCAGCACGTTGTTAGAGATCTGCTCAGACAAAAGCAAGGAAAGTCACACAACCACCATCTGCATGATGCTTCAGGTAGATAAATTAGTTTGATTTTTAAAGTAACAAATATGAATTCATGGGATTCTACTTAGAAATTAGAACGTGTTTACACAGAAATCAAAACATTTACAAATCAGCATTCTTATAATCGTAATTTAAAAAAGAAAAATGAATTGCAATATAATCACATACTAGTGACCCCAAAGGAGAAGCACCCAGATGTGTTAATCACCGGACACCAGGAAGTGTTAACTGAAGAACAATAGATTCTTCTCAGTTTCACAATGTTTTAATTAAGTCATCAGCAGGTTTCCCCTTCGTCAACAGTGATGATATTGGGTCAGCATGCCATAAAGTAAGTACATTAGGAATTATTTTATTATGATTATTATATAATTATTATTACAATTATAATTATTATTTTTCCATATTGCTGATTATTGTGAAGAAAAAATACTTACAGAATATAAACATATGTTGAAGGAGGCAAACCTGAGACTTAAATATGAAGCTTGAGAGGCTTCCAGGTCTATAAGGAGCATTGATAAAAAAATCAAGGCTCAAAGTACACTGCTCGAGATTTTTAAGGAAGGAGAAATATTCAAAACGGGTGGCAAAACAGCCCGGAATGGCTACCTGAGATGTCACTTGATGCTGATCAAAGTACGAGAGGAGCTGGAGTTTCGTGAACACGGTTTCCAGGGTGGGAAAAACTTCCTGCTTGTTCTTCCTGGCTTTCTGTCCTTCATCCCCAACTAAATAAACATAACATGTGTTACTTTCCACTTGAACGACGCTCTCTGTGATTTTCAAGAAACTTTTTTTTGATGTGTGTGTGTGCATGTTCACATATTATTACACGTGTATGGAGACGAGAGGAAGACATCTGGAGTTACCCCTCAGGCGATATCACCGTCTTATTTTATTTAGTGACTGGGTATCTTACTGGCTGAAACTCACCAAGTAGGCTAAACTGGCTGGATAAGGAACAGAAGAAGTCTGCCCATGTCCAGTCACCCGACCATCACGCACACCCAGCAATGGGAGAGAGACCAGGCTCCATCATGCCCAGTCATGTTTTGGTGTGTCCTGGCACTTTACGGAGTTACCTTCCGGTTCCCAGTTTTTTATGGTACTTTTTAACTGAAGTAGAGAATATACAGAAGACAGCATAATATACTCTTCATTTTTACATGAATGAGATCCAAATCATGAAATAACGTCTCAGAAGCCCACCTATTCAACTCTAATCACAGCTCCTTCCCCCAGGGGACAAAGATTTGGGAGATCTTACATCTTTGAGTAAGTGGATCTTTTCACTCAGCATTATGCTTTCGGACTGGTTCATTGTGGAGGTAATTTCAATTTGTTCTAAAATTTAATAATCCTCACATACATTATTCCTATATAATATATATATAATATGCCATTATATATCAATTCTAGTGAATAATGACTAGCTACCATAAAGTACCTTTATGAACATTAATAATTAATTCACTTTAAAAATACAATACCAACAATAAATGTCCATGGGGGAAGCATCAGGCCCACTATGTTTAAACAAGCCAAATTTAAGGCTTTAAAAATTACCTATTATTTATTTAATATGTGTTCATATGCAGTCACTATGGAACACATGGGGAGGACAGAGGAAAACGTGTAGGAACTATTTCCTCCAGAAATTAAATTCAGGTCCTGAGGGTTGGTGGAAAGTTCCTTTGTTCACTGAGCCATTTTACTGGATTTTAGACTCACCTGAGCTATTTTTCTAGATAAATTAAATATGCATGCATATTTATACACAACTTTGCTTATATGGGGGAACTCTTGTTTTCTTCACAGCTAAGAACAAAATACAAAACTACAATGTGGTATCTAGAAACAAAATTGTATCTAGGTATTACTGTAGGTAGGATGTCTACCATCACTGTGTGCTACCTGGTCGGCAGCAACTCAGAAGGAGCTCTGTGAGCCACTCTCCTCTGGGGAGGTAATTTCACATGTCTTTTATGTCTCTGCTGAAGGTATACAAACCCAGCAATATTCCAGGTTACTCCACACTGCTTTGCTCATGTCAAATGTGATGCTTGACAAAATGACATCAGAAGTGACTTCACTTTGAACAGCAAGCCAAATAGAAACACAAACCAAGTCATCTTGGTTTCAATTTGATACAACAGATAGCGATACCAGAATAAATAAATTAGTAAGATGTGCTGGTGTTGGGCAGGGGAGACAGGTCGGTTAAGGCTCTGAGTGCAGATCCCAGAACCAGTGTCTAAAAACAAGTCTAGGAGTGGGGGCACCTGCCTATAACCACAGCACTGGGAGGTAGAGCTAGGAGAACTAGTACAGACTAGTTGCTGAGTTACAAGCCAGCAAAAGACCTTGTCTCAAATCAAACAAGCAAACAGTGGAGGGAGCTGGAAGAATGATACTTGAAGCTGTTTTCTGACCTTCATAGGTACACACACACACACACACACACACACACACACGACCATAAAAGAAGTGCCAGTAAAATATGTTAAAATTCCACTTCTGTCAAATGACACCAACTATGATAGATATGAGAACTAGCAAATTCATTAAACTTCCCTTCTTTTCGGTATCTAGTCTCATCAGCACACGTTAAAACACAAGATGAGGCCTTCTCCGTAGCTGTTCTTATATGTGTCATAACCATGCTTGAGAGATCCAAGTTCTGATCAGGTTTTCAATTCCCTCACATCATTCAAAACTGAAAAGGTTGGACGTATTGTCCTGTGTGCAAAATGCTTACAGTCATGAAGTCTTCCTAAGACCAAAACAAACACAAAAGACTTGAGGAAGTAGGTCTTGCTACAAATCCTCAAGTGCATTTTTTTTTTTTTTTTGCTCATTTGTGCAAACAGGCTTCATTACTGACACACGTAATGCCATACGGGATCAACTGAAAAGATAAAAAAGAGTCTTGCAATTAAGAAAGAACCCTGGTATTTAGCGGTGGCTCTAAATGAACGATTACAATGTCATTTGCACAAGTAACAATACACTCTTTTTTTTTTTTTTTTTTTTTTTTTGGTTTTTCGAGACAGGGTTTCTCTGTGGTTTTGGAGCCTGTCCTGGAACTAGCTCTTGTAGACCAGGCTGGTCTCGAACTCACAGAGATCCGCCTGCCTCTGCCTCCCGAGTGCTGGGATTAAAGGCGTGCGCCACCACCGCCCGGCTACACTCTTAATATAAAGGTTTTTCGTACCTATTTTCTTGTTTTCATGACATACATTAATCCTCTTCTACTCCTTAAATTTTACATTAATTTTTTTTTTTTTGGATTTTTCGAGACAGGGTTTCTCCGTAGCTTTTGGTTCCTGTCCTACTAGCTCTTGTAGACCAGGCTGGCCTCGAACTCACAGAGATCCGCCTGCCTCTGCCTCCTGAGTGCTGGGATTAAAGGCGTGCGCCACCACCGCCCGGCTTTACATTAAATTTTTAAGCCTTTAAATTCTGAAAGTGCTTCCCTTTAGGGTAAACTGGACATGAAACCTGGGTAGTTAACTGAAATGCTATTTAAACTTGAAGTTAGGGGGAGCAGAGGTAGCTAAATTGGGAGACTGCTCATGTAGCAGGCTCACAGGCATGGGTCAGTCCCTCCTCACACACAGAGCACAAGGTGATGTAAGCTCTGATCCTAGCACATGAGAGACAGAAGCAAGAAGAACAGAAGTACAGGGTAATCCCTCAAATTCCAGTCTGTCTGGAAAACAGAAGACCCTATCTGAAAAGGACAAATCATAACAATAAAAGACTTCATGTTAGAAACCCTGAGGGGAAACCTGGCTGGTTCCCCAGGTGTCTTCAAGTGCTCCTCAGAAATTTAAGTTTTGTTTCCCAACAACAAAATCTCTTCCTTACTAGTCTTCATTCTGCTGAGTAAGATAGGTGTAGGTCTCTCTCTCTCTCTCTCTCTCTCTCTCTCTCTCTCTCTCTCTCTCTGTGTGTGTGTGTGTGTGTGTGTGTGTGTGTGTATACAAATTTCCATTAGCCCCAAGTACAGCCAGCTAACTTCTGGTGTATAAATGAAGTCTTAACTAATAACTTAAAATGAAGACTGCTTACTGGATGGCAGGGCACTATATCTGAAATTAATATCATTATAATAGAAGGAAAAAAATAACCTCTGGAGATGCCACTTTGAAGTGACTGATACTATGAAACGCTGAACAGGAAATGTCATTTTTTTTTTTTTAGTCCATATGCAAGTAATGTCTACCTCAGGGTTTGGTACAAAGACAGAACAGACAATGGTCTGGCATTAAAACACTTCTATGAAGGAAGGAAGTAGGCTCAGCAGAAAAGACACCACACGGTTTCCTTCCCCCTTCCAACCTCCTTTGGTCTTTTTTTATCCAGAAATTTCAGAGATCTGCAAAGGCCCTCTACGCTAACTGGATAAGTTAAGCATGACTGTGTCTCCTGCAGGCATCAGCATCCCCTACCCCCATTCTATACCAAAAGCTGCTCAGAAGGTTCTGTGCTAGCTCGCTGCAAGGCTTCTAAATTCAGTCTTCTGGAGCAATTCATTTCCTCTTTTCTCTGAGAGGGAGAACACAGCACAACTGATAAATGGTTTCCTTAGACAGAGCAGTCTCTTGTCCAAGCTCACGAGAAGCCAACAAAACACAATTTCATTTCCCTTTCTTGGCTCTTGGTCATTTCTCATAATGGTGGTCTGTTTGTGGGCCCTGAACTGGCACGGGAAGGGAGGCAGGGCATGGGATGGAGATCACGCATGAGGACCCCTGTGTTCGCATAGCCTCAGACTCTGTCCCTTGGACACTGGGGCCCCAGAAAACAGGCACAAACACACACGGGTAGGCCTGCTGTGCTCAGGCAAGTGCAGCCGTGCTGATGGCAGAAAAAAAAATCTATTTCAAGTATCTCAACTTTTAGGAATAGTCTAGCATACATAAACAGGCCCTAGTAGTTTATCCTGTTAAAATCTCAAAAATAGAAAGGGTTCCCAGAGGTTTCGTCTCAAGAAAGAAAACCTCCACTAGGAAGTGAGCTCTCCACCCAGGGGAAATGCAACCCTTTTCCTCCTTTATAGGACTGACGTGTCAGAGAGGGAAAGATCAGCAGTGGCGCTAAGGTATAAAGTGGTGCCATGTTCTAAACCGTGACCGTAAAACGATGTAAACCTCGCAAAGAGTCATTGGGCAAATATGAAGCAGATAATTGCACGACTCCAATTATGCAAGGCGGTGACACAATACGGAGGCAAAGCTCAGGAAATGAAAAGCCTGTGAAAAGAACAGGGAGGGAAAATTCCAAGTCAAAAAGGCACTACTACTGAAGATCTCATGCCTCTGTCACCTGGAGTTATTTGGTGACAGACTTAGCCATGACTACTACCGCCACTCTCTTGCCGAGTAACACGAAATTATTAACTGGACCATGGATTTGCATCTAACGTGAAACACGAGGACAGAGAAACAGCCAACCACAAGCTTGTAAAAATGATGCAAAGAAGTAAACTGATTGCAGGCAGAGCGTTCCATCTCCTTATTCAGCACATCATCCACAGTGACAACTACAGAAAACACATGGAACTTGCCCTGTCTACCTACAGTAGCTGGTAGCTGCTAACACAAAGGTCGCTAGCAATTAAGATGCAAATGTGCCTATTCATATTTCAGTGTGACAGTCATTCAAGAGAGGAAACACTGGTGACAGTGACGTGGGCCACTCTGATAAAGCCTGCAAGAACAGGGAACACAAGCAAAGGCGGCAGGAGCCAGGGCACTGGGGCTCCTTACCCCCTGATTCCGTGGTGCTCTTCTTGTTTAGGATTCGCAGGATATCTTTGGTGATCTTCTTCAGCTGATGCCTGGCTTCGTCACGCTCTTTTCCGACTCCGTAGAGAAGGATTGTGCGCTGGTTACATTCATGACTTGAAGACTCATCCTGAAAGACAGCAAATGACTCTGAAGCCAGTTCGCAGGGCTGGGGGTACATGTCCTACTCCTGAAACACACTAGTCACGGCCTCTCCATGCCTGTTTGCAGGGCCGGCATCTGCCAGCTCTGCAACTCACCTCAACCTCCAACGGCAACACCCCTGTTTTTCCAGTTTGGAACATGCTAAAGTAAAAAAAAAAAATAATAAAGTACCAGCTGGCCTGAAGCATTTGATGTGGGCGTACCCTGCAGAGTAAGTTCTGGCTATTGAAAGATTTTTCATTGTCTAAATTTTAACATGGCATAGAATGATGATACTATTTCTTTAGTGAGCTTGGTCTCAGATGTACAGCAATAGAGTGTGTTTTATATTTAGGGAAAAAATATTACTAGGACCTTCAACTACCTTCAGAGAAGGGTACTACACTTACTTCAACATGACTGTGTAAGATATATTAATATTTATTTCCAGATGACAATAAAGGAAAGCATAAGAATCACCATGTATACGCTAAGTCGCTAGAAACACATAGTCTGAGATGCTCATTATTGCCCTTCCATTTTAGACCCCAGATTCCTCAAATGATCACGGCAAATCCAAGCGTGAAATCTTCCCTTGTGAGAAAATAAAATATTGAGTCACTGAGTAATGAATGTAAGTCTAGCATTGAGCTGAATTTACCCTTAGCCAAACATAACAGCCTAACTCAGGTTAGGACTGGTTTAAATTTTTCAATGTTAATTTCTCCTTGATATCTTTTGTTTTCCATTTTCTGAGTAAAGTTATTTGCTTCTCAGCTGGACCTTTCACTATATCTCCCCTTTGTTACTCTTTGTATAGCACCGTCCATGTGAAGGTCTCCCCTTCCTCCTCGCCTCTTATCCTAAAGAACTCCTCCTAGGGAATATGTTTATCATTGGCAACAGCCAAACCCTTCAAAAGTGAGGACCAGCAGCATTGCCCATAGGATTCTGTTTGTTCCCTGCATACAGAACAAACACCGTGCTTCGGAAACTGGTGGACAAATGCCATGTTCACTCTCCAGTTCAGGCTACAATTCAATTACACGGTGCTAGAAATAATACACATTTGCATTTCCTGTTGACTTCTCGTTCTATATCCCTCTGCTAATTCTTAATGTTCCAAAAGGTCCAAACAGACCTAAAGAGGTCCAGACAGGGATGGTGAAAGATCAAAGGTTCATATAACAGTAACAACTCAGGACAGCTACAGCCCCATAGTGTACCATGCTTAGGGCTGAGAGGGCTTGGAATGTATCCTAGTCACGACAGTAAACAACTCCATAATCCTGTGTAACAAACCTACTTCCTAGTCTCAGAGTCTTCTTTTGAAGAACACAATAGTGCCTGTAAGTGACTGTGAGAATAACCAAGTCATACGCAATGCAATGTCCTAGAACACTGTGTGTGTGTGTGTGTGTGTGTGTGTGTGTGTGTGTGTATGGTGCTCACTGCTCACATTCTAGACTCCCACTCCTCCACACACACCAAGAGACCACAAGGTACTGCATTAATCAACATTTCACACCGACTTGCTTAAGCTCTTCCTGTCACCTAAAAGGCATGATCTTAATTGCTGATATTTACCTCGAGGGAGAGTGTTAGGACCCCATCAGTGTCCTCAGCACACAGGGACTAGGAAGGGGAAGCAGGGTTTGGGGCATTCAGACATAAATCCTTCATTTTCTAGGTTGTTGCTTTTTTTTGGGGGGGGGGCATTAATGGTTGTCTTCCTGAGTCCCCTGTTATTCTCTTTAGTAAGCACCAAGGTGGCCCTTAATGCTTAGTGAGCAAAAAGAGAAGTCAGTGGAATAAGGAACAAACATGGGTGAAGGAAGATTGAAGGGAAGAAAGGAAGACAAAAAAAATCACTGTTTCATAGGGAACAACTGGCTATTAAAGTGCTAAGAAAGCTGAAGAAGCGAGAAACCAATAGAAAGGTCACGTTTGTGTGGTGAACGGAGTCTCAGCTGTGGGGATGAGGAGCAGAAAGCAGAATCTAGCGAGCACCTGATGGAGAAAAGTGTCAGACAGCAGGGTCCAGTGAGTGTGTGTGCATCACTCTGGATTTCATTGAATCAAACTGAAAAGGTTGTTGGAGATAAAACAAGAAAGTGTGTGGTTAACGTGTATTGGGTTTGATGTGGGCACTAATGTTGGTCAGAGTTGAGGCGGTGAGGAGAGCACTAAGACCAGAGGAATGTGCAAAGCTTCCACGTTCTACTTATGTGGCTGAGATGGTGGAGAACAGGAGCCAGCTATGAAAATGATACACACCTGCGCTTCTTGACTAAGATGCTCTAGTCAAGCAAGGCCCAGATGTCAGGTCTGGGGACACGATAGGGACCGTTAACCAATGCTCCAACAGGGATCAAATGGAGGCAAAGAGTCAGTTTAGATGTGATGTTTATTTTTATTTTTTTAATTTTGCTTTGTTTGGTTTTATTAAAAACTTGTGTGTATGTCAAAAGCCAACTTTCTCTAGAGTGGCTATGAAGCGAGGGGTTGAGGAGTGAGCTGCTATGGAAGGAATGGGGGCAGGGGTGGCTGAGAAGCGATTCAAGTTTACTAGAAGCCGAGTAGGAAAAATGAGTTAAAAAAGAAAATGTGACGCGCAATAAACAGCAAGCTCTTGTTTCAAATGATGACACGAATAAAGACACCTTCAAAGGATGGCAGGTTTGTGGAGTAGATTGTTGATGAGAGGTGGGAGACAATGGGTCACTGTCTAGATCGACAGAGGAGACAAGAACACTGCCTACATAACCTCAGGCAAAGAAATTTCAGGAAAATAGCACATAGAATCCAAGACATGAGTAACTTGCCCTGATGGAGAGAGAGGTGACAGAGCCACTGCAGAGGAGCATACAAGGAAATAGGAAGGATTCTACAAGAAGACATTACTGATTTCCTTAAGTTAATATGAGGAAAAAAGCAATAACTATTATTGGCTTTCCAACAGCAAAGCAGGGACATTTTGAAGTTTCCAGCAGGCTACATGACTTGTTTGTGTCTATTTTTTTTTTCTATAAGTAGAAAAATGTAGAAAACCTCAAACTGAATTTATCAGGTAAGAAGCAACTCAACCTATGAACATATACCAAATACTTACAAAGGTGGCAGTCCTTTATCTTGAAGCATCCTGACATTGCATAGTTTTAAGAAATGTTAATGATCTGAGACCAGAACTAAAAACTATACTAATAGATATTCCCTAAATGGGTATATTCTTTGGACAGAAAAGAACCAGCTGAATCCACTACAGAACTCCATCTGTCTTTATTTTTAGGATAAGTGCAGAGACCTGAACAGGCCATGTCCCCTATAAACTGAGTACTCAGAGGAACACCCTCCACATCGGTTACTTCCTCTCCCCGAGCATCACATCATGCAAACAGAGGCCTAGATGGCTAAGAAACCAGAAGGCTTTCTCTTTAAAACCACAGCACGCTTACCCACCCTAGAAAATATCAGACATCCTTAGGAGGAAATAATGAAGTTGGTCAAATTAAGGTCTGCTCTCAGCCATCTTCGTTCCTTTAAAATTAACATTAAGAATAACTGTCAAAATGTGTGTGCATTTAATGTGCATGCCTTACAGTGTGGGATAACAGAAGCTGAGGTCATCAGAACAATGTGCACAAAGTTCATGACACACTATTTCTCTTCTTTCAGGCAAGGACCAGGCTGACAGATAATGGAATTACAAGACACGGCCTTTTACTTGCTAAATATTCCCAATGCCCAACACTGCTTATGTTTTAAAACTATATTTATATAACCTAAATTGCTATGGGAAAAAACCCTAAGCTAGCTAATAAGAGACATGCTCTGGTATAATGTACGAGTTTAATCAAAAAAAAACATTGATATCAAAATGATTAAAAGTCATTAGAATTGAAAAGACTCCAAATATGACCAAATATCTAATTATATTTCATCCTCCTGCCCAAACCTAAATGGACAAGGACCACATGCACTTTAAGGAATGGCCTCCTGGGCTCAGAGCAATGCTATATGAATTAAAACAAATTTTAGATAAACAGAAAGTATTATCTTCAATAAATTTGGCAAAATAATTTAACATTTAAAACATAAGTTTTGCTCAATTTTCCAAATTATCTTGAATATAAAATATATTAAATTTCATTTGCCAAATAAGACTATTACAAAATGTTGGTGATGGTGTTGTTTACTGACAGGAGGAGGCGGATGTGACCAATTGGTTGTGCTACATGATAACACAGAGGTTTTTTTTTTAATTGATTTTATTGAGTTATACATTTTTCTCTGCTTCCCTCTCTTCCTCGCCCCTTCCCTTCAAGCCTCTCCCATGGTCCCCATGCTCCCAATTTACTCAGGAGATCTTGTCTTTTTCTACTTCCCATGTGCATAAGATCCATGGATGTCTCTCTCAGGGTCCTCACTGTTGTCTAGGTACTCTGGGATTGTGAATTGTAGGCTGGCTTTCTTTGCTTTATGTCTAAAAGCCACTTATGAGTGAGTACATATGATATTGTCTTTCTGAGTCTGGGTTACCTCAATTAATATGATGTTTTCTAGCTCCATCCATTTGCCTGCAAATTTCAAGATGTCATTATTTTTTTTCTGCTGCATAACAACAGAGTTTTAGGATGAGACACTTTCCACCTAAATATTTTAGTGACTTTCAAGGCTAGGTGACCAAAGGGGAAATTGGAAGTTGTCCGCAATGAGAAAATATGAGAAGGTTTAGAGAAAAGTGTTTGTGGTTGTCACTTAAAATCTGAGGAAAGATGAAACAGGCTGAGGTCAAAGCTCTTTTTAGTCTTCAAGTTACTACTGAGAATGTTCCAAGGATTTGAAAATCTATATTCTTAGTAAGAAAGCACAGCTGAGGAATCATGAGTTGATTTTCTTTTATCCTGGCAGGCTGATTCACTGAAGGCAATCTATAATTCTCCTTCTGGAAACCTGTTTTAACAGAGACCTCAGAAACAGTATCAC